GGGGGGGGGGGGGGGGGGGGGGTAATCGCTAATTCCATTTCCACCCGGATGGCCCGAAGTTCGAGCGAGCGAACACCTATGTATGGTAGAGGTACCTGTCTTCCGTTTGCCGAACGGTGCGAGCGAGTGGGTGAGTGTCCATGGTCAAGGTTGGTGAGTAGGCAGGTAGGTCATAGAAGCAAGGTACATACCTATCAAGCAACCGGGGAACGGGTTCCGACAGTTTGTTGTATTCGGTTATCACTTTTTCGAGTTGTGATACACTCATGTAAAGAAGCAATATGGAAAAATCCGTGAATGGAAGGCCACTGCATCGACGGTATCAATTCCGCGCGCGGGTTGGGTGTTCGTTTGAGAGTCGTGGAAATTTCCATTCAAGGTGTGACTCGTCATTTGGGGCGGGGGGACAAACTGAACGAACGGAATTGAACCCAACGAAACAAGTTACATACCTCTACACTACCAAGCAAAAATAGTTTTTGGTCGTTTCATTTCCCCCAGAGAGGTCAAAACGTTTTTCTACACTACACCACACACAGAAAAAGAAGAAAAAAACTGGGGACCGTTTAATAACCTCAACCCCAAACACCACAGACCACATTCCTTACATACCCAATCTCCTGGATACAACGCTAAACCAAATGACACACACACACACACACACACACACACACACATCACGCCACAGAAACACTAACACTAACCTTGTCGATACGGACCCTCGGACTCTACACTACACTAGACTACACTAGACTAATGTAAGGACCCGCGGACTCCATCAGCAATAGGGCGCGACGCAACAGGGCGAACGAAAACGGTTCAGTCCTGTCTCCAAGTTTACAAACATGACAGCCCAATGCTGCCTATGCAGGCTGCGCTGATCAGGGGTGGAAGGAGCTGCAAGCCCAAACTACACTACATACACGAGGAAGTTCATTCAGTTTGAGGGCAACACACCGATCACGATCTCGATCCCTCCCTCGGCGTCACTGTGGGGCTTCCAGTCCACTTCTGCGTCAAAGACCATCAGACACCTCCCCCAAAAGAACCCTTCTCGAAGCTCCAGAGAAGGACCAAAACCCTGGTCAACCAGTCACTCACTGAGGTGAAACTTTGCCCTTGTAAACAGTGACTACGACAACGAGTGTCGCTTCGTTTTGCATATTGGAAGGATTAAGAACCTTGGATGAGGCATTTCAGGTCTCGACCGGTAGACCGGTAGACCGGTACAGGTAGGTACAAGCACCGGGGTTGAAGAGCAAGCAGCGTTGCATCCGTCCATCCCATCACTGTGGTAAAAACGGACCATGGCGATGGGGATGTTTAAGCCCTACGACAGACACGACACCACTTGCAGCCTTTACTATGTCGGGAGATATGATACTGCCCTGCCCTTGCCTGGTTTCCTCCTGGTATGGGGGTAGTTAAATCATGGATCAAGCTTCCGTTTGTGCCGCTAGAGTCAACCACATGTTCTAAGTAACCGTTCCGTTGGTCGTTCCGTTGTGGTCGTCGCCGGGCCGTGAACGGTTCATTCACTGCAAACAAAGATACCTACGGATAAAGTTGTTTCATGCAGTTCTTTCCGTAGACAACAGCTTGTATGTTATGCCAGGTACCCGCCCGCCCGTCCGTGTGCAATGCACTGCACTGCATATGCAATCGTTATGCAACTCTAACGGTTCTGCATGTACCAATGGAAACGTCGAACGGTTTCTGCGGTTTGCGGTGCAAATATCAGTGGGCGGATGGATGGATGGATGGATGTGCGGACCTTCAGGTGTCAATGCTGCATGAGGAAAGAATGGAATGGAATGCGGAATCGGACTTGTGTGTAAATGCCTGCGCGTCCGTGGAATGCAAAGACAGAACGGAGACGCGAAGAAGGATGACAGTAAACGGAGACAGACAGTATTACTGTATAGTGTAGTACATCTACATTGTATATATGGGGTATAAACGGAACATGTGCGTTGTATTCCACTTCCAATAGTCGACGACGATCTTGTCTTCTATCAACCGATCGTCTTGATCATCTGGACATACTATGTAGTCGAGGGATGATGATGTTCAGGGCAACCCCAAACAAGCAGGTCGTAGATCCTGTTCATCCTCTGTCCTTTGCTCAGACGATGATCATTTTCGCTCGAGGTAGTGTGAATAGAGATGATCAAGATAATGTGGTAACTCGGCACACTGACCTCATGCACTACCATGACTTCTGGGCAACCGCACGAGGCGGATGTCACTCCAGTTGTCGCTTTGGCCTTTGCTGAAACATCGGTGCCCTGCCTGATCTAGCTTCTATCTCTTATCTGATCTTCCTATTCCCAGCCGTCTTGATGTTCGTTTCCGGCGGTTGGACGTCTGTGTGGGCGAGGCCCAGTTCCGTCTCGCCAGTTAGGGCTGATCTGCTGAACCGTGGGAGCTAATGACCTTTATCACTTCAACGGTTCAACCTTGCTCTGAAGATGAGCCGACACACTTGTATCTTGAAAAACACATGATAGGACCTGAGCATGGGATGAAAAATCTCGGGTAAATGGAAGCACAAGGGCGTCCCTGAGCACTGACCAGCTTCGGGATGAGGTCTAACTCACTCCGGTCAGGCTCGAGCGAGCGAAATAGCTGCGCCGGAGGTCAGACAGGCCATTCAAGCAGTGACAAGTAGCTTTTGAAGCTTAACAATTGTCGCCGATGAATATGATGGACGGATATGTGATCCACGTTGCTCAGAATTAGTGATTGGAAGGTTCAGCCCAAGGTCTGTTGTGAAAGTGCACGAATGCGCGACTGGAAGGTAGTGCCTGCAAACATTGAACGAGCAAATAGTACCGTGATCCGGGGAAGGAACACAGCGACAAACACCGTGGGTTGGTGGGAAAGGATTAGAGCTTCAGTATCATGATATGCTGTTTTGCGATCAAAGTCAATGGCTTTGTCGAGGTGGATTTCCGCAGCCAAAAGCGATAGGGGTATGCAGTTGTATTGATTGGCGTGGGAAAAGGGGGATTGTTTACTTACGACGTTGTGCCTTGTCTTAGTGTTCAAGAGGTCCATCAAGAGAGTTGGTCTTGAAGATTTTAGCCCCTTCCCATCCATCCCTGGTTGATAGCATTGCACCTTCCCTTGTGTTGGCTAGAGGTCTATGTCGTAAAGATGCTCTTAACAGACGTTGAGATTCGGAATTAACGAGAAGAAGCAGCTAATCTTGGGAACCCTGAAGCTCCGACACACATCTCCTCCAAGTCCTTGCTCACCGCATTCTTTCTAACCCATCCACCACATTTTAGACAATATTTTGAATACCAGCGTTCTACCTAGTTCCGATATCCTTACTCCATCTATCGCCAACCAACCGAACAATGGAACCCTCCACCTACATCTACAACCTCCCCACGTCCTACCTCCCCTATCCCGAAAGCCGGTTGTTCTGGGCCACCCGCATGGCCAACCTACACCTAGCCTTTGACCTCATCCGCCGCTTCAAACTCAACACTCCGCGGCACATCGCATCATGGGAGGAATTTCTACTCCATGTCCCTCACCCAGAGAGCCATCCCATCCATGTCCAAGAATGGCCGATGAAGGGCGTCAACAACTTGTTGGTCATCATGGAGACTCTACGAAGTATTTGCAAGTCACCGATCTTTGCGTTCGAAGGGTTGTTTATCCTTGAGCCGTGGGCGTTGTGGTACTTGGCTGCGGCGATGGCGCAGACTTGGACGAGGGATCCGGTGGGGCTGATTAGCGGGGTGCCGGAAGACGTGTCAACTGAGGAGCTGCAGAGGTTGACGAAGGAGCTTCATGTGGAGATTCGGAAAGGTGAGTGATATGTTTCATTGCTGAGAAACCGTGAATGCGAAAGAGTGGCGCGCAAAGTGTGCTGTGGTGGTGTGTCCATGCTATATGGGACAAGTTGGGGATATATGCTGACATTTACTTGTGTTGTCTTTTGCGGATAGTGAGCACCAAAATCTGGGTTGCCAATTTTGCCTATTATCAATATATTCTCTGTTATCGATGGCACGACGTCCAAATTGGAAATATGAAGGATAGCTACGACGGAGGCCATCAAGATGCAACTGAACATCAGGAGTATGTGGAAGACGTGGAAGACGTGGAAGACGTGGAAGACGTGGAAGACGTGGAAGACGTGGAAGACGTGGAAGACGTGGAAGACGTGGAAGACGTGGAAGACGTGGAAGACGTGGAAGATGTGGAAGACAACGTGGAACACGATGCGCAAACAGGCGTGCAGGATGAAAAGGCAACGGAGGTACGAAGTGACAAGGACCACGACAGTGGCTATTGGAGTATGGAAGAGGAGACTCAGGAGGATGGCAATAACGCTGACGATGACGATGATACCTCTAGTGACGATGAAGCGGTGTTGACTCCTTCCACAGAATCGGACGTCGGAGAGACGGAGTGTCGTCAAGAGCGTGAGTGGCCTCGAGAGCTTGAGTGGCATCCAGGATTTGGACCTTATTCGAAGATCGACTGCCTGATCCAAGACGCCAATAAGGCCATTGGTGCTCTCCGTGGCTTCAAGCTTGACCCTCATCTACAGACTAACTGTCGTCCGATGTAGCAGGATTCCCGAAGTCGAGGAGAAGCGAGAAAGCGAAGCGTTGATTACAGGGGTTTTGAACTTTTCCTGATGTATAGACTAAGCTATAGTCTAGCGAAGCATCTCGAGTTATTTGAAACGTTATCCGAGGAACTTTAGGCGTTATAAGGTTGTTACCGCAAGGTAACGACAGACTGTATAATGAATCCTCGGACAAGATACATAGCTCAACCAAGGTGACATCACACACATCAGTCCTCCCGTCCAGGGTCGACATCAAACTCCACATCCGTCCGGATGATGTACTTGGCACCCTTCCTCACACCAGTGCCCTCATGCAACAGCGCACCGTGGTTCTCGCCATGTGGGAACACCGCCACCGAGCCCATAACCGGCCTCACTGGGTGGGCATTCATGACACCGTCACGTACGCTCGGCGTAAAGAAGGTCGTCTCGCCGCCCTCAAACTCATCATTCAAGTACATGAGGAAGGTAAACAAACTCGACTGCTTCTTGTCCGCCGGCGAGGCATCGTACATGTACTTGCCCGTCGTAGGGTGAATGCCAGAGGGAGGCCAGGCACCGTCGAAGTGGCAGCGATACTCGGCTCCGGGAACGTAGCGGTAAACCCTGAAGCGACGGTTGATGCCTCGCGCCTTTCTTCCAGCATCGTGGGTGGGGATGAAAGGACGGACACGTTCCCAGAGAGCATCGTGGAAGGTTTGGTCAACGATCCAGTAGACGTTGTGGGCGAGGATGCTGGATTCGGAACCGTCTTCCTTGATGGGTGCGTCGGGGAGGTAGCCGACAGATTCGGTAGCAGCGATGATGGATTTGCACTCGGCAGGCGAGAGGACATCCTTTAAGATAGAAAGGGAGGGAACAATGGGGTGTTGGTGCTTGGTGATGGTCGGGGGAGTAGGTGAGAGAGGAACGGCACCTTCGTCGCTGAGGTGGAGGACAGCTGGGTGGAGGTTGGGTGGTTTTCGTTGAGGACCGGGTGTAGTTTCAATGGCCTTGAACAAGTCCTTGACATTCGGTGGGCATACCGAGAATAATGTGCCGTCTAGAACGGATTGCCGCATGGGGAATGGTGTTGCTGATGGCTCTCGAATATCCCACATCTTCTGAAGCGCAATGGGACCAGTCCATGTTGTTGAAGACGAGTCCCCAAGCCCGGAAGCATCAATTGGCTGTCCGGTGGCTCTCAGAATGGCGTCCATGATCCTGAGCAGCTCGGGCCGACTCTGCCTGTTGGTCGTTTCGGTTTGCGAAAGGCCGCTGGTGATGTCGAGATCTCTGACCCAGCGGCACAAGGCGCCTAGCCTGGGGATGTCGCCACGGATGCGCATCTCGGCCAGTGTAACGAGGGCATCGACAAACTTGCCGTCGGCCAGGAAGCCAGAGACCTTTGCGGTAAGGTTGGCGTCGGAGCTGGAGTTGATACCCGTGGTGCAGGCCTGTCTGAAGTCGTAAACAACGGAGCGCAGTTCCTTGCACGCCTTGGACTTGATGATGGCAGGGTTCTCGGCCAATGTACGAAGAGTGTCGACTGTAACTTCCAACTCCTCCTCTGAGACTACTGTCGTGATGCTCTTGGGTTCGAATCGGTCGACTTCGGGTCCGGATTCGGCTGGAGGGGAGGGCAGGGCGCCGGCGGCCGTCTTGGATCGCTTGGCCGACGACTCGGTCGAATCGACATTCTGCTTACGTTTGGCCGCCGCCTTTTTGGACTTTGACATGTTGGCCTTCTTCGGTGACGGCTCGGAGTAGTGTATGTGTATGGCGAGTCGACGGTGGTGTCGAAAGTCAAAGGCAGTTGAGTGTCGAGAGTCGAAGTCGACGGGGAATTTTGATGGTAGAGGCAAAATCCAAATTCGGTGATGGAACGTTGACGTCCACAAATCTAGGCCCAAGTCTGACGCGGGGATGTGGGGCCTGCCTATGCTACTAAACTGTAGTGGGCCCCCGCTCCACAGCTGTTGATACCTGCACATTGTGCAAAATGTGCCGCTGCTACAGAATATTGCAGAGCCGCTAAAAGCCCTACAAGATAATCTATTGCCCATGTTCAACTTCAACTTTTACATCAACAACACCATTCGAACCAACGATCCGCACGATTCCTCCCACTGGTCCTGTGAACTCAAAGCATCTTAACCTTGATACTATATCATTTCTTATGTGAGTAATTACACCAACAACTTACCGTCTCTACTGACTGTCTGGCACACGCACCTCGTCACCAACACGAGGTTCCGAAGACGTTGAACATGAGAGCGACACTCGCTTGCCACATCGTCGGCTTTCCCTCATTCATCTAGCTCTTGATATTTTGAGCTTCTGCGAGTTCATGGGTTCCTGTTATACATAAGTATTTCTCATATCATCTGGTCATCTGACGTTCAACTTGCCTTCTGCTCGATATACTTCACTCCTTCATGCAACCCATCCGATTATGTCAACAGCGATGCTTTGACTCCGTTAAAGTGCGTTTGGAAGGTGATGACTTTACAAGGGAAAATGGAAACAAAGGAGTTGTTACCACGGTTCAAGATTATCTGCGAGCCATCGAGTTCCTTTGCGAGCGTCTGAGAATGTAATATCGTGCCCAAGCTTGTTCATGGCCCGTGGAACACATGGCTGGCACAGAAGGCGGCCAAGTAATTAATTTTTTCTCGGGTAATTCAAGCAAGAAACATAGATTGCATGTTACCTTCGGACGAAGAAAGACAACATTGCTAGGTCTCGACAAAATTGAACGGATAATGCAAGAGGCCTAGACATACAAATAAGTGACGGGCAGGCATGGAGTACTACAGGTTAGTGGGCCCAACATATTCGAAGACAACTTGGGGATAGAAAAGGCTGAATTAGTCAAGCCCTTCGTGAAGTCTGCGCCGGCGAGAGACAACTAGTACAGTGAATTCAGCGGCAAGTTGTTCGTGTCAGAGACGGGTGAAAGGGGCATTCCACACCGACTTCTTGCTCTAGTAGTATTCAGACCAGGGATGGCGGCCCCTTCCTCTTTGCCCTTCCGAGCACCCAATTAAGCATTCCCTCCTTCATCGAAACCACTTCGACTCAGTCCCGAAATACCCACATGTAATTCATTTCCCTGTGGAATTTACTTGTGTGGACCCTTTTCATTAGCATAATCGCACAGTGGTCATCCTGAAGGTGCCCCTTGTCGGTGATCGATACTGCGGGTAATAGTACTTGAAATCGAAGTGACGAGAAGAAAAGGTGAGTAGGTGTGCTCGTTCATACATCGTTTCCGGTTGCCCATTCAAAAACCTTGTCACTGGCCTTAGAATCATGACCGTCATGGTGTACTGTTTCCCCCGACATGGTGCTCCCATTGTCATACCAAGAACATTGACTTCTTCTTTGCCCGTAAGGCAACTGGAGGTCCTATTATCTCCGGTTTTCAGTTCGATGTCCTCGAATAAACATCGGGGAGTAAGAAATTTCTCCCCTTCCAAGAATGAGGGCGATGTCACTATCCAGTATCCTGCTCCCGGTTTCGAGTGGCCGGCCCCAGATACGTTGTGCCACGCCAGCTTCATATCCATGGCTGTTCCTTTGATCAACAAGTACATCGGGAACCTGCTCTCCTGATGCGATAGGTTGTGGATCCTTTCGTTGTCTTTCACCCAGTCGAGCCTCCGCACAAGACCTCCCTCGTCTTCATATTCGACGTGCACCGTGGTGCAGCTGTCGAAGACTCTGTCACGGAGATGATATGTTTCGAATTCTACCACTATCTTGCAGCGCTTCCAACCAGCCCATGTCCAACTTGGAAATCCCGACCTTCGCAGATGACTTCCTCGACCTGTTGGCATGTCAATTGATTCGAACTTTGACGGCTCCCAAATATCAAACCACAGGAGACTATTCACCAATCCATACGTAAGACTAGCATGATTATCGTAGGCTGCGGACTCTGCGCCATCCGGGATGTCCCAGGGCAAGGATGGTGCCACCCATAGTTCTTGCATTGAACTGATTGTTGGCTGATCTCCTCGCGCAAAAGGAATAACAGGTAGGCCGCACAAGAAAGAAATCCTGTCCTTGCCTGGTTCGGAGGTGTTGGAGCTCAAATATTTTTCAAAAATGCCCGCAATGGCATCCAAAGTGTCTTCGTCAAAGGCAAGCTGCCTCTGCGCAAACTGCTCGATTCTCGTCCAGGCTGTCCTGGGTTCTGACCATGTAATTCGCGGTGGAAAAATCCAGCCAGAATCGGTTTGGGCGTCCTCGAAGAATGAGATATGACCAACATCATCAAATTGATCATCCTGATCATAGTCGCTAGAAGAACTGAACCTGCCAGATAATGGTAATGATAAAACTTCATCGCCGTACATCTCGTAGCATTGGAAGTAGGTCATTTTGTCTGTGAAGACAAGTTGGCGCTTCGACAATAGCCCCTCTTGGTAGGTCCAACCACGCGTATTCCACTTTGATGCAGCAACCGAGTTTCTGGGCTTTTTGTAGAATAGCAGGGATATTTCTTCGGTCACTTGCACACTGACTTGTTCTGTACGATGGCGTGAGCTAACGCCCGGAAGTCCGTATTCTGGGCCATCTCCGGCTGCCGCGATTATGGTCAAGACAGAGCAGGAGTATATCCTGTCCATCTTCCCGATTTGGATGTGTTTGACTGGTGAATCGTTTTGGGGAATACAGTACCGGTCGATCCACAGGTATCTGTATCCAAGCCTCTTGACTACCTCAATTGCATCGCTGATGACCAGGGGTAAGTCGTCTGGTAAAGTGAGAGCATCTTCCCGTAGGACCGGCCCACGGAATCCAGCCTCGCCAGCCTGACCCCAAACATAACTGAGCGTGACATATTCAATCCGGCCTGGCACTCCACCACTGGCCAGGAGGTCAACAGCGGAAACGATTTTGCTTGTGGTGCAATCAATGACCTGAAATTCCGGGATCGTGACAACATCTGCATCGCCACCATCACAATGAACATGCCTCGAGTGACAAAGGCTTAACCACTCCCCAATGACGATGTAGTTGACTTGATGGGGAATGATCCTTCTCGCAAGTATCCCGCCCCCAGCCGCTCTGTCTCTGGTCAGCCCTGGAAGCTTTGGACCATCAACCACCCGCAGAATTGCATTGTCTGCTTCATGAAAACATCTGGTGCCCCACCAAGGACGATTGTCTTGAACCACAAATTGCAGTGCACAAACGTCTTGCACAGAATGTTGCCTGCATTCATTGTCTTCACACCCTCGATGCTTGATCGGGAAGCCAGTCAAGGAATGAAACCCCTTCAAGAAAGGTCCGTCCAAATACGGGTAAGACATATGCTCGATTCTTGAGGCGATGTCTTTGGCTTGAAGTTGGCACTCGTTGTAGAATGTGCAGAAGCAACACGGTGGTTCGAATGTATTTGCCGACTTGGGGCCGGGCCAGCCATGCCTTGCACGGGCCTCAAATATCTCGAGGCAATTGCATGTCTCTTTATCCCATCCCCATGTGTAATGAGGACGTTCGTGACTGGTGAAAAGAGCTTTGAAGTTGATCTGGCTGCATGCTGAGCAGAACTGTGGGCGTGCGGGGTGATTGTGTCCGTCCTTCGGATCCGGGGAATTCAGGCCCAAATCTGTTGGCTCGGCCATATTTGGGCGGTGTTGAGATTGTGCGAGGGTTTGTATGAGACACTCTTCACGTAGTGTTCAAGTACTGAAGAGGATGGGCTTGGGGTGTTGTTGTTGTGATGGTTGGGCGCCAACTTGCAGTCAATGTCCTGGTGCTTACTGGGGGAGGGTTCAAGTTGGTTGATTGGAGGAAAAGGAGGCCCAAGACTCGAAAACCCAGAAAGACAGCTTAAATACCCCGCCAGTACACCCAGGACACCATTGCACCTTCCAAACTCCTGCTTACTTCCAGTTCGAGGCTACAACAGCCGCCCAGCCAAGAATGACTGCCATGCATGTTAGGCTGTTAACTCGATCCCTAAACTGGCGGTCATCGGAGCCTCACATGCTTGCGAGCGGAATCATCAAGATAACCTACTTACCAGAAAGGACTGAAGAGTAAACAATGATCGTGAACGTCAATCCAAGATTCATGATGACTACGGGTAACACCTCTTGTGTCAGTACAAGCACACACAAGTCTTGGCTCGACGAACCGAAGGCTTCATGAGATCGTGTACTAACACATATTCAGCAGAGCCAAAAGTGCCCAGCCACACAGGAACGAAGGGTTCAGCTCGCTGCATAATACTAGTACAGTATCAAACGTACATTGTGGGCAATCGTTCTCCCGTGATTGGGTCTCGCGAGCCTTCGAATCCCAGCCTTCCAAGTGCTCGACGGCCGAGTCCGCCCATGTCTTGACGTGACACTCGTCTATGGTACCATCCCGTTCAAAGGGCATACATATACTGTCACCAGCACAGGACAGCTCGAAGACGCCGGTGCTGTGCAGATGGCCTGGAAGGAGTTGGGCACTCGATCGAAGTAGAAAGCCGGACCTGACTACCCTATGGTTATCAGCCTCCTTCATCACAGCGGACGCTGCGCAATAATGGCGGCTGAGGAGTACAAGCGTGGCGTTGACTTCCAGATGCGGCCCGACAGCGCCTGAAATTGAACACGGCCACGGACCAAAAACAGCACATATAATGGCCGGACAAGTTAACATCGAAGATATCTTCGCTCGCTCGGAAAAAAAAAAAAAAAGAAAAGAAGAAGAAAAGAGGTCATTGAGACCAACAAGTAATCAGATTAATTGACATTAGTTTGTCACGTATCGTAGACTGGATGTCAAACACAGGGCGAGATGCCCAGCTGTGTCATGGTCCTGTACAGTGCCTACGTGTATTCAGCTTCGAGTCCATGGAGGGAGCGGAATCACTTAAAAGGAACATAATTAGAAAGAAAAAAGACAAGAGGACGAGTGGATTGAAGAAAAAGGATGATAAAAAAAGCAAACAAGATAACCCGGGCCTATGCCATGACAACAATGACAGTACGTCTTCGTCGGTTAAGAGATTCAAAGCCCCTGCTTGCCCCTCGAACTTAGCTATTTCCAAAGCGATCACAAGTGACTGCGTGTGCAAGATATCTGTATACTAACAGGTAGATGATCAACAGACCAGCCAAAGCCTCTTATACCGGAGCCCCCCACTGGCCATGAAACCCTCAAAATGGATGGACTAGATGGTACCATGTCAGTCTTGGTTTGATGAAGTGTATCTACCATGCAGTGCAATGGTCCTAACGAATGGTAGCAGAAGTAGAAAGATCGAAAAAAGAAAGCAAGAAAGAAAAAAGGAAGGAGAACACAAGAAGAAGAGAAAAGGAAGAAAAATGTAAGCATAAACCCATCTCGCGTGTTCGACAGATTGATGAGAGTGTCTTCGCTCCTGACTGCAGTGTCTTATAGGCGGTAACAGGTTCATTATGTATGCTGTCAGTTAGTAAGTATAGCAAAAAATAACCAAGGGAAAGGACATCTCCAGGCAAAGGAAATATCAGTGACCAAGGGGCTCGGCTTGACGACCAATCTCGAAGTCTACCTATGTAAGTAAGTAGTCCTGTATACATACACATCGTCAGTAGCACATCATCACAACCTTAACCCGAGTCCCTTGTCAAGTTCAAGTAGGTCTGAACTCGCTTCAATATTTGCGCTTCATTGCCTATGTATTGATAAAGGCTATGGTAATCCACAGGTAATGAGCCTATATACTAGGTCTAGTCGGTGGGTATTTTTTTCCCACAAGCATCTTTGAACAACGCCTATATCGACGGCGGAAAAAAAATATCGACGAGCCGTAGAGTGAGGTGGAAAGTAACCCTCGAACGCCAACTGAGTAGAAAAAAGATAAAGAAAACAGCATCCGTACGCTATGCAAAGAATAATAACGAAAGCAAGAAAGAAATAGCCATAACGAAATTTCCTACTGCTGTCCCCATGACGTCTAGTCACGGTCCAGAAACATACTCTCGACGAATTTCAAATCACCCCTCGGAAAGATTGGAGTAGGTAGCCCACCTAGGCAAGTTCCTTCCTCGGCGAAATGGATTAACCTCGTCGAACGGGTCCCTTTCAGTCCCTTCGGATTCCTCTCTGACCTCATCAGGCCGTTGTCTAACAGGTCTAGAACGCTGCCTAGTATGTGGTGAAAGTCTATTGACGACGTTTTCTCTCTCGGTGTCCTCTAATACCCGCAATGGGAAATCCGCATTGACCGGCATCTGCGGAGGAGGAATATGGTTTAGAATTATGGGCTGGTTGGCCATCATCAAGCGACGAAGGAGATATGCGATATGACGACGGTCTTCTCTGATGCGAAGATCCTCCTGGCGTAATCTTTCCATCTCCTCTAGCAGTCGGGCCGTAGCTATGTTGACCTCGGTCCTGCCACGCTGACGTGCCCTCCAACCTGCGCTTCCATCAAGAATGATAGGTTGCCGTGGTCTAGGGTTATTGGGCAAAGAATCCTGTGGCGGCCTAAGTTCCGACAATGGTATCTGAAATTGAGGAAATCTCTCCAACCCAGTGTGACGAAGCGACAAAGGTATATAGTCCAATGACTGTCTCCAGATATGTTCCCGTAAAGCATCATCGCGAATTCCTCGTAAGTCAGCTCTCGTGGAGGGTATCCTCAGGATCTCTCCAATCCGAGCCTGGGGCAGCGATGGTTGCCGGTCGGGCCCTGCGGGAGATGGTGTATGAATAACAGTTTCGTTCGAGGATGCTTCCGAGCGAGTTGATGAAGCCGAAGATACAGAGAACTCGGAAGGTACGTCAACCATCGAATGCGAAGACGGGCTCGAAGACGATGTGAGACTTGGTCGCTCAGCCGTAGCGACAAGATATTCGTCTGATGCAAATATATTAGGGGGTCCGCCGCCCCTCAACGTTACGCAAAATTCCTTCGGTTGAAATGGGTTGTCGATGCCACACGGGAAACGAAACGAGACTCTCTGTCCAATCAGCGACTAGCGTTCAGCGTCAATAGGGTCGTCTTCGACAAATTCGAAATCGTTTCCGACAGCTGCGTCTGTTTCAATGTCCTCCTAGGCTCCATAGTCCGAGTTCATAAGCTTGTCGTCGCCGTCCAGCACCCTAGTTTAACAGAAATTAGCAACTGCTCTCTTTAGCATGACAAAACCATCACCTACGAGAACTGCTTCACCAAATAACCCTCTCCTCCCTTCTCCATATCAATATTGTAAACATAGAAACCACCATCACTCGTAACCACCATGACCTGCGGCGAGCTACTGCTCATGGCCACCACGCTCCTAAGCGGCGTCGCGCTCAGCCCACCCGCCCTGCTGTTAGAAGACTTTGGGATCTTGATAAACGCAAAATCTCGCTCTGGCTCCCACATCTCCGCGACCGACTGTGGGAGGTACGAGCTAGCCACGCCAGCCACACCGCGGACCATCATCTGCGATGACCGCCTGAGCATGTTACCGAAGGAACCGCTTGGCTCTCTTTTGTGACTACTAGAGCCGTTGTTACCATTGCCCGCAGACGGTACTTCCCCTTTGTGTGGAGAGGGATCATTGACGTCAAAGCTTCGCGACCGGATCCCCTGCGCCGGGCCACCCCCTGGCAGCGCATTCGCGTTCTTTTGGGTGTTGAGCAGACGGAAGATGTGCACGGTATCCGAAGTCGACGAGACGCACAAAAGCGTGGAGCTCAGGTTGAAGGACATGCTGTAGATCGAAGTAGGAACCGTGCCCCGGCGGAACTGGAAGAGCTTTTGGCCTTGGGGAAGCGAGAAGACGCGGATGATGGTGCCCGTCTCGGAAGCGGTGGCGAGCATGCTGCCGTCGTGGTTGAGCGCGATGGCGCATAGAGGGGACTTGTGGGCCTCGACGACGTTAACCGTCTTAAGGTTAAGGGCATCGTAGACAAGCACATCGCCGCGCTTGGGCGGGACATATTGGCTTGGTGGCGGGAGGTGTGCGGGAGCCTTGGCGCCGACGTCTTCTCGCGGATTGGGACGGGGGTAGACCAGATAGCAGGAATCGGACGAGGGAGAGAGGGCGCAAATGGCGTTGGGGTTCGGCGAGGTGTCGATGGTCTGGACCAAGTTCATATTGGACACATCGTAGAGGTAGATCTGGCATTCGAGCACCACGGCTAGGCGTTTGCGGTTCAGACGGACAGCTAGGACGGCAGAGGGAAAGGTAAGTTCGCAAATCACGGACGCTCTCTGGGTTGGTAGAATGGGTCGCCGCATTAGTCTGAGTTCGGAGGCTAAACAGTGGCGCTGGGAGGGCTGGTCTACCTTGGTGTTCTGGATCTCGAGTTGCCTAGGCGTCAGGATCAAAGCTACTAGCGAGGTAGAAAACAGCATCTCGATAATGGATACATTGCCCTCATCGCTGCTGAAAATCTTGGAGAAGGGATCAGTGTGGTAGAAGCGAAAGCCCTTGGAGGTGCCAACAGCCAGACAGCTGTAGTCCTGGTTGAAGGTGATGAAGTTGAGGGTGCCTCCCGTCATGGCGGCGGTGCTCCCTTGGGCAAGGGAGAGGATAGGCAGAAAGTATCAGGAGGTCGATAGGGCGAGGAGAGTATGATTATTGATATGTTTGATGTTGTCAAGATGCGCCAAATCCAAGTCCTGACGGGAATGCTGAGAGGTCAATACAAGGGATGGAACTGAGTGTTCGGTTTGGTCCTCAGCTGTGTTGGTCAGTCCAAGCACAAAGGATGGAATTGTGCGGGTAGGCGGCAAGGGCCAACTGAGGTCCAAGATGAGCTGTGAATAGGTGGGTCGGCAAGAGACAAATTGCGTGATCGTGTCGCGAGGGAGGAAGCAACGAAGCGAGTCCCTTGGGAATAGAACTGAAGTGTTGTTGTACTAAACTGAAGAGAGAAAGAAGAATAGAGGTAGGTAACTTGAAGCTCCCAAGGCGGCAATGGCAGGTGAGTGGTGTTTGCGCACTCAGTAGACGGGAAGCTCACGTTATCACTTATCACCGCGGTGAAAGCCCGCGCGGTCTCAACGGTCAAGTGATGCAACCGCAATTACCCACCCGACCAGCCGCTGATGAGCAACCAGAGTGATCGGCGCTAATAAACCTTAGCCTAATGGGTTTATTTGTTAGTCCGAGACCTCGGGTCGACCTGTGTAGGCGTTTCAGCAGTGAGTTACTGTATACTCATCTGTAGTTGAAACTCGTATGTAGTATGAGCATATCGAACTGGATATAGATATTATGTTTTTTACATAGTTGATATATCTTTCAACAACATTGCGGCGTTCAGAATAGGTTGGACAGTATCTTCCTCGGGGTACAGAGCTAACAAACAAACCAGCATTATATGTAGAGCTCGGACCATACGATCACGACTCAGTGGGGCCAGCGGGGTACCATTTCTCGCACCTTGCTGGCTGCTGCAGTCTGACGTCCGCGTCTGTTCCTCACTTGGTTATCGTCTTATCAGCCCGGGGAATACGAGCAAAGTCAACACACAACACTCAACGCACACTCACAACAACATCATAGAATCCTGCCTAGGTTCCTTTACTACCATATCAACATTATTCTTTGCCAGATATACTATAGCATAATGAACTCTCTCATCAGCTCCTCGTCCTCCTCCTTCTCCTCCCTGGTGCTGCCTCTTGCAAGTTTCGACAGCCAGATAGACAATGACCGTGAACAAGTGCAGTGTACCTCCGGTTATTATAATACTACACCTTTCACTGACTTCAATCAGTCTTTTGACCTTCGACCACCACCCCTGACCCCCTCTTAATCACATACACTACCACCATCACCCACCACCCCCTTATTACCTAACCATGATATTCCTAAACGACTCGGAAATGTCGCTCGCCGTCGGGGGTTCATATCTCTCCGGGCGAATCGACACACCCTGCGAAAGGCGTTCCTCCATCATCTTGAGCAACACAGGCGGCACCGTCTCATCCGTCGCTCTAATCGTCAACCGAACCATCTGTACACGTTTCATTGTTTGTTAGCATCCCATCCCATCATATGCGTCAAAATTGAATTAGAGAGTGAGAGAGAATCAAAGAAAAAAAAAAAGCTCACCTGAGTCCCATAGTTAGGCTCCAACCTCATCAAACATCCAAACTTGCCTCCCTCGCTCGTATGCACCACACTAGCCCCGACAAAGTTCTTGCTGTTGGGATCCACGTTATACAGCAATCCCCATCTGAACCCCTCCAGCACCTGGCGAATGAAACTCTCCGTAATCTCCCTCTCCCCATCCTTGGGCCCAGAGAGTCCAAAGATGCGCTGGGCCTCGCGCGGCGCGCCGCCAATCTGCTTCCACCGCTTGAAAAAGTCGTCAGCCGACAACTCGGCCTGGTCCATGAACTTGTGGATGACGACGGGCAGTTTGAGGGTAAGCGCCTGCAGGGCGCCAGCCAGATACGAAATGCGGACGGTAGGCGCCTTCTCAAACACGCGCTTGGCTTCAAAAACGACGACCTGTTGTGTTTGCGCGCCCTGGTAGATGGTGGTTTCCGGCATGCTCTTGACGTCCCAAGACAGGTTGGCGCGCTCCGAAGGGTCCAGATCGAGCGTGGTGGTGAAGGAGCCGATGACGGCCGGTGTTTTGTTGGTGAAGTAGAGGATGATGGCCGCCATTTGGCCGCGATATTCGGCGCGCACGCCGACTTGGATCTGCCCGTCTTCGAAGAGAATGCCGTCGGCGCGCAAGAGGAGCCGGTTGAAGCCCTTCTCCCACCCGGGAGACAAGTGAGCAGCGCTGGCGAGGTTGGGCGCCTTAATGACTTTGGCTTCGGCAGGACCGATATTGTTCATGTCGAGACCGGCAAGGTCATTGGCAGATGAAGATCCGTTGGTGGCTCCGGCGGCCGGGGCAGCACCGCCGTTGGCTGGTCCGGTCTTGGTGCTAAAGGTCCGCCTGAGGCTGGCTTTCTTGGCCAGGCTGAGCTCTGCATTGTCTGCGTTGGCATCCTTGCCACCAACAATCCAAGTCCTCTTGTCGCTGGTGTTGGCGTGCTTCTGGTGTAGCCTCGAGAGCAGGGCGGATTCTCTTTCGGGGAATGGTGGCATTTCATCGCACACCGTTCGAAGAAGGTCGTCTGTGGGCAAGCTTGCGATGGCCAGGAACTCGCAGGCACGCTGTTGCAGTTCCGCATCGAGCGCGTGGCTATAGACGTGGAACACGTTGACGAGCTGCGGCTTAATTTCCGGGAACAAGTTGATAAACTTGATGAAGCACGAGAGGATCATGGCTCGTGTGCTGGAGGAGCATGCAGGAAGCTTGCCTTGAAGGGCCAGGAACTGCTCTATAGGACTGGAGCCCCTCTCCTCGGCAATGAGATGGCCGAACTCACCCAGGATATAGGCACCAATCTTGACAAGCGTCTCGTGGCAGTGGTCCTGCTTGCAGTATTGGAGAATATTCTGGGCTGCGTACACCTGAAGCTCCTCGTTGTTCGTAACAATCTGCGTCACTCGCTGCCAAACTTCGTCGCTGACGTGGTCGCCAGCCATGGCAATCAGGCGCAAGGAAATGTCAACATACCATTGCACGTCGGTGGCGTACTTTTCCGTAAGAATGGCAATCTTGAGCACCATTTCCTCCCGGATGGCAAAGTCGGCATTCTGTAGGTAGTGTAGCAACTCGGCCACGATCTGCTGAGCGTTCGACGTGTCGCACATGCTGTACAGAAGGTCGAGACCCTTCCTTCGAACACTGATATCCCTGTCCTTCAGAGAGCCGATAATCACATCCTGGTGCTGCTTGATCGGTTCCAGGGTGTCGGTTCGTGCTGCCAAGTGTGTCATGGCCTCGAGACCAAGATAGCGGACATTTGTCTCTCGCGACTGGATGAACCGGCCAAGTCTCTGGGATACCTGCTTCATGAGGTCATGCTCGGTATCGAGGTGGATGATGAGGTTGATAGCCTCGAACAGGACGGCGTTTTGCGCATTGTTCTGCTGAACGTTCTTCTGACTCTCCACAGCCAGGTTGAGGATCTTCTGCAGTGATTCCCGGATCATGGACCGGACATGGCTATCCTCGGATGGCGGGAAGTACTGCAGTAATCGTAGAAGCTTGACCTGGATCCATGGACAAGGCACCTTGTAGTAGAGGTAGTCCTGGCTAAACTCTCCATCGATGAGGATCCGTTTTAGCCTAGCGGCGGCTTTAACATAGGCACCCTTGTATTGCTCCGTGTTATCCTGCGCCAGCGCCATGACAAGGGATGTTACCGATAGCGCCACGCCGAGGTCGGTATCGTCCATTATAGATATTATACGTTCTGCCCATTGAGCCTGGACGATATCGGGGTTTTTGCGGTATAGTCGGAGTAGCGTGAGAGCCGCCTTTTTCTTTACGAACGCCTTCGATGTTCTATAAACGGAGTTAGTATGACAATGCGCCGCTTCCTGATGTAATAGACAAAACCACGTACGGGGAAATCAGAAGCCTGTGAACCTCGGGACTCAGCGCTTCACCCATCTCCTTGCCACCGACGTTCGCAATGGCGTGCAGCGCCAGGCAGTTGAACAGTTCGTTATGGTCCATCAAGTCCTTGCGAATGCTGTTGACGACCAAGTGTAAGAGCTCGTGCTTCTCGTGGAGGAATAGCGTCATAGCGAGGTAGCCGATCTGCTTTTCCGAGTACTTGGTCGCCGAAATTAGATTAACGGCCTCTAGGTGGCCAAAGTCGACGTTCCATCCCAGAATGTAGATATAAAGCAGCTATTTGCGCATTGGTTAACCGCGGTGTTCTTGCTCTTTAGGACTGGTACAAGTGGGCGCTCAGGGGGGGTTGGCGCGGCGCATACCTTGCAAACGTATTTCTTCTTGTGATAACCGCTTAGGCTGCCGTCCTTGAACTTTTGACGGATGTTGGCCAGCTCCTTGTTGATCCGCTTCTCCTCGAGTTCCCTAGCCCGAGCGTTTCTGAGATCGGCAATGAACTGGACCAAGCCGCGCATGTTGGAGTTGCTGCTGGACGAGCGGCCCAGGAAGCCGGTTCCTGTTGACGACGACATAATGGCGGTTGTGCTGAGTTGGCCCGGGGTATCTTGTTGTGATTAAGTTTTGTATTCGAGCTTCTCTGAGCCTGACTGTTCGGTCACGTATACACGGTGGTATCGTCCAGCAGGAGCTTCTTCTCTTCGCGGTTTCCGGAGAGCCAAATAATTCTGCTTTGCTTTTTTTTGCCGACCTTTTCACACTGAGAGCATCACGAGCAACAGAATTGATCCATCGACATTCGATAATTAACAAGCTAATAACCGTGGCGGCACGGGTGGTCGTCGGAGTTTAGTATTGTGGATGAATGGGTAGAAGTTGCGGTCGGCGCGGCGGCTGACAGCATCGATCGATGTCACTTCGTTCGGTGTTGAAGTGCTGAGTGGTCAACCAAAAGTGGAAGTTCGCGATGCGCTTCGTTCGGTTCGATGTTTCGTGGTGTACAGGGTATCGGACAGTCGACTGAGACAAAGACAGGAACCAGGGTCGCGGAGACAATGAAGGGCTGGCAGAAACACACACTTGTCAGGTTCAGTTCGCGACGTGTGCTGTGTCGAGTTGGGGAAGGTCGGCGTGGTCGGCGGCTCCGGACTGGTTCGTTGACGACGAGGATTCTCAGGGGAGGGGACTGGCGGACGGCGACGGGCGGATTGGCGATTTCCTCCACTGCAAAATAAAGGGGATCTCCGGGCATCCAATAAGTTTTGCCCGCTGTATACGATACCTACTGGGTGGCCCCCCGCGGACCTCGCTAGCCAGCGGGCAACCACGCTGTAACATGTACTTCTAGCGCTTCTCTATCACGAAAAGGGCGCCACAATGCCCCTTTTTGTGGCTAGTCGCACTTATAAACCCCCGGCAAGAAATGTGGCTTCCACGCTATCGAGAGGAGCTATGACGATTTAGATGCGCCTTGGCATCCACCAATCCGCGGTACCTCGATGTCCCGTGTAGCATCGATTGTCTTCAAACCCAAACTTCCCCTCTCAACTCTTGCCTATCATGCCGAAACCGGGCTCGAATTGTGACGGCTTCACTGGTGTACTTCGAGGATGCGGTTGAATCTGGCTCCAGTCTGCCGGCCGCAGCAATGGAAACCGCTCCTCACGGGCGGGACGGCCCGTCGATCATATGCCTTTCAGTCCGGCAGCCTCAACTTTGAAGTCTTCAACCGTCGCGCAAAGTGGTTGCAGAAGGAGAGGGCAGCTGCCAATGTTGAAGAGGGCCGTCAAGCCGACTACCTCAAGGATGAGGTCGCCATGCGCGTGTGCGAACGTATTTTGGTAAAAACATACCCCCGACTCCCTCTCCTCTCTTTTATACTATCTGTCATAACTAACCCCATCCCACCCCCTCCAGGACGTCAAACGCCAATTTCCCCGCGTCCTCGACCTCGGCGCAAACTCTTGCAACATCGCCCGCGCCCTCCTCCGCCCAGACCCAGACCCCGAATCCGAGCCCCCCGTCACCGACCCCCTAGCCACCAAGATCACCGAGCTCGTCGCCGCCGAATCCTCCCACTCCCTCCTCCACCGGGACCACGACCACCCCTCTCTCTCCACCACCCATGTTCCCGACTTCAAGCTCACGCGCCACGTCCTCGAGCATGACGAGCTCCTCCCCTTTGAGCCCGACTCCTTCGACATGGTGCTCAGCAGCATGTCCATGCACTGGATCAACGACCTGCCGGGCGTGCTCTCGCAGATCAACAGCGTGCTGAAGCCTGACTGCCCCTTTATCGGCGCCATGCTCGGCGGCGACACCCTGTACGAGCTGCGCACGTCTCTGCAGCTGGCGGAGCAAGAGCGCAAAGGAGGAATCTCCCCTCACGTGTCGCCATTGGCGGACGTGCGCGACGTCGGCGGCCTGCTGCAGCGCACGGGGTTCAAGATGTTGACGGTGGACGTGGAGGACATAGTGGTGGACTACCCGGACATGTTTGCGCTGATGCAGGACCTGCAGGCCATGGGCGAGGGCAACGCGGTGCTGGGGCGGGAGATGGGACCCATTGGCCGGGATGTGTTGCTGGCGGGTGATGCGATTTATAGGGCGCTGCATGGGAATGAGGATGGGAGCATTCCGGCGACGTTTAGGATCATTCACATGATTGGGTGGAAGGAAAGTCCGCATCAGGCGCAGCCGTTGAGGAGAGGCAGTGGGCAGGCGAGTTTGAAGGATTTGTTGGAGGGCCAGTGAGAAAGGGAGAGTGATAGAAATCGACAGGAAACAAGAGGGAAACAGAACTCAGATAGGAAATGAAGATACGTTGAAGCAAGATTTCTATGTGGTTAAGATAAGATTTTCACGACGTCATTTCGAGAATTCCAAGCAGTTGAAGTACCGTATCTGTTTTGTTGGAACTAGGTGTTCATGTCGTTGGAATAAAGTGTTTAGGGAGTTGAACTGAGTTGTTGGTGCCACTGAAACAAGGCTTCTTTGTATTCTAATAAGGTGCGGCGTTGGAGGAAGCACATATTTGTGTTGTTGAATAAGGTATTTAGAGAGTCGAGTCGACCTGTTGGTGTAGTTGAAATAAAGTGTTGTTTGTTGTGGCTTCTCTCTTCATTAGTAGCTGTTGGTCCTAGTACCCTGACTCAGCTGCTCCCTTATATCTTGGAGCCAACAGCACCGTAAAGGAGGCACAAGCATTTGATGGAGGCAACATGATTTCGTTGCCAATTCCACCAGAGTGACAATTGTTTACAAGGTCAGGGGTATGTAAACAAGACAATCCGGCCTGAGGCCGAGAATAGCCCAAGCATGCCACCTCAACCTCTCCTGTTCGTCAACCGCAGACACCCGACTTTAAATAGAGCCAGTTTGATATGTAATGCGTTATGTATTATTGCTGTATGATGGCGTATATCTCGCTCGGAACCGCATCGCATCGCTTCAACTCGATAACCAGCTTTCTCTTGCCCCCTTCCATAACCTCCTTATACCCTCCGGAAGTCGGTCATGACGCGGCCTATGCAACCCAACCCAGCAACCTCGACAACCTTCTCATGCCAGCTCAACAAAACACTCATAGCCGAACCGGTCGATTCGTTCGCAGCCATAGGGCGCTGGCTGACTTGGCTGAAACCGGTAGCCTGGGGAGTCATGGCGCGAGCGGGCGTCGTCCTACCAGAGCCATCGGAGGAGGCGGACGTGGCGCCCATGCCTTTGTACCTATTATCGTATAGAAAACCAAACCGTTAGCTATATCCCATCTGTCTTCAACTCCTCGACCTCGCCGCCGAAAGTGAACAAACTAGAAACAAGGAAAGAGTGTCGAGGAAGCAGCATACAAATACTTCATCAAAACATCCAAACACTCGCTCCCCCCTGGCTGTCCGTAGATGCGCTGCAACATGGGCGTCATCTCGCTCGCCTTGATGCTCTGCAGCACCTCAATGACCGTGTGCAGGTGCGTCTCCTTGGCCGCTTCGGACCCGGCGTAGACGGGCATCTCGAGACATCCGCGCAAGGCGCCCTCGGCGTCGCCGCCCCTGAGCAGCTGTCGCACCTGGCCGTTGATGGCGCGCGCGTCGGCCTCGCTGATTTCCGGAAGGGGAGGGTGCAGCGTCGACACGTCAAAGTTGACCGACGAGTCTTCGGTGAGAGCGTCAATGTTGATGGTGCGCCAGGCGTCGCTGAGCGTTGCTTGCGTGTGTTGCTGGATGATGGACATGTTGACTTTTGGGTGGTGGTGGGTTGGTTGGTTGATGACGGCGGTGTGAGGGTCCCGCGTTCTGGTAATTAGGAGGGGTTGATGTTTACGATGGAATCCCGATACGTTCGGCTTGAGTCAAGGGTGAAGTTGGTGAAGTTACCCGATTACTGTGTTCTCGGTCGTGGAATTTGGGGGGATAGGTTGGCGTCTGGAGGCTTGATTCGTTCGGCGGGCGGTGTTGGTGATGATGCTTGGACTAGGTAGGTGTCTTGGCCAGTGGAGGCTTGAACTGCAGCTAGGCACCTAGGAACAGCGTCTGGAGAGGGGAGGCGTTGTTGCTTCAATGCCCTGAAACGGGCTGAACTGGGGGGGTACTGGGTACCTCTGGCATTAGGTGCCCGGAAGCGGCCCCTCTCACTGGCTCAGCCTGAGCTGGGTACATACCCGGGTGGGGCCGCGGATATATACCACCTGCACTACCTAGGTGTAGAATGCCCGGTTTGCGGACAGCTGGCCTGGACGGGAGCTTCCAGACTTCCAATCCCGTCCCGTCACAACTTGAACTAAACCTCCAGGTTCCGGCCCCGGCCCGTCACTGGACCCCACTCCGGCCCGGTCCCTTAACGTACCTATGTAGGTACTTACTTGTGCTTTCCTTGTCAACTTTCTCCAATCTTCACATGCCTGGTCCCCTCTGATGTTTACTTCCTCGCACCCAACTTCAGCGTTGCCTCCGTCTTCCATGAGGGGTGACTTCAAGCCGGCGGGTGCCATCCACATCATGATTCCGGCCGGCTTCCCTCACTTGAGACTTTGTGCTCCCTAGGTAGGTAGCAGCATTGTTGAATGCCCATCCCGTTCCCTCCCTCTAAGAGTTTCTGGAAATGTCCCTGCTCCAAGATAGGGACGATGCTGCCAGTCCGTACTTGACTCTAGGATTGGGAGGGGTGGTTGTGACCGTAGCCATCGCCCGCCGGCTACATCAACAACAACAACAACAACAACAACAACTGCAAGTATTTCATCCTCTGCTTGAGCATCATCTTGGGTCTTCGTGCCTCTTCCAAGCTCAGTCTAATTACACGGCAATATCACCACGACCATGACTACGACCATGACTACACCCATAACTACAAAGTCCGGGCGCTACTTGTACACCACCTACAGGCGCCAAATCAGCCCCCTCGTCTACTGGGTTTTGCAAACATCCACCGCTCTCGTCTGGTCTCTGCCATCATCATATCCAGACGCCCCAGACGTGCCTCTCGGCGACCCGCACATCACTCTATCAAACCTCGTTGCCCTCTCCAAGTTCATCGGCAAGCATGTTGATCCCGGTGATGTTCCTACCGCCATCCTGGGCTTGTTTCTCCTCGTCACCGGCGCGGTATTCGATTCCCAGGCCGCTTTGCAACGTATCGCAACCAAGAAAACACACCCTGATGTCGAAAATGGCATTGCTTCCCTCGAGAGATTCGCCGAAGCCCTAGGAGAATGTTACGTTGCTCTCGGCGGGTGGGATTGGGCCCTCCATGATTATACCCCGTTAGACAGCTTGTCTCGCTATCTTCCCTTGACCAAGGGAAATGTCGACTGTCTGGTGATCAAGGACTTTGTCGCACTCGATCCCCCTGAAGCTTCTGAGGCCGACCAAGACTCGGAGCAAGAGACGTCTCAGCAAGCCGGCCCTCGGCTTGGGCACCAGCGGAAGCAAGCCAGACCCGGCAAAGGCAAAAGGGGCAGGCGTAGGAAAGATAAAGATACAGCAAAGCCCAAGGCCAAGGACATCGACAAGGGACCTCTCCCTGACGTGCTCAGCAATAGACTACTGGATAGCTTTGATGTCACCCTGGATCAGCATGGTATGACTACCGGTTATATCATAGCTGCCTACGACCTGATCAAAGACTGTGTTGAATTGAGAGCATATCTCCAGGACCTGTGGTACGAGGTTGCCTATGAAGGGCTCCACAGCGCGGTAGCGGGTGCCCTATCCAACACCGCCCTGAACTTGGTCCAAGGTTGTGAAGACGTCTTGTCGGCAAATTTCCCTGACAAACAGACTTTTCACAGCGTTATAAGCACCGTGTCTTCCGTCCTCGGGTTCGGCGCTGAGCGAGAGGTCACTGGAGCCAACAAAGGAGACACGGATCTCATGGATGCCAAGGAGATGCTTCTACTGCATACCTACCACGATCTTTTTGATTTTATCACTGATTACCAGAAGAATGACAACGGCAAACCAACAAAACGGATGATGAAGGAAATCAATAACTGGAATCCTGATTTTGACCTCCGACGTGCCACCATGGCAGAACGTCTCAAATGGCGTCGTGCATATACCATCAACTGGCTATATGACCTGGTCAATGTCTTGTCTAACAGAATGGCCCAGGTAACAGAGGTCAGTGCAAAAAGGCCTGGAGGAGGGATATCGCGTAAAGAAGCACAAAGTGCCAGAGTGTTGGGGCTCACGTCGTTTGCCTTTCTTATCAGTCTTCTCGCTACCTCGGACGGCAAAGTTGGCGTTCGCGAGCGGATTCTACCTCATCATGTCTTTCAGCTGCAGTGCATCGTCGATTCACTTACCGTGACAAAAGGGTGGAAACATGATCTACCCAAGGGCCACGTTTTTATTGCACCTCCGCCCGCCGACAAATTCCGGCCAATGCGCGATGTCGACCTTTTTCTACACGGCATCGATGACGCACGGCCAGGCATCCTCACTGGATTTGAGCGTCTGGAAGCCTTGCTGAGGATTGAGGCCAATCTGCGTCCAACAAGCAAGAAGAATCCGCAATTCCGGGAGATACTTGAGGCTGTCCGCGAGGTATGTACTCAGTTTCTCGGAAAACACCCAGCCCTGGGGAACAGGTCTCGATTTTCCACCACAGATTCAAACGCGTTGTGGCACTATTCGCCCTATCTTTGCGGTGCCGGCCTTGCAGAAGCTCTGGACGCGCAGTTTGTCGCCATTCTGTATGTCTGGGGGCATCAGATGGAGCCTGTGATGCTAATGCATTTGTACAATTTCCTCCGACAAGAAGGATACCTCGAAAAGCCCGTTGATTTGTTCGAGAGCTTACAGCGACTCTTCCCAACTAGCTTCTTTCCGAATGGAGAGATCCCTGTTTCAGACCATGGTAACGCCCTAGCCGACTTTCTAATCGACCTCGAGAACAAAGACTCGAGGAAGAAAGGAAAGTGGAGAACCGTGAGTGGTTCGGGAGTTCCTGTTCATCTTACAATCCCATATGAGTCTGTGTTGGTCCTCCTACGCGAAAAATCATGGAACATTTACCGGGTCCCTGATGATCACGTCGCTCTGTCTTCACTTCTTGCGAAGCTTCGTATTGCTCAAACCGAGCATATCACGGATCATGTCACCGGGAAAAGACGTCTGAAGAAGACAACCCTCGTTAAGCGGGCCAAGGCCGCACTTGTCACCGAAGGCCTCGCGGAAGACCTTGCCGAAGAGAAGTTGTTAGCCCTGGCGGATGCGCTGGAGGAATTTGACTGTATGCAAGAGCAGCAAGCAGAGGATGCCCACGACACGCCGCAAGAAATCCGAAACTGTGAGTGGTTGGACATTCTAAAGGTCGATCTCACAGCCGACGTCGATGGCGACCATCCAACATGCGGCCTCAATCTAGCCAAGATCACGTGGCGCATGATCAATATTTTCGGCTGTATCGAGGAGGAGTTGCGCAGATTGGGCAACAAGACTTATCTTAACTTTTGCAATGACAAGGGCCAGTATGATAGCAGCAAATACGTGTATAAAGAGACAGACGCACGCACGCTCCTGGTTCCGATGGCCATGGTCAACAAAGACGTGCAATTTCTTGAGGTTGTCGCAAAGACTCTCGCAGAGGAGTTCACGACGTTGTCGGATTCGATCTATTGGCGTGAGCTCAAGTCAGGCACCGGGCGATCAACATCACCACGGCAGACAGGTCATGAAGCTACCGCCGATGCTAGTGCCAGTACCGGCGACGAGAATGCCGTTCATGTGGATCAATGCGTGGTTATCAAGGGTGTGGCTACTGAAGATGGCACCATGTTGATCTGAGATTGAGTAGATTGTATTTTCTCGTCTGTTGTCTTTTCGTTATACATGTTATCAACAGCAGTACAGACTACTGTCTTATCACAGCGTATGAAAATTGAGATATTTTAGTGTCAATCTCTCTGGTCAAGGTAGCAAATGATCTTAACCTATGTTTTAGTGTGTTCGCGTCATTCCGGTCATGTGAAATCCTCGATCACACCCCCGTTACATTGCCATGATAGAAGGTGTTACACACGAAACTCTCACTCAACAGCCGGATCCGATGCTCACGACCAGAAGTTGAGAGTTGGAGTAAGTACCTTCTTTGCTAAGGACTTCCCCTCCCGTCGTCAAGCGACCTATCAATACAAGCCCAGCATACGTGCCCTATTCTATTCAATATACGCCGTCTCAAGACCCATCAGCAAGCTAAGTACCGCCTGCCATTACTCCTCTTTAAACCCATCTCCTCCAGCTCGTAGTAACAACGAAGCACCACACATCAAACTTGTCATTCGCCTTTGGTTACGTACATGAATCAAAGAAAGTTACAATTACACTTGAACATTTTCTAGAGAAGTCGCCTATCCCAGATGTGGAAAAAAGGGCGGGCCTGCTGTCGTCTACCATAGCGTGCCTCAAAAGAATCTAACCGCATAACAAATTAGACAAGTGAAAGATACAAAGAGAATAAAGCAAACATGAGAAATGGGCATCACTAACTATTTATCTAGACGAAGTCATCGATACATAAAGATTTCTTCACAGTCTATATTATATACAACAAACGAAAAGAAAGGTGGTGAACGACGAGTTTCCGATTTATACTACTGCCCTGACTAAGATACAACGAAGTGTCTGTCTTATAACTTGGTGTCCTGCCAGCACCGCACCAGAATATGTGCTGATTTGGGTTGTGCTTAGGCTTATAGGCCCATGATAGGAATAAGATAAGCACATACGACCATACCCACTGGAAAACTCGGGATCCCGTCCGCTCTCCCATAGATAAGCCAGTGAGGGGCAGCTTATGTATGGGAGTTGGAAGGATATGAACCGGGTTGTTTAATCACGTGGTAGGGTCAAAAAACTGAATAACCACCTCCCATATCTATAATCGTTCGGACGGAGGCAAGATAGTAAGTAGGGAGCCGGCGCTAAAAAGATGAATATATTTGGGCTAATTACAAGATAAGTTGGCTGTCCTGACACTGCGGCTAGCCCTGTTAACGTTTGTCAAAGTGCAATATCCGCGGTATGGGTATACTAGCACAATTCTCAGTCGCGGCCGTACAAGCTCCTCTTCCGGTAGCTGAATCGTGGACTTCAACGAAAGCATTTCTTTAGCAGTATGAACAGCTGCTTTCTGTCTTACTGTCGGTGCGATCGCCGCTTGGCATCGGTTCCATGCGCCCACAGGTCCCAAAGGAAATGGAAAGTAAGGCATCAATGCATTGTCCGCTCAAAGACACTGGTTATCACAACGGCTTGGTTGTTGACAGCAACTGGCAGCCTAGGCTCTACTGCAATTTGCAGGTTCCATTCGGATTTACAACCCTACCCGCGCCGCGCTCGCTGCTTGGTACACTATTGCCAATCCTGTAGACCCGTGACGGAAAGCCACGACCCTCGCCCAACCCAGGCAATTGATTTGGCGCCCTGAACCTTCCGGGTCCATGAATGCCCAGCCTCAAAAAAGAAGTGGCGTTTGGGTAATTGGCGTGTAGTTGGGAGGGAGCCGCCAGCCATCTTACGCCTGACATAATGAAACAGAAACACTCAACACGACGCCTCATACTCCACCATAGCCTTGAGAAAACATAGTGCTCTCGTTTCTTTTTATTTTGTCCTTGGGGGCAGGATAGAGGAATCTCCAGCATTTCTACAAATTCAATCCATTGATCGTCAACAGTATAACATTCGCTGCCTCCAGGACAACACAATCATCCTCGAGTGCCTCATCTACGTCGCCTCGCTCAAGACTTTCATTCCCTAAAGCTACAATATCTCAACGACTGCACAATACGGAGGGTTGGGAAGACGATAAGGGCCAAAAGCAGTCTCGCCCTACACCTCTGTAATAAATCCCCGCCGCCACCGCTATGTCCGCTACTCGTATGTCTGCCCCAGCCGCTCCAGCTGCCGGTTCCGCCGATACAGAGACGTCCGCCAGCGTAGATAATACGAAGTAGGTGAAAGTAGGTTTACTTCTTTTCCCCCTACGACATTTCAGAATGACGCTAACACCTACAAAGAATCTATATTACAAGTTTCCCATATCACGTAGCCATATTCGCTTGCTTCAACTATTGCCGTCTGAAAACGAGGACGCCGTAATACACTGTCGGCTCTTCTCCACCGCATTGGATTCAAAAGGCATTCGTCCGTACGAGGCCTTATCCTACGTGTGGGGCTCCGAGGCCAAGCCTTGTTCCATCTCTATAAACGGGTGCGACTTGCCCATCGGAGAAAATCTTCACGCAGCGCTATTACATCTTCGAGATCACTCCATTGAACGAACTATATGGATAGATGCCATTTGCATCAACCAAGAAGACGAAGAAGAAAAAGGACACCAAGTTCAATCTATGGCGAAGATCTACGCTAAAGCAAGTCGCGTAATTGTTTGGCTTGGAGAGGAGGCAGCCGGTAGCGACCAAGCGCTCGAAGAAATACGCATCGCAACAGAGCTGTCTACAAGACGATTAGACAATAAAGCGGGAATCCTTACACTGCTTCAACGACCGTGGTTTCAGCGCATCTAGGTAAGGGAACCGATATCAAAGTATTATAACTAAGGAAACTGACAAATTAATACAGGTACTCCAGGAAGTTGCCGCGGCTCGCCATATCCTAATCAAGTATAGTTTTACTGAGGTTGACGGATCTGCATTCTGCTTAGGCCTAGATGCATTAAACCTCTCCAATGAACTCGGCGCAGACCTGTAGGCTCGAATCCTTTTAGTAACCTACCTCATACGGGGCGCAATCTTCCGGCCCAAAAACGTCTACGCAACCAGTCAGGCGGACAACTTTTCTCTTGACATACGCCCTTTGGGTAAACTGGTAGAGATGTACCACACCCGCAAAGCTACGGATCGTCGCGATAAAATATATACCTTACTCGGTATAAACTCTAATAATACAACCGCAGCAGGATTATTCGCCGACTACGACATTTCGTGGAAACAACTCTTCTGCAAACTCATCCACTTCCTCTTACCTGAATTGGTCTCTGTAGACCTTTCGGACGATAAGGAGATTACCGTCATTAAGGGTAAGGGCTACATTCTTAGCAAAGTATCCTCGGTCAAGAGAAATACTACTTGGGAAGATAGACAAAATGTGGCCTTTACTTGGAAAAATGCCCCCAGCTATATTTGCGTAAAGGAAGCATGGGGTTCTTCCTGGACCCTCCCGACCACAGCAAAATCCGTCCAAAAAGGAAATGTCGTCTGCCTTCTTCAAGGAGCGTCGAGACCTACGATCCTCAGGCCATATATCGATCACTGGGCGGTTATTATAATTGCAATTTCCCCAGCAGGCGATTCACAAGCTACGACCGGAGATATTACGTGGTTAGAACTTCTACAATCGATAACCGTCTTTCCACACAATCTTCGACTTGAGTAGAATTGGGATATAGACCTAGACAGGCAGCAAGATAAAAACAACCACGACTACTTTGCAAGCATTCTAGTACCAGAGCATTCAAAGACATGGTGGGAAGGTTGTCTAAAGGCGGCGACTAGGATACGGAATGTCAGATTGGCATTACAAGAGGTGAAACAGTATGGAGTTACAGTGAAGAATCTTCGGGAAGAAACGGCGGTTCTTGAGAAGGTATTGAGGAGCATGAGCAACCTAAAAATGACTTGCCTAAGTCCCGAGGATTTAGAAAAGGAAGATGCAAAGGAAACAATGGTAAATCAACTTATTAAGGACAAGGGCCAATGGACGCTTCTATACTTGGCGGCAGAAAACGGGCATGAGACGGTCGTAAAATTGCTTCTCAACACCGACAAGGTCAACTGGCATAGGGAGGAGCTATAGACGGCGGAGGTGCTTCTGACGGAAAAAGTTGGGCGACAAGCAGAAGAGCTTCATAAGAAACTGAAACCAGGGCAGCTTAAATACCTGGAAGGGAGTGCCGGTGAATGGGCAGCCCAGCGCCATTCACTGGGCAACCTGGGCACGGACTTCCAACAAAAAGACTATATATTGATCTTGAAGATGCTTTGGGATACTGGCAAGATTGACGAAGATCCTGATTATGAATGGACACCGCTACATCGAGCGGCGATAGCTGGGCATGAGGTAATCGTTCAGCTACTTCTTGATACTGGTAAGGTTGACGCAGGTACTAAGGATGAGAATGGATAAATAGCGTTGTATATAGCGGTAGAGAATGGGTATAAGGCGGTTGTTCAGCTGCTTCTCGATATTGGCAAGGTTGACGCAAATTATAAGAATGGAGCTGGAGAGACAGTACTATATTGGGCGGCAGCGAATGGGTATGAAGCGGTTGTTCAGCTGCTTCTCAATACTGGTAAGGTTGACGTAGATCCTAAGGATAGGTATAGACGGACACCGCTATATATAGCGGTAAAGAATAGGCATATGGCGGTTGTTAAGCTGCTTCTCGATATTAGCAAGGTTGATGCAAATTATAAGAATAGAATTGGAGAGATAGTGCTGTATCTAGCGGTAGCGAATAGGTATAAGGCGGTTGTTAAGCTGCTTCTCGATACTAGCAAGGTTAATACAAATATTCGAATAATTTGGGCTGGAAAGATAGCGCTATATATAGCGGTAGAGAAGGGGTATAAGGGGGTTGTTAAACTGCTTCTCGATACTAGCAAGGTTAACGCAAATTATAAGAATAGAGTTAGAGAGATAGTACTGTATATAGCGGTAGAAAAGGGGTATAAGGCGGTTGTTAAGCTGTTTCTCGATACTGGCAAGGTTGATACAAATGTTCAAACTTGGGCTAGAAAGACAGCGCTGCATATAGCGGTAGAGAAGGGGCATAAGGGGGTTGTTAAACTGTTTCTCGATACTAGCAAGTTTAACGTAGATTATAAGGATAGGGCTAGATAGGTACTACTATATTGGGCGGCAGCGAATGGGTATGAGGCGGTTATTAAGCTGCTTCTCGATATTAGTAAGGTTAATACAAATGTTTAAACTTGGGCTGGAAAGATAGCGCTGTATATAGCGGTAGAGAAGGGGTATAAGGGGGTTATTAAACTGCTTCTCGATACTAGTAAGGTTGATGCAGATGCTTAGGATAAGGATAGATAGACACCGCTGCATATAGCGGCGAAGAATAGGTATAAGGCGGTTATTAAACTGCTTCTCGATACTAGCAAGGTTGACGTAAATTATAAGAATGGAGTTGGAGAGATAGTGCTATATATGGCGGTAGCGAATGGGTATGAAGCGGTTGTTCAGCTGCTTCTCGATATTGGTAAGGTTGATGCAGATCCTCAGGATAAGGATGGATAGACACCGCTATATATAGCGGTAAAGAATGGGTATGAGGCGGTTGTTAAGCTACTTCTCGATACTAGTAAGGTTGATGTAGATCCTAAGGATAAGGATGGACGGACAGCGCTGTATAGGGCGGCAACGTATAGGGATAAATGTGACGAACGGCAGTCTGATCTGCCTAAGTGAGATAGCTGAAGGTATAACGACTATCAGTGCTGTTCGGTGAAGCCAAAGGGTTCACAACAAGTATGCTCGTAATACTAGTCTCAATGATGGTGATCAAGTTGTATTGACTACTGTCGAACTATCTAACAATCTGAGTTCTCCAGCCGTCCCTTTATACTTGTGACTGTTATCCGCCGTTGCGGGCTCACTTGTATTATCGTAAGTCGAGCTCACTCCGTGAGCCCGGTGTTGGCTCACTCCGTGAGCCCGGTGTTGGCTCGCCAGCGTGAGCCCTGCCTCCGACGCCTTTCCTGTCCCTGCCCTGGCCCGGGGTTACACGAGCTAGCCCTTCTGGGTCGCTTGTGCTACCGATGGTCTGGTTGGCCCGTGTGCTTGCCTTAAGTTCGTAACAATAAAGCGGGTATTTATTACGATCCAATAAGGATTGATTATATAACTAGGCTAGACAGACCAATTAGGGCCGCGCCGGGCGCCGGCGCCGTAAGGCCTCACCGGCGCAACGGCCCATACTGAAGAAGGTAGTATAAAAGGAAGGCCTTCCCAGGCCTTCCGGTACTGGCTCTTCAGCGAGCAATAGCTTCTACAATCGATCAGTACCTTTTGGCTACTACTACCGTTGCTTATTGTTCATCCTAGTGATATACTCCTGTGCTTGTAACGGTTCGTTATATTATTAAGCTACTCAGGCTTGCATCCTAAGAAGCAGGCTTGGAGGACAACTCCACCTCGAGTTAGCCTTTCACAATCCTTCCTCCTATAAGAATTAATCTTAGTATCACAGGATTAGCCTGTAATGGGTATAGCACGTAACCACGTGCTATGTACGTTGTGCGTGCCTAGCTATGCCCTCTATATAAGGCCTGGCTGGCACACCACTTCCTTCCTCCTCTCCTCGTACAACTACATATATCCATATCCATACCTAACGTCGAGTCCACCCGTGATACTTAGTTTACTCCCTAATATTTATCGTTTACTCCCTATTACTTCCTATCGTATTGGAAGTTCCCCTAATCGTCGTTCAACTCAACAACAATGCTAGAAGGATCACAATAGCAATATCACGCAAAATGTATTCACAACAGTCAAAAGTGACAGAACCTTCTCGTATGTTCTACTCCCAGCTATATTTGCATAAAGGACGTATAGTCTAAAGACTCGAAATCTTCGCAAGTATCATCAAGCTCGTCGGCGAGAGTGGTTAGTTCTTCAAGGCTAATTAGCTAGCTATAACAAGGGCTGTATTTAGAGCTTGGAATAGTAGTTCAATTCAACTAATAAACTACTTTAGTCTCGAAGGCCTTATTAATCCTCTCAACCTCCAGGGGAAGGCTAGGCTTCAAGGCTTTCTTATTCTAAAGGGAAACGGTACGTACTTGAAGTACGCATTAAGCCTTATCATTTAAGGCTCCAAGGCATCTATTTAGTAGCCAGCATATATGTGGATCTCTTAAATACCTTTATCTATTCTCTATCTTCCTTCTAGCGCTATCCTTTATTTAAGCGCCTTGCTTCTTACTTGGTTGGTTAGGGTTACTTTTATGATGATTAGGGATTGTTTTATGGTGTTTTATTAGCGTCTGCCGTGGTTAGCTTGCTAGCCCGATAGTATCGAGAGGGGTTTGGGTAAGTAGTACCCATAGCTGAGGGTCCGGCCGCGGGTCCGGCCGAGGGTCCGACCGAGGTGAATATTGCGGCCGGATGCCACCGGGCATCTCGAGGCTAATGCTAAGCGTTGAGGCTCTATTGAGCCTTGCGACCTTAACCCTAGACTATAAGCAATGTTCGTATAACACACAGCGTTAACCTCCGCGTATCTAGCATAGCATACAAAATACGCTACGAACATAAAATTGTAAAGAGACAATCCCCTACACCTTATCCTCTGAAATGTCCTCAACCACGCCGCATATACCCTATAAATATAATAGGTTTGCTAAAAGCGCTCCTATCACGGGGCAAGGCAACTGATAGGGGGTAGGTTGGATATGCGTAGTTGTACGAGGAGAGGAGAAGAGAGGTGTGCGTAGATCTGGCAATATGGGGCAAGGCACGAAGGCCATGCCCAGAGCCGGGACCAGCGCACGTGCACATGCATGTGATGTGCTAGGCACAGTTACAGGTAATCCTGTGACACTCCCGGGTTTAGATGACATAATTAATTCGATTATAACTCTAAATTCTAATAGAGCTATCTCGGATTCCTTCACACCCAACTTCTCTACGCTCAACTTCTCTACACCCAACTTCTCTACGCTTAACTTTTTAAGACCCGACTTTTCGGCTCCGGTTAATCCCATACTACCTTTAATCCAGTCCTCGTTCCCTACTTCCCCTACCAATTTATCTAACTCCCCGCCTAAGCCAGTACTTACGCCTATCCACTTTACTTCTCTAAACTTTCTTTCTCTTTTTAAAGAGAGTCTAAATAATACTAAAGGGCTAAAGAGTCCTAAAGTCCCAAAAATAGTCTCTTACAAACGAAAGAGGTATTACAGGGCTATAACGTTCCTGTCACGATGCACCAGCTCACGTAGTTCCGTATCGCGTAGTTGGGTACAAATGAATAAATAACTAAAGCTAAAGAAGAAAAGAGGGGAAGATTGAAAGCTGAGGTCCAGAGTGCATCCTTATATGGGATGAGCTCAGATTCTGCCAGCCTCTACCGCCTTCCTTATCTAATCTAATAATCCCCATCGTCACAGTTCCTATATAATATACACATCCGAGTTCTGCTAGCAAGCAGAACATCGTTCTATCTTTTACCTCAACAGAGGATAGGTTTGGCGGACTTGGCTAATGTACACGCCTCGCCCTATTATAAGAGGGATACCTTCAAGAAGGATACCTTTAACGAAGTAGCAGTGGTACCTCAAAAGGTTCGGAAGTGTAAAAGGTTAATAAAGAAAGCTCGGAAATAGTAGGAGAAAGAAGTGTTACGATCCAACCAACGAGCATAGATAGATTGACCAATTAGAATAGTTCCGGAGTCCCAAATAACGGGACTATGGGACGGACCTGAGGGCCCGAATAAGGGGACTACGGGACCGGCTGAAAGCCAGTATATAGGAAGGCCTCCCGGCCTTCGTTATTATGGCTCTTCAGCAAGCAATAGCTTCTACAATCGATTAGTACCTTTCGGCTACTCTTACCGTTGTTCTAATCCCAGCGATATACTCCTGTGCTTGTAACGGTTCGTCACAGGAAGCAGCCTCCACGCGCTCTACATGTCTTATCTATTTAGAAAACTTCAATTATCAAAATAACCTTAGTAGACACCATCGGACGAAGCATTTCATAATAACGACCTTTACACCTTTCTCATACCCCTAATATCAGCGGGAAGGGAATGAAGAATTCAAAATCGAGGCGGCAAAGGAGTGGAGTAACTATATTGAAAGAGTACATGGTTCAATTAATACTCCGAGTCTCCGCGAGCCTAACGTTAAACCCAAAATAACAGCTACAACAATCAAGTCCAGATCCACTCCTTATTTAATATGCGGCTAATTGTTCTTCCAAGGAAGTAGTCTTTTAAGGCATATGAGTAAGTATTACAAAATCGAGGAGCCGTTCGATTGTCCCACATGTAAGAGAGGAGGGAACAACATCCAGATTAATGACCTGGATTCGTGGCTTACACATACGGCGGATGTTCACGGTTGTAATAGGCAAACAGGAGTTGTTATTAATAAGGAATGCCTACTGAAACAGGGACAGAAGAAGAGGAAGAGAGAAACCATAGTGGAAAAAGCTATAAAACGTACTAAATCAGAATCCTAAGTATATAGAATACAAACAAGAATGCTGTCTCCGTCTCTCCCACCGAGATATCTCCTCCTGGAACCATGATTGCGACAACCGTGATCGCAACCAAGCCCGGCAACAATGGTGAGTCCTTCAATTGCCTTGATGTTTCTGATTGTGCCGCCCGATTGATTATGCCGCCCGTCTGATTGTGCCGTCTGGGCGTGCGAAGAATTCATGTGATCCTCCTTGAGACTCGACATCTCGGGGTGCGGTTGCGATTAGTGGGGCGGTATTGCGGACCGGGCGGGACCGGGCGGGGCCGTGGCGGCGGAGTGGGCCCCGAGAATGACGGAGCGGTGGGAGCACAACCGGACAGTAACTGCCGAAGCCGAGCAACTCGTAATAGCCTCCAGCGCCTCAATCTCCAGATTGGGTAGCATTATTTCTCAGACCTCATCGGGCACCATCTCGTTAACGTATTAACTGACCTAAGACCTAGTTTAGTAGAACCTATGCTTTTGGCGCATATATATAACCATATCATACGTTAAAGCTCCCAACTCCTTAACCACATCTCGCACCTTCTCCTCGTCTAGCCATTCGGAATGCTCATAAAGGGTTTCTACGACGACATCTCTTAAGCCTCTGTCGTCTTCAATAGTAGATTCGTACACCACTAGCGCTGCTCCAAGGAAATCATCGATGTCCAAGGAGACAGTAGCCGCCGCCTTGAATTGTCGAAGCGCGACAGCCTTCAGTCCACTGATCAAGTACTTCTCTGCTAAGGCGTAAATTTTGGCATGAGTCAGAAGGGCGTCCGCTGCCGGTTCATTGACGTTGGTTCCGTATCCGTCCATTTCTAACCCATCAAAACCACTACGCTCGTGTTGTAGCCGTACGTCATAGTCAAAGTGGTATAGATAATATACTATTATATAGATAAGCCGAAGATCATCATCTAGGAGGTCAATCTTTCCTTCTTGTACCTCCTAAATATAATGTTAGTTTAGTGTCGTTGCTAGTGTATAGATTGTTACTAGCCTTAAAACTTCCGCGACAAGCTGCAGAGAAGAACTCGGACTGTATGCATACAATAGCCCTATATATATAGTATTCCATTCCTCCGCAGGATATCACGAGGTCTGAGTACTCCCCGCTGGAGTAGAGCCTAATTGGAGGCTATTGTCAATACTTGCAAGTTCCGAAGACGGAGGAACGACGAGAGCGAAATGATCATACCCTTTTAGAGAACTTATTAGGTCTTTAGAGGGATCATCTCCGGCTGTACCGCGGGCTGCCTGAGTTATGGAGCTAGCTGGCGAGCCTCTATAGCCTGTAAACGCCATTCCAGAACCTGATGTTGTTGTCTGCGCGTAATGGCGTACAAGAGTTGTCGTTTTTCTTGAGAGGAAGGCAAAGGCATGCCGACTCGAGTCCTGGCGATGCTGCCGAAGCGCTTGTGCGTCTTGAAAATAACGATCGCAATCCGTACAATACTTCATCTGGGCCAGTACTGGGAATGCCTCAAGTCTGCATTAGGCCCCCCTCTGTTGTTATAGCCATTTTGTATTCATCTCTTGTATTATAGCCCGACCCCGCCCAAAATAGCCAATTTGCCACGTAGCTTCCTTAAAATAATTGACCAAGGCACCCATTCTAGATTCAAGAAAATTTTCACCTGTTGGTGATATCCAATACATATGACACTGTGAGATACACAGTATAATTGAGCTATCACTTTGAGATGTTACGTTTCTTTCCAACCGTATACTATCCAATTATCCTCCAATAGACCCACTTTCTTTGGGGTGTACCAAACTAAATTAGCGTTCCGTTCCCTCGGGATACTTGAACTAAGCGGCTTGTAATTCAGTGCGAACGCAGCACCAATGATCACTCCAGCATGCGGAAGATTTTTTACCGCCTTTGCAAAAACTGGTTGTGATGAGACTGTTGGCAGACTTGATCGTTCATTGGATAAAGATAAGGAGGTTTGCCACAGGTGTAATGCGAGCGCTGTACGCGAAATCGCTGTAGTGGTTAGTAAAGAGGGGTAACAATCGGATGTTGACATAAGAGCTGAGATTGCGTGAGTTCTAGATGGGATGAACGTAAACGAGCTATTCCAGAGGTGGGAGGCGACTGTTGTAACCGGAAGTTTAGTATTGTTTAATGAGACGGAGCCGTTCAGTGGAGAGGGAATTGTTGTAATAATTGAGGTTATATTTGCTTTACACAAAGTGGATACTAACGAAATAGTTATCAGTTGGTTTGATACTAGGTTATCTATTGTAAATGTTTTAGAAGATAAACCTAGAGAGCTACGGGTAGTATCTAATGTAGATGACTCTATAGTATTCGATAAAATATTAAGACAGCGAACAGTTCTATTTTGAATAGGTATGGTTTTCATAACGTTACTAATTGTAATTTTAGCTATATAACAGTTTTCAATAGATGTGCCACATTGCCTAACTTAGGTTAGTTTATATTAGAGGGATCGAAGACTTAAGAAAAATACTAAAAGATAAGCACATTGCTACTTGGAAGAGTTAGTACAATAAATTTAAATACTAATAGTTGCGGGCAATTGGAATATTCGAAAGGGATTACGTATTTGACGTCGGTAGTAATTATAGTAGCTTCGTATAGCGACTCTGCATTTCCACTTTTAAAAGTTAGTTAAATACTTTACGAGGAGCTTTTGCATTGAATTTATATAGTACGAATAGGGAACCTAGGAGTTAATTGTAATGGAGGTTCTATAATATAAAGGCTATTTATAAAAGCGCCAATAGCGATGTAAAAGAAGAGAAATTGCCACAGTATATTGATTGGATAGAATATAGTAGTGGTAATGAGAGGGATTGAAGAAGAGACCAAGTATACAGTATAAATCAAAAGAGAGAAGGGGTATATATAGTCGTCTTTGACGATGGAAGCTGGTTTTTAGATTTATACTTTATATTTTATTCCCATTCTATCTTCTCTCTATATGAACAAATGTTAAATATAGCAAAAAGGAAACTAGACTTTAAAAGGTAATATACCTATAAATAGCGAAAATAAGAAATAGCTGACTAATGATCCAAAAATAGAATACTACCTTCTACTAACAATTATATATATATATATATATATATATATATACTCGTAACTATCTTCTATTGTCCACCTTTAACTACTCAAACTATCCTATCTTTTTATTCCTTTTACAACTAATTCTTTATTCTTCAATATGTCTATTACTTGCCAAGTCCGAGACTCTACCGATAGACTGCTGAAGGGAGTTTATGCTACTCTTACACTCGTCGAACCGCTATATCCAACCGATATATATTCTGGCCAGACTGATGACAATAGTAATATCAGAGACTAGCGTCTGATGAAAGACGAAAATGACGAAAACAAACAAGGAACCCCCATCTGGGGTATGCTAGGGAGCACTTGGCACATTGTTGTCTGTGTGGAATCTAATAAATTGCCTAGCAACATTTATCCCATTAACAAACCCCACCCGAACTTCTCGGTCACGGCTTTAATATATCACAGCGTTAACCTCCACGTATCTAGCGTAGTATACAAAATACGCTACGGATACGGGATTGTAGAGAGGCGATCCCCTACACCTTATTCTCTGGAATATCCTCAACCACACCGTATATACCCTACGGCTATAATGGATTTGCTAGAAGCGCTCCCGGATTTGGACAACACTGTTAGTTCGATTATAACTCTAGATTCTAATAGAGCCAGCTCGGATTCCTTTACGCCCAACTTCTCTATGCCTGACTTTTCGGCTCTAGTTAATCCTATACTAGAGGTACCTTTGATCCGGTCCTCGTTCTTTACTTCCCCTACTAATTTATCTAACCTCCCGCCTAAACCGGTACTTACGCCTACCCGCTTTACCACTCCAGACTTTCTTTCTCTTTTTGAAGAGAGTCTAAATGATACTGAAGGGCTGAAGAGTCCTGAAGTCCCAAACAGGGTCTCTCGCAAACGGAAGAGGGATACCTTCAAGAAGGATACCTTCAATGAAGCAGCAGTAGTACCTCAGAAGGTTCGGAGGTTTGAAAGGTTGATTAAGAAGGCTCGGAAATAATAGGAGAAAGAAGGTGTAGAATATTAGTTTAGAAAATCGTTTTTCTATCTTTATATTAAATTATATTTAGCTACCTAAAACTCAATAATAAAAATTATTAGAAAGTTCATGTTATATTAAGATAGTCGAATTTCTTATTTATATATAAGCAGATTTATAATATACTTATAAATATAAAATATTTTCGTTTTGTTTTATAATTTTACTTTATAATACGAAAAAAGTTTATATAGTATAACGGCTTAGTTATCCGTCGCAATTAAATAAGACTACTTGAGTAACCGAATTGCCAGCTTTTATTATTTGGATCCTTTTACGAGGATACAGGCTGGTTAGTATAGTGGTCTACTAATTTGGGGTTTTTTTTCGTACTTTTTTCTTTAAGTACCATATAATGGGGGTTATCACAAGAAGAGAGGTTCGGAACAAGCAGGAACAGATCAGCTGCTGGCTGTTATAGATAAAAGGATAGGGGTTCCTCTTCTAGAGAGGAAGAGAGGAGGACAGACAGCTCAGACCAGACATAACTCTTGACTACGAATACACTTGAACTTGTGCCCTCAGATCTGCTCCTCGTTAAGTCCGTTTCTTTTTGTGAATTCCCCTTTTGAGAAGTCTAACCTCTAGATCTGCTCCCTATATAATGTAAGGTAGTTGGGAAAAGAAAAGAAACCTTTTATAGTATAGGAATGCCAAATTAATTGAATCAAACAGGTTTAGCAACCGCGTTGATTATAGTGGTAGAGGAAATAAAAAAGCATTAATATTTAAATCCTCGAACATTTGCAAAGCTATAGTATTATTTATAGTCTTACTATTCGAATAAATATAAGATATAATAAGTAGATAGAATGAATAAAATATAAACTTGAAATTTAAAAAGCAGCTTCTATTGTCAAAGACACCTATATATACCCCTTATATCTTTTACTCTATACATATATTTCTTTTTTAACCTCCTCTTATTACAACCATTATATTTTATCCAAGTAATATAGTATAGCAATCTCTCCTCTTTTACACTACATTTGGTACTTGTTTCAATAGTTTTTATCTTGTAGAACCCCCGTTACAATTAACTCCTAGATTTCCTATCCGTATTATGTAAAGTTAATAATAAAGATCCTAGTAACGTTTTTAGCTAACGTTTACAAGTGGAAATCCAAATTCGGTTTGCGAAGCTACTATTATTACTGCGAAGGTTGAATATATAATTCCTTTCAAAGATACTAGTTGCCCGGAGCTATCAATATTTGAATTCATTATACCAACTCTTCCAAGTGGTAATGCGCTTGTCTTTTGGTATTTTTTTTGAATCGTTAATTATATTAATATTATAGGGTTCTGTGACTACCTATATAGTAATGCATTCCAATGTTCATTAGCAAGTGAACATCGTCCTATCTTTTATAGGTTTGGCCGAGTGGGCATATGCATCCACGCCCTGTTATAATTAATATATGCTAATTGAAGTTATGCAATGTGGCGTATCTATTGAAACCTGTTATAAAGCTTAGGTTACAACTTCTAACGCTTTAGAAGCTATACCCGTTCAAAATAGGACGGCTCGCTGTCTAAATATTTTATCTAATATTATAGAATCTTCTATAATAGTTCGTACTCCTAGCTCCCTAAAACTGTCTTCTCAAATATTTAGAACAAGCCAAACGATGACTATTTCAACTATTACAACGATTTCTTCTATCTCTTTAGACAATCCTAGACCTCTAATTACAACACTCGTCACCCAATCTAGAAATAGCTCATTTACGTTAAACCTAAGTAAAACTCAATCAATTCCAACTACTATATTAACGTTTAATTGTAACTCCTCTTTACTAAGCTCTACGAAAATTTCAACAACCACCCTCGAATCACACTTATAGTAAACCTCCTTATCTTTATCCAATAAACAATTAAATATACTAATAGTCTTATTATAACTAATTTCTACAAGGGCAGTAAAAAAACTTCCGCATACTAGAGTGATTATTAGTATTACGTTTGCACTAAATTACTAGCCGCTTAGTTTAAGTATCCCGAAGGAACGGAATGCTAATTTAGTTTAGTGCACCTTAGAGAAAGTGGGTTTATTATAGAATAATTGGATAATATACGGTTAGAAAGAAACGTAGCATTTCAAAGTAATAGCCTAATTATACTATATATTTCACGGTATTATATATATTGGATATTACTAATAATAGATGCATTAAATATTGAGAGCTTATAATTCAATAGTGATGCGGAAACGTGGCAATCCTGGAGAATACCCTATTCTATTGAGTAGGGTAGTCTTGTATTGGAAAGCATGATGCAGAAGAAGAAGAGGAGGAAGCTTGGCCCTGGCAGTCAAGGACAGTATTTATCCTTGACCTGGCAGGTCCAGGTCCCCACGCCCGGTCGCCTAGTGAATGCCAGGCAGCCAGGCAACTGCTGCCCTGGAAGCTTAGGCCTTCCGGGCAGACGGCCTTCGTCACATGCATACATTTATCTAATCTATGGTACATTTCCTATATCAAATAGTATGTATGACTTCTAATTTTAATTCTTAAATTATAGGAAGATTCTTTTAATATTAATATTATCATGGTAGGGTACAATTAAATGTATATATGTACTATCTTGGGTGCTTAAAATAACCCAATACTTGCCTTAGAGATATTAATTTAATATTAGTCTATAGAAAAATAGAATTTAGACGCTGGTATTTAATACTATTTATATTTTACCTAATAATAAATAATTAGATATATAATATTAAGCGTCTAAGAAAACAAGTAACCTTTAAATATTAGTAAAATAAATAAAGAAAGACAATAAAGTATGTAAATCGTAGTAATTATTTGTCTTTTCAACATGACGTCCCAAGCACCTATTCCCGAACAACTACTTATTGCAGAAATCGAAAGGATGGTCGCGGTCGAAGCGTACTGTCAATTATTACAAACTCAATTACATATACTCGCTACCAAAGTCGCAGAGGCAAGAGCACAAATTCTAGCATTACAACATTTGGTAAGATTTTTAAAATCCAATTTAGAATATCAACTAATTGAAAAAGATACCATATAATAAGCTAATATCAACAGAATGTCCACCACCACATTATACGTATATTAAAGAGCTCGCTCTATCGGCCGAAGACTGCCAAACGAATTTAAATATTTATAACGAAGAAAACTCTACAAGATTTACTTACGATCCGTTGGTGGAGAAATTTCATCCACTTAAAGACGAATATAACAACCAACAATAAATAATGTAGGATCAATGCGCTAGCATCTGGCAGGTGCAGTCTGGTAGGTGCAATCTGCATTAAGTAGACAGTCGCCTACAAAAGGCCTTGCAGTCAGCTCTAGAATATTGTCTTTCAAAAGCTTGAAAGTGAAGGAGAGTTCAAAGAAATATTGTTCCAAAGGAAACAGGTTAGCGAACTACAAAACCTACCCTATAAAGACCTTATTAAGTTTCCAATACCTATTTAACCCGAGGGTGGTATATAAGGTAGTTTTATAGGCTCTATATAGTATAGTAGTACCGGATATCCTCGATTTACACTAGCCAAGCCACTCCAAACTACCTATTCTACTATATAAGATCCTACCCCTAGCCGTCCTACGTAATATTAACTATCCTCTTCGTATGTTTGACAAGCGTTACTTCCGCTTCTAGGATGTGTACTAGGGCAAGCGAATCCGCCGATTCGTTTAAAAGTTATCAAAATGCTGCAGTATGCGACCTCCCTCTCAAGAATCAGCTGTTCTACGTATTTGAGGAATTGAATTCAAAAATCTAGTCCGACGGGACGATAAGCACCTCGAAGGCCGCCTGACCGCCACAGACCAATGACACCGCTAGAATACCTAAGATAAAAGGACCCGATAAGACGATAGCAGGCCGATAAGGAGCAGCCGGCGCGGCACCACACCGGCAAAGATCAGACTAATACGCACAGCACCGATCCCACCTAGGGGCAATTAACCTCATTCTTATCCCAGAGCTGAAGGAGGACCTGTCCAACTACGATCACTGAGACCACGCCACGGGCTTCCACCTTGAGTACTAGGGCCTGAGCCGCCGGGCGAAGCGGCCGGGAAAGGTCCGGAGGGCTACGGGCCACGGGGCGGGACACGGAGGGCAGCCGGCACGGGCGAACGATGGACGGAAGTAGTAGTGATTGTAGGGAGCTGTGTTTCTAGATATGGCGGAACTTAGGGTTAGGGTTCCACAACCGCAAAGAAGAAAAGGATGTTACCTTACAAAATAAGCACGCCGGGCTTAATAACTATACTCTATATCTCAAACATTGATAGGGCCTGCAAGCGAGAAAAGCCAGCAGCTAGAGAAGGGGTGGGGTTAGAGTATCGACAAGAGCTGCCCCACATCCTGGAGCAGCTGAAAGGATATTGGAATATTGCCGCTAATAACGGTACAAACCCTAGGTACGATTGCATGACCTGCCAAATGCCAAGAGTATATAACTTCAAGTTGGGCTATCCCAACCAATAGGAGCATCCTACATAGGTATGGATGACAACCAGGAAGTTTTGCCCAGCAGCTTTTGCATGAATAAGACCTTCGCGGCGAATGTGAAATAACACTGGCAACCATGTAGTCCACACTCGTAACGTCCAGTCAGCGTCAAGGGGGGTGTCTCTCCCATAGACTGCACACAAACGGCCCAGCACCTCCGTGAGAATGACCTCATCGGTCCGGGGCTAGATCGGCGAAGATGCTCTGGTGGGCACGAACGGTGCAGTCCCTGACAGAGGTGGCTCTTTCTCCTATTCCCAAGGGCACCACCAGTCTGATACAGGTATCTTGCTCGCGCGGAAGAAGTGCGGGGTCACAGTTATTGTATGAAGCGAATAGTAGAGGTAGGTACTTACCCCATTAGACCGACGACTTCCAGAATGTACCGGACTAGGTGCGGAAACAGGGCGTTCAAAGAATCACACAACAATCAGGGTCAAGAGTTGCAAGAACTGGGGAGGGAAAACGGGAGCGGGAGTTAACTGTCTAACCATCTTAGGGCAGGATCTCCATCCATTCCGACTGAGCATAGGTGAGGCTCGGGATTGCCCGCCTCATTGAGTCACGATTGCTGATGCAGGAGTTGAACCTGCTCCTCGAGGTCTCTAACCTCGCGCGCTACCGTTGCGCCTATCAGCTGCGACGTCGAAATCAGACCTCACCAACAACATCGTCAATCTCCTCATTATCCTCCTTCGGAACCTCCGAGAGCGCGGCAACCTGGTCCTGCAGAGCACCGATAGCAGTAGTCACCGCCGACAACTCCTTCCTGACGGTGGCAGTCAAGTCCGCCATAGCAGCAACTACCTCGGCGAAAGAGGTTGCATAAGTCTCGTTGTGGGAGGCGACAGCGGTGCCTAGCTCATCAATCTTAGCCTCGAGGTCGGTGAAGCGTGCGACGAACGGGCTGTCGGAAAGCGAGAAGGCTGCGTCCGGAACGGGGGCAGGGACATCGGCAGTGTCGGATGCCTCAGAGGAGCTGGAGGCGTCCGGAGCATCAGAAGCATCAGAGGAGTCCGGGGCGTCGTCGCGATCGATCATGATGGGAGGCAGGGGAGCCGCCTTGCGGAGGCGAGCGTGCTTAGCGGGAGCGCGCCAGCCAAAGGTGACCATCTTGCCGATACCCCAGGCCAATACGCCACGAGGGTGGGGGTTGGTCGAGAGGTCCGGATGGTTGATGTGATACTCGCAGTAAGTCTCCCACAGTTCGACGGCTGCGATAACGACGGCCTGCTTGCGATCGCCGACCTCCTCGGGGGCGCAATCATCAAAGCCAGCAAGCGCCCAAGAAGCAAAGCTGGCCTACAACCGTGCTCCAAGGGGCGCTATACCAGTGGGCAGATCGCAGGTGCGGGCCTTGTAGGTACGCTCGCAGGTGGCAGTCGAGAGTGAAGCGTCGCCTGGGAAGGAATGTTAGTGGGAGCGAAAAATCGGGGTGAGATACACTTACGCTTCACGAAGCAGGCAAATTCACCGGCAGACTCGCGAAGGAGGTCGTCATCAAGCTCCTCGGCAATCCCCACGTCGGCGACAGTCTTAGCGAAGCTAAGGGTACACGTCGCGCAAGGAGGGAGGCGCGCGGCACTACACGGAGAGTTAATAAAGCGGGGCAAGGAAAAAAAAAACGACCATGGGGATACTCACCGCTCAGAGCTGTCCGAGGGGACGCCTGCGGCGTGGCAGCGCGTATAGGTAAGGCGCTCGGCGTCGGAAAGGTTGAGGGCCATAGTACAAGAACCGACAGGATAGGTAGCGGCGGCGATGAAAAGAGGAAGAAGGGGAGAGGATATGGAGGGGAGGAGGAAGGGTTCTTATACCCAACGCAGAGGATCATCCCTAGACTCGGGAGCATAGACTTACGCAAGCCCCTACGTTATTACAACCACTAGGCAGCCGAGGTAGCGGTTGCGCAATCGCTGTTGACCCACTTGGAAGGTCTGGAACGGGCAAACAGGGCGCAGCAAAAAGCGAACATCAGACGATTAGAGTCTCGAAGGCGGCGGGATGAATCCTAACCAATCACACCGCCAGGAAAGGACGAAGGGAGAGGAGGAAGCTCTAGGGCAAACAACGGAACATAACGGTATTGATACACAAGACGACAGCTATCTCGAGGGTGGCAGGACGAAATCCGGCAAATTACACCGCCAGGGAGAGATTAACGAAACACCAGACAACCACCGGCCGAATGGGAAGCCGGTAGCCCTTATCAATGTTCTATCCTAGATAGACGGAATGATTAGCTGTGCCTCCAGTCATTCAGGTTTGGCGTAGGGCGCGGGAATCGAGAGCGGGCGAGTGAGCTGGGATGAAAAAGTTGAGGGGCCTGGCGCCTGGGGCGGAGATAAAGGAAGGAAGGTACAGGGAAAAGAAAGAGATCAACTCAACAAACTATAGGTCATCTTGAGTTAGTCCCTTTCCCTTGGAGCGGGGGAACAAGTACTTAAGACACATAAGACACTGCTTTTGATGTACGGCTTTTGCTGGTCAGGAACTTCCTCACCCCCGTGAATCTTGTAGTCCGGAGGCCATGGTGTTTTGGTCGGGTGGAGGTCTTGGCCGTTGGCGAGACCCTTGGTGAACTTCTCGATGATCGTCTTGGTCTATCGTTCTTGTGATATAAACACGGTGCGCTCGGTTCGGTTCCTGATGATGTCAAAACCCAGGAAGGTCCTCACTGGACCCAGGTGTTTAAGCTTGAACTTGCCCTCAAGGGTTGTCTTGACATGGGTGATGATCTTCTGGTTGGCTGCAGCCACAAGGAAGTCGTCAACGTATAGTACCATGATGGCACCCAGCTTATCGTTAATCAAAAGGCACAGATCAGCACCAATGGGGGTAAAGCCCAGTGCCTGGAGCGCTGGCAGTAGGGTCTGGAACCAAAAGAGGGGGCTGCGTTTTAGTCCATACAGGGCTCGAACCAGCTGGCAGACCCATTTGCGGCTTTTCTTCTCGAGACCAGTCGGTTGTTCAACGTAGTATTTCTTGCCTTCCCTGGGAACCAGGGCATTCAAGAAGGCTGTGTTGAAATCGTACTGTTCACATTCGAAGTCGTTGATGGCCATGATGCAAAGGAATAGCCTCACGCTGACAGAGTTGGCGACAGCGGCATAGATATCCTGCAGATCTCATTTGTCGTGTTCGAAGTTGCCGCAGACTACCCATCTGGCTCTGGCTGTGTACTCTTTCAAGTCGATATTGTACTTTTCATCATATACCCATTTGCCTGGCAGCACATCCATATTTGGGGTACGTTCAACCAAGTAATAGACTCCCGCGTTTTACAGGGCCTTGACCTGCTTCTCCATCGCTGGCAGCCAATATGCCTTGTAGTTGGCTAGTTTGACTGCTTGGTTGTAGTTCTTGGGAATAATACGGTCTGCCTTGGCCTGAACAAGATCATGTAAGACCGTGTTTGATCGACGATATCGGAAAAGCTGGCTGGAGAGACTTAGTAACATGGTCGCTGTCTCCTGTCCCCTTCGACTCTTTTGCTCTTTATCCTCTACCTTTTCCTCTTTTGGGATTTCTTGGACAGGGTTTTGCCGCAGGCGGTCCTGGATGGCCGTATTAAAACAGTCGTCATCTGAACTACTCTCATCGTCCGGCTTGGTACTCTTTGGTGATGATGATGACGCGCCATTGGCTGTTTCTTGGAAAGTTGTTAGCTGTCTCGGTCGACATAATATTGCAAGGGGTCGAGTACACACCGTGGCTATGGATCGGAAGCCGGGCTAGATATCGGCAATAATACAAACCAAGCTTTGGCTGGCCCAAATATCGAGTTCATCGCGGTCGTATCATAGAACTCCAAGCACTACTAATCTGCATCCTATATTTGCATATTCAAATTGCTCCGACGTGACTCTCGTAATTTCTGGCTGACTGATATATAACGGCCCAGTCAGTGTAGTGAGGCCACTGATCGAGAAAGTTGTTGAAGGGTGGAAGGTATGAAATGGCGTTGACCTCTTGTCGAGGTTAGTGATGTGTTGGAACAACGGCTACGGACACTTTCTAATCCGTAGACACTAGAATATGGAAGCAAGGCGGTGTTCTGGAAAGGGAATGGTGAGAGTTGCAGTGATTTATTGAGGTATAAATAGTTGGATGAATGGGGAGTGTGAGTGTCTTTGAGTGATCTCCAGAGGAACCGCGAAGGATGACCCGGGATCAAGAGAGAAGAAGGAAGTCGAGAGAAGAGTATCATGGAGGATAAAAGGAGGACAAGGAAGAAAAGGGAAGAGTCCGAGTATGATGCCACTTGGATCAGTAACTCCACGTTCTGCAAGAGTGAGGTTTCGAGGAAGAGGGCATGGAACGGTAGACCAAGGTCTAGGAGAAGTTCGTTGTCGTCGCCATCGCCATCACTGTCTGTGTTGTATTTAGTATTGGGTCCCAGCAAGGAGGCCAACATATCCATAAATGAAGATGGAGCTCACTGTAAAGGTAAGTCCAGATAAAAAGAAGCCGTCGTCCCAAGATATTTGCGGTCATTATCCTCGTGTTCAAGTCTCATCGCCATCATACATGGGTGCCACGACCCGGGACACGAAACAATCATGGTGTTGAAGGTTGATGTGGGAATGCGTGTGTGATATTCCGAAAAATTGAGAGAAATGAAGCTATTCCCATCTTTGACGACGCATATAACGAGGTGGTGACGCATTCTTCCCTGGTGTAACATTGAACGACGGATGATGTTTGGACAAGGAGAAAGACATTCATTGTTTCTTGGAAAGACAAGGGAAGCTTGTGGGCTAGACCGGGAATGTCCTTAGTGTCCAGTCTTGCCCACTTGCCGGCCCCGGGGCCGACCACTGAAGTTTCAAGCGGATGACCACCGGCCACAAGACGTCAACTGTCTTGCCTTTCCTTGAACCGGACCAGACAACCACCACACAAACTCGGCAGACACCTCCATCACCGTCAACACAACGGCCAACGATCAGTGTTTTCTGGTGTTTTTCTTGTAACCCAACCAGCGAGCATCGGATTTTGGACGCTTGAGCGTGTTGATATACAGAATAAATACCCATTGTTTTTCTTTTCTGCACAAAATCCACGTTGGCGCTTGAGGTGGTGGCCGTGTCGATATCTCCAGTTTGCTTGTTCCGTGCGACCATTCCTCCATCGGTGAATCAGCAGGCACACGAGCCACATAAACCCAGGCCTGCCACAAAGCAACACCATATCACCCCCTCAACATCACAACAACCAACCAGTCGATCGCGACGACATACACAATGGAGAACACCACAGCATCAGAGAATACACCGCTACTCCCCACCACGACACCATCGTCTCCCGACGTCGCCCGTCCCGCGAGACCGCAACGAAATGTCACTTTCAACCCCAATCCCGTCACCAAGACCATCGAGTCCGAGGCAGCCTATCGTCAGGCCCGCGCCTCGCATCCAAGCCTACCGTCAACGTCAACGCGCTGACACTCGCCCAGGTCGAGCGACCTCTTCAACACGGGGATCTTGATCGCCGTGCAAAGATTCTGCGGAGGGATCATATGAGACTTGCGCCAATGAGCCTCGTGGAAGGGGATTTTGCTCAATTTCGAGCCCTCCGCCGGTTTGCGGCCCATGATGTAGTCTGTGAACTGGAAGGACTTGAAGATGTTGCTATTCTTCCAAGAGCTGGGAAGAACGTCGTCGATTTCAAAAGCTTTGCCCTTGCTCTTGCGGGTGCCCTCGACTGACCAGTTTTTCATTATGATCATGGCTGCCCGGATGCTCGGCTCGGGGATGTAGGGCATCTGGATGTGTGCCGGCATTTTGCCGCTTGACGTCAACTTGATCTTGCCGAGGGAGTCGAGGACCTTATTGCATGCTCTGGTGATGGCATGCTCACTGACGGGTCCCACCTTCGCCTCCTGTCTGCATTACTTTGACGTCCCAATGGGCTGGGAGGCCGTTGTAAGCTGCGACGAAGGCCCAGATCATGGTGAGCCCCAAACTTGGCTCGCACGCGCCGCCGTCTTCCTCCGGCTCGGTTTTGGTAGGCGTTTCAGCTTCCTCGGGCGTCGTGACCGTCTTCTTGAGGGCGGATTTGGCCGGAGCCTCGGGGTTCTTGACAGGCGTCTTGACGGGCGGCTTGAAGACCGGGGTACCCGCGATGGAGACCCTTTTCTGCCTTTTGGAGGCTGCGGCGGTGGCTTTGCCCATGGTAAATAGCTCGGTGGTTTTGATCAAGTGGTCGAGGAAGTCTGTCAAAGATATGCAAAGGCCGTGGGAAGCTTAAATAGCAGCGTATGGGGTTTGGGCGAATCCATTTCACAAGACTTTGGTTTTGACGTTAGCATCGGCTTCTTTCTCCCCGGGTTGCAGATGTTTGACAGCACATGAGCCATCAGGGTTTTTCGGTCATCAAAGCCTTGGTTGCACTTCCAACAGTTGACGACATTAATATCAGACCCTTGATCAGCCTATGCACCCGACACTTCAATAAATGGACTATCGGCTTCCGATATGTCTGCATGTCTATGGGAGTGGGAAGGATAGGAAACGGGTCAAGCGAACGTCCAAGTTGGAGCTGGATTGGTTCCACTAGAAGGCGAACACAACCAAGCACATCCTGGGCATCTTTTCATTACCGTACGCGATGGTGTTTATGACATCTATCCTACAAGATTCGCAGTGTTGATTTGCGTGTTCGGGATTCGAGTCCCGCTCTCTGTATCACGGGGGACTTGATTAAGAACAAAAACTGGCAGAAAAAAAAATTATACAGCTACGGTTGATAGTATTTATTTTGAACGCAATGTCCAGCCTTATAAGACTACCCTATATACTATCCTCGGACTAAATAGGTATTAGAAGCTTAATTAGTTCTTCTTTAGGTAGGTTTTCCAGTTCGCCAAGCCGTCTCCTTTGGAACAATCTTTCTTTAAACTCTCCTTCACCCTAAACAGAGAGTAGAAACTCATTGCCCACCTCACACAACAACATTAGGCTTTCATGCCGAGCAATGGTGGCACGGAAGGTTCCGAGGTCTTTGTTCGAAAATCTCGTCAAAGCTTTTAACGTGAACCCACTACCAAACCCAAGGGGTAAAAAGCAGAGAAGCCCTTCGTATCCTTCTACTATCTTCATGATCTTCCGAGCCTCAGATATTTCCCTCGCGAATGCCTTCCGCGCTTTAGGAGTATCTTCGATGCCACGAGCTTCTAACACAGCTGTTATACAACTTCCGCCTGCTCGATGTCGATGCTAATCTTCTTTCATGACTTTGGAAAGCCGAAAACTGGCTGATATGCCCAAAACGGTGTACAAAATCGAGAGATTTTGTGCTTTTCGTCGTAGATTATCGTAGTGCTTAATAGTTGGCAATTCGTCCGTAGGCTTTTTCGAGGCGAACGAGCTTTTCAATGTATCGTCCGTACTGTCCCAAGCGTATACGATTGACATGAACCGCAAGATCGCACTGTTATCTATCGTTAGGCTTGCAAGTTGACGACCTAATTCGATATCGGTATCGGCATCAGTGTCATTGTCGCTGTTCTGATTGCCATTCTCGTTATTACCATGCTTTTGGTGGTTGTACTGCGCTTGGTGCTGCTGTTCGTCGTGCTCCTGATTATGTTGGTGATCATCCTCCTCCTCCTCGTCGTCGTCGTCCTCCTCCTCCTCCTCCTCCTCATCTTCCTCCTCATCTTCCTCCTCATTATCCTCCTCATTATCCTCCTCATTATCCTCCTCATTATCCTCCTCCTTATCCTCCTGATTATCGTCTTGTTCCTGCTGTTGATCGTGCTGCTCATCCTGCTGCTCATCCTGCTACTCATCCTACTGCTTATCCTGCTGCTCATCCTACTGCTCATCCTACTGCTCATCCTGCTGCTCATTATCTTAATAGTACCTCGGTTTAATATTATTATTGCTAGCAATATTGCTAATACCTCGAGACTAATGAACTTTTTGCCTTTTTGCTGTGTAGTGGAAGGGTAGCGTTTGATTTCCGTTTCTTCATTGGAGGGTTATCGGAAAACTTCTCGAGGTTGTTATAAGATAGACTATACAACCCGTCTTGCGGATAAACAACCTACCCAGGTGGAATTGCTTGCTCACTAAGTAGGGTATAATTGGTTGTAATAGTAAAAGACGGGGTTTAATTAAGAATTGTATAATATTATTATAGTCATATTATAATTAGGTCACCGGGGTTAGCGCGAGTAATATTGAATTTAATTCCTTCTTAGTAGAGTTTCTTTGGGCTTACTATGATATTTAAATACTGTACGGACTAATCGTATTTGTAGAGTGGAAATCTAGTCGCAAATATCCTCTTGAATTTAGTGGTATTATCTGGGTTGATTATTATCTAGAGCTTCCACCTATAGATATTCAAATTATAAAAGCGTAAATAGGTATCCTCACAATGGAAAGCAGTTTCTGAGCTACGCTCGCCTATATACATATACAAGGTATTAATTCTAGGGAGGTTGCTGATGTTACAGGATTACCTGTGACTGTGCCTAGCACATCACGTGCATGTGCACGTGCGCTGGTCCCGGCTCTGGGCATAGCCTTCGTGCCTTGCCCCATATCACCAGATCTACGCACACCTCTCTTCTCCTCTCCTTATACAACTACGCATATCCAACCTACTCCCTATCAATCGCCTTGCCCCGTGATAGCTGAATATTAAAAGTACGCCGGATATAAAAAGTAATATAAATAGTATTCTGGAGGTTTTAAAGAAGCTGACGTAGTAGCCTATAGTATTTTGAGGAAAAGATTCAATAGTGTCCTAATAGAATTACTTAGCCTCGTAATTTATAAGCGGGTTGAGGTCGAAATCGAAATTAATAGAAGTTAGTATTTTCAAGTAACTAAAGTATAGTTGTAAAAATCCGTCATTGTCCTGTTCGTATTGGACCGCGTATTGCACATAATCTGGAAATAGTCAAGCTCGTTTAGCAAACTCTCTCCAATTAATTCCCAAATCTGCGATAGATATGCAGACTTTCCTATAAAAATAGGGATTTCTTTCGAATTTGCCAAGCTTAGTGATAAGGTTGGGTCCGAAGTCGTCTTTAATTAATAGTTTGAAGGTATAATATTTAAGAGTTAGGGTAGGATAAAGACCGGTAGTATCAGTTGAGTATAGTATCGATAGGGATATTGAGGATATAGTTGCTAATTCGTTAAGCTTGTTATTAATGCAATTTACAACCTTAAGAACTTATTGGATAGCGCTAAAGATAACGTCGGTTTGAGTGGAGAAAGAAGAGGGAGTAGAAGAAGAAGAGGGAGTAGATTGCAAATTGGTTTCAGTAAAATTACAAAGGTATTGGATTTGAAGTTTAATCAATTCGATTTTGCTCTTAAGTACCTCTATTTTGAAACGGCTGGAACTAAGAACGGAAGAAAGAACGATAGTTATATATGGTGGAAAGATGGGAAGATAGTATTAATGTAAAAAGAGCGAAGTAAAGAATTTAGTATTAAGGGTGCCTAGCCTTTTATTCAGTTCGGACTAATAAACAGGCTTAGTAAACTTATAAATATTACTTCTACTAGTAATAATAAACGCCACCACTAAGTGGATAGATTAGACCGTCCTATTTAGGTACTAGGATATAGGGCAATTCTTATCAATTAGCTGAGAACTATATATAGGGGAACTGGTCAAGGCTATGAAATAGGACATTATTTATAGAGTAGGCGGGTTCGACGAGCCAATTATAGCTCTAAAGATCCTAAGCCAGCAGCTTGCAACTCTACTTAAAGTATACACGTACCTAACTTTTTACTTATTTACTTTAACCTACCTGTGAAAGCGTGATCCTACAAGAGATAGACTGCAAGTGTTGGCAATGGCCAGATAGGGTCGTTGTAAAGTAGTAAATATTGATGATCAAGCAAGAAGGTGGAGGCTCGGGAGCCTACACCAGCGACTGGGATTATAAACCCAGTCGCGGGTCGCTTCCTTATCTAATCTAGGGTGGGCTAGTGACTTGCAAGCACCTGCGGGACCAGGCCGCGTATGTGAATGCCGCCAGCCCGGCAGGCAGGGTGCCTGCCGCGGGCCTGGCTTAGTCAGCATGCCCAGTCATGACCCTAATGGTCATGACGGTTATCTATCAAAGCGAGCCTATCCGGCATCAGCTATCACAGGATTAGCCTGTGATGGGTACAGCACGTGACTACGTGCCATGTACGTTGTGCGTGCCTAGCCTTGCCCTCTATATAAGGCCTGGCTGGCACACCACTTCCTTCCTCCTCTCCTCGTACAACTACACATATCCATATCCATACCTAACGTCGAGTCCACCCGTGATATCAGCAAGACTAGAAGCCACAAATCAAAGTAATATTAAGTGTAAAGAAGGAAGGGGAAAGTAAACAAACGCTGGCATCGTGAATCCGGACATATAAGTCGGTTCTGCCAGGCGTCGCCGCCTTCCCAATCCATAAGGTCTATCGATAAGAACATAAGCCTCATTTCCATCCGATGTGCCATAGTGCACCCCATTGCCCAGTGGCCAGTGCTCTGGGAGCCTGTCCAGCCATGCCATGACACTACCTACTTTATTTACCTACCTTGCCCTACTTTATTGGTCCAACTATTCATCGCTTGGTAAAATCTAATGCCCGCCAATAAACATTCTAGCCCAAATGCTAAACCCCGCTAGTAAACGCCTACAGCTTTGTAAACAGGTCAACGTTCATCCGTATGTGGGCCCCACTCTTCTCTCTGAATCTAGGCCGTCACCTGGCTACCCTAGCCACTCTTTCGTTTGTAACCCACCCTTTAAGTCACGTGCATTATGGAGCCTTCGAACACTCCGTGCAAGGCTCCCTTGTATTCTTGTCTTCTTCTCCCCTTCAAACTACTTTTGGCGAATACAATTATTATCCCATTTTACCTTCTCCAACCAAGCCGCCAATTGATTATTTTCCTAGCCTACTTATTGTTCCCAACTTCTCAACCGTCCGTTAATCTGACAGTTGACCACGTACTAAGACTAGACGCGACATTTCACGAAACGCGACACTTCGGCCCCTTCCATAGCCGCGTCTCAAGAACATCATCACCATCGCCATGACGGATCGACCTCAGTCAGAGATCATCCGAGAACATCCCATCGGCACAGGCCTAGATGCCTTCCGTGCTGCGTTCGAATCAGTCTGTAAAGACAGGGGCATCTCCTTTCCTACGCCAGACGCGCTCCGTAAGCTGGGCCCACAAGGTGTCAAAGGTGAGGGAGACAGGCCCACGTTGCCGAGATGCCCATCTAACCACTGTTTAGATTTGCGGGGTCTTGCGTTTAGTCTTCTGGACACACTCCAAACCCTCCCTATTACTCGTCTTCTACGTTCGAATACGGGCAGTGGCACCCTTCGAATCGATCTGTTGAGACGCCTACCCGCCCTCGACTCCGACGACGTGGACAACTTCGACTCGGACCAATTTGAACCACTTTTCAATGCAGTCCTCACCAACAAGCCCGACGATAAGATCTGGCGCCAAGTGTACTGTGCCGTTACCGAAGCCACCCCGCCTCCCCGACCGACAGCATTTTCCTTTCTTCAAACTCCGAAGTCTTTCAATACGAACAGCTTTGCAAACTCCTCCGAATATCGCAAGCATATGGACATGGTCCTCAAGGATGAGCTCGGCGCTATGTACGTCGACCTTCCTAACTTCCATGACATCTTTTTCGGTGGGGTGGCGGGTCTTAAGACAGCATCAGAGGCCGTCTTCAACAAGTGCACGGAAGGCAGCGAACCACTCTTCCGTAATGGTTGGTGCGGGTGGCCGACAGATGCGAACCAGGAGCGTGTTTTGGACTGGTTTGTAGAATTGAGCGAGAAACTGGCAATGTTTGCAGAAGAGTACAATCCGAATCGGACACAGACGCCGCGACGAAGGCTGCTGGTACAACCCAACAAACGGATCCTCGGCTCGATAGCGGAACGCAAATTGGACGTCGGCTTCGTAGATGACTCAAAGGGTGGAAAGGATACTCAATGGAACTGGTCGCATGTCCTCGTACCGGGCGAGCTGAAGAGCAATCGTTCGGCCGATATAGCGTCAAACGCGTGGCTCGATCTCGGGAAGTACGCGAGGGAAGTGTTCGCTGCTCAAGACACGCAGGACAGTCGTCGCTTCGTCTTGGGATTTACCATCTGTGGATCATTCATGAGGATATGGGAGTTTGATCGGCTCGGGGCCATCGCATCCAAACAGTTCGATATCAACACGGAGGGCTTAGAGTTCGTATCAACGGTCCTCGCGTTTCTCTGGATGAGCGAGGAGGAGCTCGGGTTCGATCCATCCATTATAAAAGAGGAGGACAAGCGGGTCGTCCAGATCAAGAGGAATGGCTCACTAGAGCGGCTCATCATTAATAAAGTGATGCTACGCGCACGTTGTATATCCGGCCGGGCAACGACCTGCTGGAAAGCCCATCCCGAGGGAGACCCGCAGACGCTACTAGTCATCAAGGATTCCTGGCAGTACCCTGAGCGCAACGAGGAAGGGGAGCTACTGCGAGACGCGACCGATAAAGGGGTAGTGAACGTAGCTCGATACTATCACCACGAGACGGTCCAGGTGCGCGGAACCGATGACGATGTCCGAAGCAATGTTCGGGGAGGAATAGATGTTAGTACGGCGAAGAACTATAGGCCGGAACACTCGACGCCGCCGACCAGGACAGTTATAGCCAGTGCCTCGCGCAAAGGCCGCAGTACTAGCATGGCTGGCAAGAAACGGTCATCTAGCCAAACCGATGCCGCTTTACCCTCCGGTAAGCGATCCTGTACGACCCAGGCTAGCAGTGATGCGCCGCCAAATCGGGTACATCGGCGAGTTATTGTTCGCGACTATGGACGACCCATCTATAAGGCAAGCTCCCGAGCGGCCCTACTTGCTGCGTTGGAGGGCTGTATTGACGGATACGAGTCCCTATGGAGAAAGGCCGGCCTCCTTCACAGAGACATCTCCATCAACAACCTCATGATCAATGAGGACGACAATAACCCTTCCTGGCCTTCATTCTTAATCGACCTAGACCTTGCTGTTAGAAAGGAACGAGAAAGTGCCTCCGGAGCAAAGGGCATGACCGGCACCAGGGCGTTCATGGCAATTGGGGTCCTTCTGGGCGAACAACATTCCTTCATGCACGATCTCGAATCATTCTTTTGGGTCCTATTCTGGATCTGCGTCCACTACAACGGGCCAAACGAGAGCAGGGTTGTTGAAGAGTTTGACCAATGGAATTATATCCGCCCGGTAATGTTGGCAGACTTGAAGAAGGCGAAAGTGGATGATGAAGGAGATTTCATCAAATCCGCACAAGAAAACTTCACGTTATACTACCAGCCGTTGATACCTTGGGTCAACAAACTACGGAGAGAAGTATTTCCGAACGGTGGGAGGTGGAAAAAAGAGGACGAGGGATTATATGATCGGATGAAGGGGATTCTTGAGAAAGCCCGAGAGGATCCAAAGGTATTACGGAGAGATAGCTTCGCGAATTAGTATAATTAGTAGAGCGAAATATATATAGTGATTTGCGTGCACGGCTTCCAGCTCCTCCTCACTTGCCCAGCTCAACCAAAATGCCGATTGGAATAGCATTAAACACCAAAGTCATTCAAGAAATGGGGCCGGGTTTTGACGTCTAATGCCCACGGGCGAAGTATTTAATACTTAGGTATATATAGAATATACGTCTTGCTTTCTCTATATCCATCCAAGAAACTAACTCTAAATACTACCAGACATCTTCAGAAAACTTCGTTTTGACATCCTTAGAGACGGCACCCGGACTTCCTATTGTCGAGACTGAGGTTCGATAGTGCCTCATCCGTCTCTTCGATATCCTCGATAAGTTCGTTCTTGCTGCTTAATCTCTCCAGCTCCTCCTGGAGAAGCGCGATAAGGCGTCCAGGTGGTTCATTGCCCTGTTCATGATCTAGAGGAAATCAGGGTTAGACGGGCGTGACTGTTATGGACTTTCAGTTGCTTATTCGGGGACGCATGTTCCTACCTCACCAAAATCGCGCCCATCACCTGGTGCCAACTGTGTCTCTCCTTGGATTTCCTTGTTATCCGTCATATCCAGCGAACGCAGATCCGGCGGAGGCGGACTGCATTACGATAGAAGTACATACGACCCACCAGCCACGCTACGGTACCCTGCGTCTCTGTCTCGAATTCGCACGAGGGCTCCAGATCGCAGAGCGACTCTTCACAACCCTAAACGCGAGTAACATTTAAGCTAACATCGACGACAACGGCATTGCAGCAGCATACTTCCACTTCCCCCGAATCAGGTAGACTGCCACGTTCGCGGGGACGATCATCTCCCCATCGCCTTTGGTTGCCCAGATGGCTTTGCCGCTGGGATTCTGGAAGGCGAGGCTCTCGCACCCCAGGAAGCAGATCTTCCTCTCGTACCCGGCGGACGGTATGAGGGCGACTGGCTTCCAGTCGACATTATTGAAAAACTTCTCGTCTTGGGTTAGACTCGTCCAGCGCTGCTCCTGTATACCTCATTGGAATTAGACCTCTGTCAGTTTTTTAGTTGGGGGAAAGAGTCTGCGTACCAAGGTCTCTTTCGACATTGCCGGGTCCTCCGCAGCGTCAACTTCTATCATGAGAAATAGTCCTTAGAATATGATTGACGTTAGCGCTTCAGGTGTAACCGTGATAGTGGAAAGGGCAGTTGCAGGAATGGGAGACTTTTTGTCCGCATCCATATCCGCTAAGGAGAGCCTAGCGTAGTATTGAGCCAGAAAATCCATTTTGCATTGCGGATGAGATAGGTGAACGGGGTTAGTCTAATCCATTGAGGCTGGTGCTGAATTCTGGTCTCTTGGATGTCGTGTATATGGCTTCGTTTCTAAAATGTTAAAGAATCTATCAACTATAGGTACGTGATCGGGATTGAATTCGGGTCCAAAAGTCGGAAGAGGAGAACGAATATGCGTGGAGTGGTGTGATGTCCGTTCCTATAAGGGTCGTGAAGAGTTGACAACTAACATGTCCAAGTCTAATGATACAAGGATAGGACGTGAATGCGAGAATAAGGCAACCAAAAATCGGGGGATGTCTTGAAACACAATCCATGAAGAAACTCTCTTCACCTATCACTCCATACTGGATGAAGTACGACGTCTTCGACCATGGTGGATTGGCATCTAAAAAGCCCTTTCGGTTATCCATACCGTGCCACTGCTATCATCTGCGGTGGTTGTCATGCAGACGCTCGCAGATATTGGATGGTTGCGCTGTCGGGAGAGACATGAAGTCGGCTGAACAAGTTGCATTGGCATCGACACAACTTGGGATAGGGATCTGACGACAAGCATCCTTGCTGCCTTGTCTGGGTGATCTGGGTTTCTCTCTCCTTTCTGTTTCATTCGGAAAACACCTTCTCCGGCGACTTACCATCCTTGACAATCACCCGTAACCGTCTCGGGGAAGGCTCTCGATTTGGAACGCTGATTGGCCTCAAACTGGTCCCTTGCTTCCCCTGCCTTCAACCCCCTATCTTCTTCCTCCCTCTTCCTCCCTCTTCCTCTAACTTGCTCTTCCTCTCTCCATCTTGTCAACGCGGCAGACAGGCTCGTATTCTGCCTTGCCTGACGAACTTGCACAAATACCAGACATTTAGCTAACACCCACCTCCCTCCTCCAAGCAGCAGCCGCTCAGTGCTACGGCGCTTATCATAGTTGTGAGGGCTTCCGTGCAAGATACCAGGAGAAATTTGGCCATTGCACACCCTCTAGCGGCGGAAAGGTGGAGGATCTTCGTAGCGCTGCACCTGGCATTAAGCCTGATTTCAGCGTGCCACATCAACGTTTCGTCTTTCAAGGATCAAATGCAGCTTTGATGCTGCAATGGAGGACATGCCAAAAAGGCAATCAGAGCGTTCACTTCGGGTAGCGTTTGTTTTGATATCAAGGCTTCGAGCCTCGCTTCGAGCCAAGCCCCATGCAAGTATGCCAGGGGGGTGAGGGTGTTGACACGGACTCCCACCCAGGCTTAAAGCTATCCTACCCTAGCTGCCGGCTTCTGATCCTCGAGCTGTGGTTGGCTTGTCGCTCTCAAGGCTGCCGTCACCCTGTTTCGCAGCCCTGGCATGCAGCTCTCTCCGCCAATCGACTCGTCTACAAAGGTGTTGGCGGCTGTGCCGGCAGTGTGTTGCAAGCCAACCATCATGGTTATGACACGCCAGGATGGAAGGGAAGAGGTAGGCTAATGTATGCAGATGAAGAAGGTAGGTTAAGGCAGGTACATGAAGGAGGTCCATCGTGATCAGTTTGTTGTAGTGGATCCCCAAACCGCGATCCAATAAGACAAGAGCGAGAGATTCCCTTACTACGCTCTTATTGGACTCGGCGACTAACTATATATATATAACTGGGCCGAGGAGTATTAGGAACTAATCAGGAATAGTCTTCTAACCGAGTGCAATCTTGGTATTACGCGTATAAAAGATCTAACCATAGTATTAGGACGGTTAATTTTTCTCGTAATCCGCCTAATTATATTTATTCTCTTAGCGCCGCCTCCCTACTTACTATAATGCCTCCGTCCGAACGATATAGATATGGGAGGTGGTGGTTTAGTTTTTTGACCCTACCACGTAATTAAAAGACCCGTTTCCTATCCTTCCCACTCCCATACACAAGCTTAGTGAGGGCCAGACTAGTAGTTGGGTCGGTGACGACCAGCGAATCCCTGGTGTTGTATGTTTTTTTTTCTTTTTCTTTTTTTTCTCTTACTTTTCCATTTTCGTTCATGACCTCGTCAGGTCTTGCACTGTTTTGGCTATTGTTGGTTGTTGGTGACAAGAGAGGTCTGCCAATCGATCGAATCAATCACGCACAGTCCACACTCTTGTGTTTTGGTTGTCTCCAGTTGCCCCTATTATCTGTGTTTATCCAAAATTACATCCTCCCTGCGACTCTCCCTTCATACCTAGCTATCAAGTCCGCCACTTCGCTTTGGTGTTGGCTCCAACATTTTTTTATCCGAATAATTGAACAACACGTAAGGGCCATAACAACGGGATGGTTGTTGACACTTTTTTCATAGCCTGATTCTGGCACTTGAAACACAAAATTGGGTAGTATAACGCCTCGGAAACGCCAGGTATAAATCCCAGGCAGAATGTCATACATGAAATTAGGATCCTTGGAGTGTGGTTGCCACCAATTCCCGACGACAAAACGTGACCCGCCCCATAACGCAACGACATGCTTTCTTGACAACAAGACAATCATAACACCGCCCTCTCACCTCACCTCGCGCCCTCAACGTGCTTTCATAGGAAGTAGTCACCCAGCCCCCTACGGCCTGCGGGGATATGCCGTTGATCGTCTGGCACGGCGGAGAAGATGCTGAACTTTGTGTTTTGGTCGCGGTCCACCGTCATGATGGATGCGACGTTACCGCAACGGTAACAGTAGTTGGGTGCCGACCATACGGTTACGACCGACTTTTCGGCGAAGTGAAACTATGTTGGAAACACAGGTTAGCTGGCGTTACTTCTCATAACTGTGGAGAGCAACAAAAAGTGATCACCTACCTTGTAACCCTCATTCACCAGCTGATGCGCTCTTGCAATTGTTGTCAGACCGTTGACGTGGTTGAACTCTGTCGCGACCTTGTCTCCGAACAGCCAACCAGCGCCACGTGGACTGACAGCCCATGTATCGACGTCTTCTGGGTCACTCCACACAAGATCGCAGAAAGCACCCTCATGCGGGATCTCCTGGGCACGCGCAACGACGCGGATCTGGTCAATCGTGCGGATCTCGGGACTGAGACCGCCGTGGACGCAGAGGACAGTACCGTCGACAATGGCGGCAAGAACTAGGAAGTCAAACACTTGGCAGCAAGCCTTCCAGACAGAGGCGTTGCCATACTTTTGCTGGCACTCCTCGTAGAAACCGTAGACCTGGGTGATTTGTCGGGACTCGTGATTACCGCGCACTAAAACAATGCGATCTGGGTATCTGTTGGGCGAAAGTGTTAGCAGCGTGAATTGTACCAGAACCAAAACTAAGACCAGAACATGGGGCCTTCGTACTTTGCCTTGAGACACATGAGAAGGGTGAATGTCTCTAAACTGAAGTACCCTCTATCCACAAAGTCTCCGAGGAAGACGAAGCGAGTATCGGCCGATTGAGAGCCCGTGTTGGCGCTGGATTGAGGGGTCTCTTCACTTGGGGATTCCTTCTCGCTTCCAGCCCCAGCCTCGCTGTCTGTACTGCTCCTTATCTTCTTCTTGAGGTTGGGATCTGTGATTTCCATTGGGGGCTCGATGTCCTCGGATGTGATGACGGTTGTTGCTGTCTTGGGCGCCTGGACGTTTGTCTCGCCTGGCATGCCGCCAGCAACGCGGAAGAGTTCGAGGAGATCGTAGAACTGGCCGTGAATATCACCGCAGATGGTAACTGGCGTAACAACAGGCTGGATGTTCGATTCTGATGACGAGGGGACACAAGTCAGCTGGACAAGTTCCCTTGTCGTGCGCGCCTTGGGACACGGGATGCGAACGCGCGCGCGCGCGCATGTGTGATCCTGACTAGTAGTTGGTGCTCAAGTACCTTCCATAAGAACTTCCTTGACAATTTCGCAGAGCTGCTTCATGACAGGCTCAGGAAGGTAATGACATTGTTTCGCCTCCTCCAGCCACTCATCTAGACCGGCTCCGGGACGAAGGTTAGCCGGACCTGGCTTTGGAATAGTGGACATGATGGTTGTTTGTGATCGGACTTGAGCTGTTTGGTGGTGTACGGGCTGTATTTATGAAGGGTGGGCGAGCAGCGAGCAGCGGGCGAAATATCTTGTCAATCGAAGGGATGCTTGTGTAAGGCTGCGATGGAACTTGGTTCCGCAATTGTTAATGTCGCTAGATGAATCGCGGGTCGCAAGGAATCGTAATCAAAGGGTCCTGGGGCCACTGAGTGCAAGGGGAGGGCACTGCAAAATTGTTGTCGGGTGTGTTGGGTTGTTGTTTGTTGTTGGGATGAAATTCTAAGGATGACGACGATGCCGAGCGCGGGATCTGGATGGCTGAGGTGAGGTGAGGTTGAATGGGGCTGGAATCAACCTCGACCTCGACCTCGAACTGTGACTGGCAGCAGCCTGCCACCCACTGGAAACCTAAGGTACTGGTACTGTGTACTGCGTGGGACCTGTGGCCAACTGCGGTTTGCGGACAGCCCAGTGGGCGAGTGCCCTGAATGGATTGCGCTGCAGGCCAAATTACGCGCGCACATTGGCGCCGAGAGCTGCCCCCCTCAGCCGCTGTGGGTCTGTGCACTCCCTCAAAGTTCTGGATCCCCGGAATTGCGGGGCACCTGGAGTGTGGATTTCTTATCGAATCCGATAAGGCTGAGCGGTACCGCCGTACCTTAAAGACCAAGCTCCACCCTTTCCACTTCCCTCAGCAATCGCATCCCGTCATTGTTCTTTGGATTTGTTACCCGAAACACTCATCCAACACCGCTTGCGCCAGCCGCGCCCGCTTACCAACGTCGACAGCTTGGTGTAAACTGTTTCTCCAGAGAATATCTTATCTCGACACGAGCGCCCAGCTGGTCTCGGCCACCAGTACTTGCTACGCCAACAAACAGCTCTATCAGCCACCGATATACGAACCATCATTCCGCCAAATATCGTGAGCGAAGCATGAGGCTGTAATTTCTGCACTAGCTCGAAACTCCGCCCAGAAACTACACATAACCCGACTATTCCAAGCCACAACAGCGTCAAAATCTCACCATGATGGCGGCGCCCCAGCTGCTTCTGCGCAAACCTAATGGCACCGCTGCCGGCCAGACCACCAATGATGCCCAGAACGCACCCAAGACCAAGCCTCAGTCCGAGGGCGAAAAGGTTGTTGTGCGTCGGCTTCCTCCCCTGCTAACCGAAGAAGAGTTCTTCAAAATCCTCGGCGACGAATGGAAAGTGGGCCACGGGAAGGTTGACTGGTTTTCATACTGGCCAGGCAAGAGCTCCCAGCAGTAAGTACATCACCGCAGCTTCTCCCCAAACCGCTTCTCACACAATCATATGTCACAGTCCCTCAAGGCCATCTCGACCCTCCCGCGCCTATTTTCACGTCATCAGGAAAGACGACCTTTTAGTGCTCTCACAAGCCGTACAGAATGGCGTTTGGGAGGACGCCAAGGAATCATACAACGACCCGGTCCTGAACCTGCCGCCGACGGTCGAGCTGTCGATTCACAAGAAGATCCCGAGCGACAAGAAACGGTTGGATAACCGCCAAGGCACTATCGACCAGGAGCCTGAGTTCATGGCCTTCCTTGAGAGCCTTGCCAATCCCGATGCCCACAAGACTACAGATACTGCCGGTGAACCGAATGCTGAGGAAACATCAGCCAAGCCCGAAAAGGTCACCACCACGCCACTCGTCGAATATCTTAAGGAGAAGAAAGCACAGAGAGCCAAGGAGGCGGCACTTGCCAGGAGCGCCAAGCAACATGCTCGACAGGAATCGCAGGGAGGAAAGACCAAGACTGCCACCGCGACTATTACTCTGGAGGAGTTGAAAAAGCGGGCTAGAGAAGCCAAGGGCGAGAAGACGGATAAGGCTTCAGAGAAACCGAGGGACAATGTCAAGATTTTGACAAGAAGGGGCGCATCAAGTGCTGCAGCGGAAGCCGCCAAAGCTGCCAATACGGTTGCCAGCCAGATCCAGGACAACGCCCGGTCCAGCTCAAAGGCTGACTCCCAGACCAAGGCCGCCCAGAGCTCGTCACAATCCGCCACTCAGTCGACTCCTTCAGCCGACGCAACATCAGAGCTACCCAAGAGTCGACGCGCAGGCATCGCCGCAGCAGCACGCATCTTACAACGTGACCTTGGCCTCAGCCCGGGCAACGCTCACAGAAAGGCACGCCAGGAGGCAGCAAAGGCTGAGGCTGACGCAAAGGCCAGCGCTGCTGCTACTGCCAGTGCCAATGTCAGTGCTGCCAAAGAAACTGCATCCAGGGAGAAGAAGGAGAAGGAGACAACTCCTGCGCCGGCCAGCTCTGTACGTTCTTCGACGCCCGCCAATGCTGCCGACTCTTCGGCTGTTGCATCGCCTTCGGCGTCTGCTAGAGGACGAGAGTCAGCCTCCGGAAGAACGCGCGGAAGGAGAGGCCGAGGTGGGACTACAGAGGAAGGATCAAAGTCAAAGGGAACAGATGGCGGCAAGGAGACCAAACCTGGCGAGGTCGCGACACCACAACCGCCGATCAAGCCAACAATGATCCTCAAGAAGAGGGATCCCACACAGGCGACTCCATCTGCACTCTCGACGCCTTCGACACCTGTAAATGCCCAACCGCCGGCCTTATCAGCCTCGCAAAAACCTAGTTCCCCCAAGCAGCCTTCCACTGGGGGCAGGCAAAGGGGTGGTGGCCGTGGAGGCGAAGCTAAAGAGAACGTCCAGCCCGGTAGCAACGCAGCCAACACCCCATCCACTCCGGCCCCCACAGGTCCAACCCAAGCCTTCATCAAGCACGCTCACCAAACACAGGGTGTCACCGAGTCAACACTACGCGAGGCTCTCCAAGCCTTTGGCGCCATCAACTCAATCGATCTGCGAAAGAAGGGCTTGGCCTACGTTGACTTTGCGGACCCCGAGGCGCTGAAGAAGGCTATAGCCGCGAGTCCCGTAATGATTGCGCGGGCGAGCGTCACGATTCTAGAGCGCAAATCGGATACCGATAAGAAGGAAGACGGCGGCAAGGATAAGGACAAGGAGACTGCTGCTCCCGGACCTGCGGCGGCGAGTGCACTAGCGGAGAAGGAAAAGACGGTGCCAGAGAAGGAAAAGGAAAGTGAGAAAGAGAAAGCGCCAGAGAAGGGGAGGGAGCGAGAAAAGCGCGATGATGAACGAAGAAGGGGAAGAGGTAGGGGCAGAGGACGCGATGGCGGCGGTGGCGGCGGCGATAAAGACAAGGAGAAAGAGAAAGAAAAGGGCGAGAAGGGTGTTGATTCGAGGGGAGGAGCAAAGGGCGATGCCCCTGTTGGTGCAAAGGAAGCTATTCCTCAGGAGGGAAATGGTTCCGATCGTCCTGTCAGCACTCCCAAGGCCGAGAGAGGCAACGCTGCTTCTGCTTCGGCTCGACCGACCTCAGCCCAGGACAAGGACGAGAAAGACAAAGAGAATGACAAGGGTGAGAAGGGCGAAGGCGAGAAGAAGGGTGAGAATCGCAGTCGCAGAAGACGCGGCGGGAGAGGAAGAGGTGGTGGTGATAAGGATAAGGAGAAGGATAAAGATGGCGGTGGTGGGTCCGCTCAGGCCGCCCCGGCTTCGTGAGATTGGGAACGCAAAAGACGTTCAGAGCACGGCCATGCGATAAAATATGATGAGGAAGGAAAAAGAATATGACTAGTTGAGAGATGAGCAAAGTCTAATGAATGATGGTATTTGATCAACGTCCTATCGCCTTGACTGGTACTCTGTTATTTTGATGAAGGTTAAGGATCAACTGTGCATATTGGGCGTGAGAAGTGGTTTTACATAGGGTAACTGTGCGGCAGTTGTAAGTACGAGTTCAATAGAGTACCGAACCGGGAGAAGAACATCCCGAAGGCTTCATCTGCTTAGCTACCGAGGACGGGGGCAAGTCAGTATGATATCTACTTTGCAAGCTAGAGGTAGGTACATTGATTCCACTGCATCATAAAACAAAAAGTCTGGTGCAGAGTAAAGCACAAGTCCTTGCCTTTTTGAGCTGATCAAATATATGCTTACTCCAGTCTCTTCCAGGAAGAAAAAAAAAAAAAAAAAAAAAGAAAAAGAAAAAGAAAACTATCCTTCAACTGAATGCACCCCTGGAAACTTTGTTTATTCGAAACCTCTGGCCAATTTGTCCACTCGTTTCCACATCCAGTTTATTTATGGCTTTCCCTCGATGACGGGGGTTCAACATTGATGTAATCATGTCAAATTATACAAATCTATTTCTAGCTGGTGATCATATCATGTAAAGTACTACTGACAGCATCCATGACAGGTTTCTGGTACGACTCTCTCGAAGTTTGCGTGGCGTGAGTGATGACCGAAGAGAAGAGAAGGAGAGAGTGTAAGAGGTTGATTAGGTAGATATGAAAACATCCCCTGGGGTGTTGTTTATCCAGAATCGAAGGGGCGCGCGGACAGTCCCGACAGGAGAGATCCGAAGACATGAATGTACGTAAATCATCTGCGAGAACCAGAACCGTTGACGTCGTGGTGAACTTGCAGTGAAAGGTAATAGTTCTCTCCTCAGTTATGTAGGGGTTTCGTTCTGCTTCTTTTTTGTCGCCTTTCGGATTCCTTCTGACGGCGTTGTTTTTTTGCATTCTCTACGAAGAAATATGGTAACCTTGGCGACAGGAAAGTTATCTAATGCCTTGTGGTGTTTTGGATGGTTTAGACTCATAAACCAGGAAAAGGGAAAAGTGGGCCACTTGCATGGTTTTTTGTACTCAGCACCGTCAAGACTCCACGAGGGTATACATCTGATGAAAAAGAAAAAACCGACAGGGCGGGACGAACTGCGGGGACATTGGATGGAAGAATGAAAGTCTTCGAACCCGGAAGTCGATGCAACGGTTCGAATTTTGGCGAGATCGAGACTGAGCGCATCGTGAAAGTGAACGATCGATTTCGTCCGATGTTATCGGCTTACGTTTGGCGGAGTTTGGTGTGCCAGTCGCAGATTTCTTTAAGGTGAAGGGCCTCAGGAAGGAGCGGAAGGAATATGACGAGAGGCGAAGATTCCTGAGAGAAAAACTAAGGGAAGGAAGGAGGTAAAGGAGACGGATTTTTTGATGCTGCTGCTGTTGTTGCCGATTTGTGAAGCTAAACAAATGAGGGCATCCGATGTATGGGACCAATAGCACCGATGATCGAAAGTCCAGCGGCACTCGTCAGGTTGTCCACCATATTGTGTACGGAGAGTTCATCCTTGTGGTCAGGGATCCAATGAAAGTGCACTTCCACGGGCAGCCGCGAGCGCTTGCCTCCAAAGCGTCGGCCTAACTCCTGTGACTTCTCGACGATGAACCAAGCAACTTACTGGCCGAGCGACGTCTTGGGGTCATTGTGCTTTTTTTTCTTTTTTTTTTTTTTTTTTTGTTCGGATGAAATAGAAGACCAAGTAGATGTAAGATGACGCCGTTTGCTATTCCTTCCTTACCTCTAGCAAAGTCGCTCATGTCGTTTCTTGATCCTCACGTTACTTCGGGTGCTTGCTCAAATGATGATGACGCCATTGGCACTATGGTTGGCGGGACTCTGATGTAGCGTATTGAGTATGCGAGGAGAGTTATCTAGTCATGGTAGCCCCTGAACATGTCCTCTATCCTGTTGCTTGTTTAGTAGGTTGCCAGAAGTAGGCAGCGTCTCGCTGTTGATCGCGCCACTAGTCCTCGACAGACGCCATGGTGAAACCAGCCAGATCGACGTAAATGTGAAACACCAGGGCTCTAAAGGTTCAGTTCCCATGAGTGAGTCAGAATATGTGAACACCGTCTTCGTAAGGCACAATCGGCTTACATTAAAATCAATACCATTCACTAGGAGGCCAGCTCGACGCATCCAAGAGTTCTTGAGAACTTGAAGTATTTTTTTTTATATTTTTTTTTTCCCCATTTTCCATAATAAAAAACCAAGGAAAACAGTCCGCTATCTCAGGATCAAAGTCCTCATACACCAAGCGGATCTTCACTAACCTGTTGGGTCCCTCTTCACTGTAGCCGTTATCGAAGATCCATCTAGCAATGAAAGACTAGGTATCCATGTCCAGGCTGCTATAAATCCCATTGATATCTCAGTTTGGCGCCGAGTGCTGTAAAGGGTACTCCGGTGAGATAAAAACAAACTTGCTAACCCATTACTAGAATTAGGACATCCCGAAGACAGAACCACAGAACTGGAACAGTCCCGAGCAAGAAGTAGAGCGACCCGATAACGAAATATGGCATGAGAGGCGGAGCTGTCGACCAAGATAGATTTGGTTGAGTTGGATGTTTTGCCACCGCCTTGGATGGGCTCAGGGGATGTGAGGTAATGTTGAGGAGGTGTGTCTGAAGAAGAAGCCCTACACCCCAAAGACCTACACTTGCCCAACTGTTTACAAGACACTTGACAATAACGCTGTGCTAACGCGAGGGAATGTCGTGAAAGATTGTAATTGTCAAACATCAACGATACAGACTGGATATGTCTAGAGTCAAGTTAAGGTATCGAAGCGAATTATCGCACTCTGTCCTGCTCGCCGAGCCAATTCACTATCAAAACCATAAAGGGGCAAGAAAGTTATACGCGAACCACAAAAACCATTGGATTGACTCCGTACTTCCGCCCATCTTTTCCGACACTTTTCTAGACTACCCCATCTATATACCCATTCGTTACAAAACATGAACACATTTCTTTTTTCATCCGCCCATTCCACAAGTACATAACATAACATCCACTCAAGGTACATAAGACATCATTCCATTAAAACGTCCGATCCGTCTAATCCGTAATCACAAATGAAACAAGCTTTAAAAAAGCGAGAGAAACAAAAAACAAGGGGGGTATGAATGGGTATACATGATGAAGAATGAAAATGTTCTACATGGTTTTTGGGGACGTAGGGGTATAATGTGCTTTTATCAGAGGAAGAAGAAGAAGAAGAAGAAGAAGAAAGGAAGTGCGAACCAAGAAAAACAAAAGAAAAGGAAGAAGAACGAAAGATGGACCTCGAAAGCGCGAGCGAGCGAGCGAGGTATCGGATGAAGGTGTGAAGTTGCAACCGGACCCCGGGCTCGGCGCCGATGCCGATGTGGAAAGAAGTGGAGATCCCGAAGTGGGGTCGCCGGCCGGTGGGGTCGGTCAGGCACCGAACCGGGACGTCCTCCATCGATGTGGTTACCGCGGTCACCGTGGTGAGGTACATACGATGAGACTGACACACAGTGACCATTGTGACTTTGACATATGGTGTGATTAGGCTTGTGCGTGTCTCGTGTGTTTCGGTGAGTCGGTGGTGGTGGTGGTGGCAGTGGTGCTGGAGACCGAAGGACGTCTCCGGGAAAGTAAGAAAAAGCCCGAGCCGACACCTTACACACGTGGGAAACGTGAAGAAGAGCTCGGCAGGGGAGAGGGAAGGAGAAGGGAAAAAAAAAAGAAGAAGAATGGTTTCAAGTTCCCGTCTTGGCCTTGACCTCGCTTGGCCACGGTTGGAACCTAAAGTTCCTTGATTCCTTCCTTTGTTCTCTGAGCTTGTTCCTTCCGTGGGCCCACCCGAACCCCGACGGGCCGATTGCCCACCTTACCCCTTGACTAAGACCGAATGGTGGTCTGCCCCTCCGATTCCCGAACGGAACCAAGGACGCAAGTTGACCGATTGGGGATGGCGGGGTTGGACGGCTGACAGGGGGTTCGGGAAATAATGAAAATTTTCTCTTCTGTTTCTGACTGCGGTCCGAGAAGAGAATGGAAGCGAGGCGCCAGAAGACGACCCCTGCTTGAGTGTGCAGTGCGCGATCGTGGGGCCAGCGTCCTCTCGATTTTGTTTGGAGGGGAGGATGCCGTCAGGCTTGGGTGTGAATGGCGGCAGTGCCTGAATGGGTGCTGCTACCGCTGGCGCGCGGCAGACTGCTTGCTGTCCTGTCAATCAGGCACAGAGGAGAGGGCGGTGCAGCCATGCTGGCAGACCCCTGGGAGGTCCGCTTGCTTCCTTGCTGCCCACGCGTGAACCTTGCTGACCAGCCAATATCGAAAGTCCAACGAAAACGAGGTGCCTTGCAGGAGACGACAGCCCAATCTGTCGCCGGGTGCAGATGCAGATCCGAAGACTGCCAATTGGGGAAGGGGATTCAAATGTGATGTTTGGCATGCAATGGTGAAAACGCAGAAAAGAGGTCTCAGCTGCGGCGAAGTAATAAAAAAGACGAGGTAGAAAGAAAAAAAAGTATCCAATGACGGGCGTTGTTACAATGAGCATGGCTTTTGTTGATGGCCGTGGCGATTGATCAAAAAAACTGATTACCTCCGCGGCATCTTTGCGCTAGCGATCGCCTGTTGATAACGGAAGTCATCATCGGTGGGATACCGGTTGTCAACGTAGCCAGCAGGCGCCTGGACATAGACTGCTGGATGATGTGCCACAGCCCGAGGAACAGCAGAGCTTGGCTCGCGGATGCTCGCGTACTGTGGTGCCGGATAAGAGGGCGCATTATAGGCGTAGTCGTAGGCATCTCTCGCCGACACGAGCTGAGGGCCTGGAACCTGTGGTCTGGGTGCACCGCGACCAGAAGATTCAATGTAGCTATCACGCTGGCTGTTCCGTGGCTGGCCTCTGATGGTGGCCGGCGGGAGAGATGGGAGAGACTGGCTGCTGCTCTTGGCATCGTTGTCGTCACCCCGAGTGCGGAAGCGGCTGCGGAGACGCTCCTTCTCCTCGTCAATGACCGGTCGTTCGTGTGCCAGTGCCAGTTGTCGCTCCCTCTCTAGCTGTCGCTCCCACTCACTGTCCATGTCCAACTTCTCGTGTTCTCTATGTGGAGCACGTCGGCTCGAGCTTCGGCGAGGTCTCCTGTCCTCCGATGAGTCGGATGGCGGGGGCATGGACATGCTCTTGCGCCGGGGTCTCTTCATCTTCTCGGAATCGACGGATTCGCTCGACTCTTTGGGGTCCTTTAGTTCCGTGGCTTTCTTGGCGTCTTCGAGTTCCCGCAGCTTCTTGTTTTCCTCCTTGAGCTGCGTGTTTTCGCTCGTAAGATCCTTGTTCTTTTGCACTAGCTCGGTATTCTTGGACTTTAGCTCGGTGAGTTGATCGGATAGGACCTCGTTCTCATTCTGCTTCGCGTCCAGTTGTGCTTGCAGTGTAGCCTCACTCTGAATGACCTCCTTGTGAGTGATCTTGAGCTGGCTGTGGGATACCTGAAGTCGTTCAAGGTGTTGGATTTTGGCCTGGAGATCTTTGATCTTGTCCTCTGCCTGCGTCAACTCATTCTTGAGGCGCAGAATCTCACGAGCGTCCCGATGGTCGTCGTAATCACGGGGTGTGTAGGTACGATCACTGTTGGGAACACCGCAGTCGCTACCACTTAGAGAACCGACCCCGGAATCGCTCCTCTGGTGATCCGAGTAGTGGGATGCACCCGAAGGGGAGTCGTCCCGGAATCCAACCTTCTTGTGGGACATGGCTGCTGCGGGCGTCGTAGTAGCCTTGAGTACGGATAGGTATGTAGATAGCTGTAGCAAGCTGTAACCGTAGACGGAAGCGTATGTAATGGTAGGTTGGTGATGGAAGGCTGAAGGGTGTTTAGACCAGAAGCAGCAGAGTGCAAAGATGTGTTTTGTGCTGATTTGACGGCGCAAGAAGGGACGGTGCTGCAGAGGTGCCCGACTGGTTATATTATAAAGAGAGAGTGGGAGAGGAAAGGGTTGCGGGCAAAAGAGACTGAGGCAGGGGGGGGGGATGGATGGGAGGCCCGCGCCGAAATTGGGTAAAGGACAAGAGACTAGGGCTAGGACAGACTGTGGCCAGACTGATCAGGACTGGTGTGGCAGGGGGTGCAGAGATGCAAGTACACTATGTAGACTCGGTAGCTTGCGCGTACAAGAGGGTACCTCTGCTCAGTGACGTCCACGGGCGGGACGGCGGATGACAAGACTATACCGGGCAAGATTAGGAATGCTGATGCTGCCCTGTTCTGTTTGGTTGGGTTGGGCCTCAATGGCACCGAAAAGCCAGTCTGGATCCCGGAGTTGGGCCAATAAGCGGAGCTGGGAGTCAAGGGTATAAAGCGCCGAAGGTATGAGGTCCTGGGACAGGAATGAGAAAGAGAGATGCCTGGTGAAATGGGTGGAAAATGTGTGCGTGTCTCACCGTCGTCAGTCACCCGGGCGACCAGAACGTTTTTATTTTGTTTTCTTCTCGACTACCGTGTCTCGGGGCAAACACTGCCTTTTCGACGCCGCAGTTCACCAAGCAAGCCCAATCGTCAGAAAACACAAGGGAAGGGGGTACGGATTCGCACTACTACGACTACACCTTGGATAACCAGAGGTGGAAGCCAGGGCAAGCAGATGGCACAAGGAAGAAACGGGAAAGGGTGGTGACAGTGGGGAACCATGCCATACGGGGCAAAAGAAGCCAGGAGGACTCTGGCCAGGTATCAACTTGTATCCAGAACTCGATGCTGTAGTGTAGCTGGAGAGAGCCACCATCCAGGCAGCTCGCGCCGGCTACCGACCACGAGGCTTACCTTGGTGACGAAAAGGGAAACAAGGACGTGTACTAGGTACTGGCTACTTGCATCCCTGTAATTCCATGGGTCGGGGATCCATTGATCGGCGGACCATGTCGGACCCCCCTGGAACAGAACCCAAGCATGGCGAGGCAGGGTTGGGAAACACAGCAAACACCCCATGTGAAGGTCAATTGTGCACCTATGGGCAAAAGAGCATAGGAAACACTGGGCATCAAACAGGAGGCGATTCTCACGCAGCCACCATGTTCACCTTCAGGGGCAACTGGGCCGTATAATCACCGCAAGGCTCTGACAAGACCAGAGAAGCAAAAGCGGCGATCAGGGTAGGTGTGTAATACACTATAGGTGAGCAGATCCACAGCGGCACAGCCACATCCTGACACGTCCGGCTTCCGGCTTTCACCAAGGCGTCTTTTGGGGAAATGGTCAAAAGTCGGAAGAAGGTTGGTCGTTTGCCATGACTGGTGAGACGGCCAAGCCAGGTCTGACAGAACAACAGCGACCAACAAGTGTCGAGTCGGACATGTCATGCCGGCGACTATCAGGGCTTTTCGTTTGCCTGGCTGCAGTTGCGGAAATTGGATGCTCGTTGGCTTTCTCGCGATCTTGCTCATCTTGTGGGTTTGCGTGTCCTGCGCGAGTCCTGGATTTTGCTTAGCCATTTCCCTAGCCTCGGAGGCTTGGTTTGGCCGTTTCAGTAATCTGGCGAACCAGAAGACTGGCGAGGAAGGGGGTGCATAGAGGTATAGGTGTGCTGAGTGCGGACTGGCAGGACGAAGTGGGTCTGGGTAGTGTTTCTGAATGCCATTTGCACACATGGGCGGATAGATGGATAGCTGATGGGGGACCGTCCGTTTGCCCATGGTTTGTGTCGCCATTACAGTGATATTTACATACATATGTCCATTGTGGTTTTCTTGGGGATAGTCCAAACATAGATTGAGTGGATTGCCCAATCCAGCCTTTTCACTGCGCCCTCGATTCCGAAGCACCAGTCAGGAAGTGCATGATGAGGCGAGCGACAAAGGGGAAGCGCGGCTTTGTGGATGTGAAGCTATTCGTCCGGGTTGCGCAAACAGACGTCTGACGGGCGCGGACAAGCAGGGGAAAGGGGGGGGTTTTGGTGAGACGTCTCCTGGCTATTTCTGGCCCACGATGCGCGGCTGTGATGTAGGAGACGCCGTGACTGACGCATTGCGCACCCGCCTTTATTATGCGTGCTGTGCAGTGCAAGTGCAAGTAGGGCGGCCAGACCAAAAAGAGTCGAGGGATTCCAAAAAGGACCCTTCCCCTTGCCCAAAACACGAAAAGGTCTCGGCCGGAGAATATCAAACCTTTTCTTTTTCTTGTTCAATTTTTATTTTGGCTACATATTCGATTATTTGATCGTATGCGTCCAGATCAAATTTCACATGCGTTGCCACCTATTGGAGCCACTGTTGTTGTTGGTGTTGTTACTGCCGTCGTCCCTTGTCTTGTTTGTGAAGCGTCGCACGCCATTATCGCGAGATTGTTGCGGTTAGTTTTGTTTACTATCTCTCCCCCAGAGATGTCTGATGGGCAGTCGTCGAGGCTTTCAATCCGCGCTCGTGAGCGATCTTGGTCGCTCGACTTTTGTTGGCGATTTGTGAATGAGAGAGTTCTGGTGTGACGCTCAAGATGTTGGATGGCGCTGTGAGTGTGAGAAGAGAACTAAAGATTTCCAGGGTTCGTACTAGTTGCCCGAGGTGTGGGTGACAACGGGCAGGAAATGTAGAAATGGCTGACTTCCATCTTCAACGGAAGTTGATGGACGCCCCCTCCTTTTTTGCTCAGTGGAAGGTCCCGTCCGCTACAGTACCCCCGCCTCCTCCGCCGCCAAGTCCACTCCGAATGACCCCGCGGGCCCACACTGTGAACCCGCGATGATCAGGAGCTCCACTGCACCCTCCTTCCCGTCTCCGTCTTCCCTTCCTTCAACATTTCAGGAAAAAGATGGGAGAAAAGAAGAAGCCACCGTCGCGTGTGTCTTTTGTGCAACTGCAAATCTCGCGACCTGACCGCTTTCAGCCAGCCCATTTTCGTTTAACACCTGATTCAATTCATCATGGCCCGTGTTACCACACGTAAATGGGATGCTTTTCTCTGATGGCGGCTGGTTCTCGTGAGAATACTCTTCGACGCGGATCCAAATGTCGCGACGGTCATTCGGGGGAGGGGGCTTACAAATTTTTTTATTCTTTCCTCCCATCTCTCAAAAGGTGAGGTCGCATCAGCTAATCTAGCGCGGGTCAGTCTAGGGCATCCGAATCCGACCTGTCGCTACTTGGATCCATCAGATTGGCAGAAAGGCGCGCGTCAAAAGGCCAGCTGCCACGGCTGCTACTGCATCAGAAATGAAAAGGGCTGTCACGGGGTTCTTCTGCAAGTCGATGGCTGTTCCCGTCTTCAAGGTTGCCATGCGACGCACTCCCACTGTCTACCAATCTGGGGAGAGGGATGCAAGTCATAAGCTCCCGTGTTCGTTTCTCTCGGTCTCCAGTCAGCCAGTCTCCATCCGGCTAACGTCGTTGAGCTGTCAAGGTGAGCGAGGGTGCCTGGCTCTCCCCGCAGCCCTACGAAGAAGCGAATGGAGAATGGTTTGGTGGAGTTGCCGACGGGAGCCAAGAAAGACGGAGTCCACACCCGGACCGCAAGTCCACGGCTCCATCGACGGCGACGTGCTCCACCCGGGGAACAAGAAGCCCCGACGCAGGCGACAGTATATCTATGTAGAGGTAGTGTCCACTCGGGGGTTCCATCGTCCGCCCTCGTCATTCCTCCTCCCCTCCAGTTTCCATCGCCGCCGTCGACCGCACCATTGCAAGCGGGGAGTGGGATGCTACCGACACCACGACCTACACACTTACTGTGTATCATCACAGAAAAGGGGGGTGCAAAGAATTGCGTCGAGGGCGAGCAGGGAAAACGCCCGGGAGAGCGCCGAGGAACAGCCGTCATCTCTCTAGTCTGCCCAGAGATATACTAACCATGCAGTATATACTGCTCCATGTTTGTCAGTCCTTCATCTATTTCTCCGTCTACTCCCGTCTATCCGCCACTGGCGTCCATATCATTCAATTTATTTTGATGCATTCGCGCATTTGCGTCTTTGGCTTGCATCTCGCTCTTTAAGTCTGCAATATGCTATCTCCAACTCACCTCGTGGTCTTTGTGACTTGACACCTTTTCAAAATCTCTTCCTGTCATACAAATAAAGAGGATGTGGAAAGGTGTGCAAATTAGGGCATCTGACTGGCCCATCATTTCCACCGGCCACTACAACCTGAGGCCACACTGCCGGTTGTAGAGATACATGATGGGAACATGACCTTCAGCAGAACAGCCATTTTCGAAACAGTGGAAAGACTGAGACAGATGGAGGGGAGGGTCTACCACGGCCGACATCGCACACCCCCATTTTGGCAACTTTCGATCAAATCGTCACATTTGATAGGCCCGGTCGAGATCCAACCCTCGCTTAAGTGGGTGTAATGGACGTCGCCGGAAGCCAAGATCAGAGGGGGGAGGTGAAAGAAGTGTGTGAAAATCCAGGCTAAATTGCTCATTCGGACATCCTATGCTGATAAGAAAGACAGCAGGCGAAATATCGGCCACTTAAGGCCCGGAGGTTGTCACCATCCTAGTTCTCCCGCTTTGTTGAGGTCGGCAAGTTCACTCTATCCCCAACGAATTTTTCCTTAATCATTCTATACCTGCGCAAAGAATGCGCAGTTCAAAAAGCGCGACTCCATCTTCTCATCACCTGCCTTTTTTTTTTCTTGTTTTTTTTTCTAGTTCATATCCGTTGGCGGCCACGATGTCGACCAGGTCTCGGAGATACATCACGCCGCCAGCCGGCCGTTTAGATTCGATCCGACACGCCAAAAGCAAGCAACTACCCTGACCACCTTCCGATCACGATGCCTTTCGCTTCTCACTTCCCTTCTTCGCGTACAACATACATACCTAGCTGTGTGCGGCCGACTGATTTGATCATGCAAAGCTCCGCCGAGACAAGCAGAGCTTCCGTTAGCCACAGTATCGGATCGAGAATACCTCAGATGTTTGCACATTCACCCGGGTGGGGTTCATGTCAGAAGAAGGCGGCAGTTCGCCAAGCCATCTCTGCCTAGCGCCAACAGGGGGGTATCCGACCACTTCCAAGAATCGACCATAGTGATCCTTCGCCCTTCATTGTGATGATAAGAGTGCTTGATGGTTCTGTCTGTGGCTATCTCACACTGAAATCAAAGCTTTCTACCGTTCACTATGTTGTTTTTCAAGCAGAGAAGTAACAGAAAGCCGGGAAGAATGCCGACGGAAAACACAGCCTCGTCCTGTGTCGTCCATGTATGTATACACTTAATCCACCCTCGGCTTCTTGCTTCGTTTCAATCCCTTGTTACCTAAACGTCGATGCATATCTCCGCGGATCTCATCTACACTGCAGTGAACCAAAGTGAAAAAAGAAAAAAAAAAAGAAAGCCCATTGTCTGCCTAAGATGCCGAGGCTCTTCCATGTTCCACTTCTAGCAAACTACTACCATGTTGGTATCCGCTTCTGGAACTGTATATCGCAGGCAGAAAGCATAAGACCTCAAATCGGATTTGTGATATGGTATGCATACCTACCTAGTGTAAATGTGGATAATGTGTTTCCCCTCACCTATGTACGTGAATCGCCCCAGTGGAAGCCTACCTAGGTATGCAAGTCATAGGCACAGCCATATAGCCATTCGTAGTGTAGTAAAGATAACTAGGTATGTACTAAGCCGTTTGAAATGCCCACGTTCTAGACTTTGTCGCCACTTCCCAGGCAGGAAATATGCAGGGTTTCATGTACAAAATCACTAGTGTGTAGTTGTAGTTGAAGATCAGTTCTGTTTTACAGGCCAGCAAGCGTTCACGATTGTATCTACAAACCCCACGAGCAAAACGTGGAGGATCTCGAACTACACTAGAGTTAGGTAACTCCGTGCCACGGGTGTTTGCCATGAGGCGAAAGACAAAGTGAATATTTCATCCAACCTGCAAGTGAATCACTACGTACTGTAAATATAAGTGTAGAGGTAGGTAGTAGGTAAGAGTTCGGAGGAGCTTCGGGAGACTTTCTCCTCACTCCGTCTTTTTCACCTACCTGCCTGCCGTCGTTCCCCTCACCTCATGCCCCGCACCAGGCGGGCACAAAGTACCCTCTACATCTTCACATTCTACACATCTAACTGAATAGCGAACGCAACCCAACCCAATCAAACCCGGACTCTTCCTCCAGCCATTACTATCCCCACATCAATTGTCTCCTGCCCTGCAGGGGACAACAACTGCAAGCTCTATGACTGAGTGCAGTGCCTTCTAAAAAGCGACAGGTCTCGTGCATTGTGCATTTCTCCTGCGTCTAGTCCCATTCTCAATCGCAATCTACACTGCAATGCGTAGTACTGCGTGCGTACGTACCTATTGCGTGTTGCGTATGCATCCGGTTGCATCCGTTTCTTGCGCCAATGTGATTTTTTTTTTTTGACTTTTTTTCACATTCAGCTTTTTGTGGGTATGTACCTCTAGGTATGTACGTACGTAACGTTGGTGCAGAATAAATGCGATCAATGTAGGTAGGTAAGTGTAGGTCAGTATAGTAGGGTAGGGTGAAGTTTCACGGATATACCTACCTACCTACCTACCTACCTACCTACCTACCTACACAGCAGTACAGCCCAAGATGGCGCTAAACTGAAGGGTCTCAACTCTCAAAGAAAAGGTCAATAACATATCAGAAGGTAGGTACCTAGTTATCTCTCAATTACATACCCAGGTAACTACAATAACAGCCTCGTTAAGTTCTAGGGTTCAGTTGCCCCTCATTTCGCAACGCATCGCCATCGATCGGTATCCATGACCAAGTTATTAAGACTACTACCCACCAAGGCTTTCATCTCGTCACAACCTATGTGGAATGTTAGTTGGCGGGGCCTCCCGCATTACGAACTACTGTACATACAACTAACTTACCGCTACCGAGCATATCTCCTCAGCACAGAACTATCTTATGTTTGTCACATGTTGGTCCCGTTCAAACTATCCAGTCTGACAGTCTGAACTAAAAACCAGAAAATCATTCAAACTCTACAAACTAAACGGATGTGATTGGCTCGGCCTCACTTACGACATACGTACGTATACTAAAAAGGGACTTTACCATGACTTCCAACTTCTTCAGTACCAAGTAGGATGTTGCCCATCAGTCTTTTCAAGCGAGATGCTTCCGTTGAGTAGGTAGGTAGGTAGGATGAGGTGAGGTGAGGTGAGGTGAGGTGAGGTGAGGTGAGGTGAGGTGTAAAGATGGACCCATCCACTGACGCTGAGCGGGTTTCCCTTGAGGTCTACATGCTTCTGTTTGTTTTCCCCTGCGTGCAGCAATATGTAAGTCGCTGTCAAGAAATGTGCGTGATGAGGGCTTGCTTTTCAAGTAAGTTCGTGGTAGTTTATTGGTGAGGAGGTAGTGGTTGGTAGTGGTAGTGGTGGTGGTGGTGGTGGTGGTGGTGGTGGTGGTGGTGGTGGTGGTGGTGGTGGTGGTCTTCTGCGGTGTTCTTCAAGTTTGTATTGTCTTTCCAGACAGTCTGGTACTTCAGATGCGAACTGAACTAGCAGAGATTCTACTACTCAATAAAATATCCAGTTCCTGACATGAAAGACATGCATGGGAAGATTCAAAAGTCTCAAAAATACATTATCAAGAGGATAGTTGAGCAGTGTAAATTTGCGCGGGCCATCTTTATACTTGGATGACTGACTGAAATTAGGTACCGTATGGATCGCGAGGGTCCCTTCTGATCAAGATATCCTATCCTAAAAGAGAATGTACAAAAAAAAAGCACGGGCACCTGAACTTGATCGTCCAACTGCTATCCAGAGCACTTGTGGGATTTGTGCAGGACAAATGTATGTAAGTCCCCCAGCTGTACCTTTTTTTCGAGTTTCGGCTGGATCCGGATGTGGTGATGCACAACATGACACGGCGGCGCACGAACCACACATGACTTCGTTGGTAGGTAGGTAGGAATCTACCCAATTGAGTCATACCGTGTAGGAGTCACAACTTTTTCTGCATTGTGCAGTCGCTCATTTTATTCAAAAGCCGATGGCCATCGATGGCTTGCATGACATGTACATGATGTCGGTACATGATGATGATGATGATAAGCTCACGGGGTTTTGAGGAAAAAGTAAGGTAGTTAGGGTGGTAGGTAACTGGGATTGATCTTGGAATATCAGGCGAATTGGAAGGAAAGTAGAAAGAGGCTATGGAATAGATGTCTATGTAGTCTATTGTGTGGGTGGAACGGTGTAAGATAAAGAAGTAAGGGGACTGTTAATATTCTACACGCGATCATTCCAATTGAGGTCTCTGTTGCACGCCAAGTTCAAGATGTGAAAAAGTGAAACTGATGAAATACTTGGTTACAAGAAAAGGGTATCGTCGTCGCAGAGATGTTGAACAAGTGAAAAGAAACCAAACCACAAGCGTACTAGGGAAGAATCGTATCGTACAAACCCACCGTAAAATGGATAGAATGTGAAGAGAGACGCAAAAAAAAAAAAAAAAAAAAAAAAACACCCATCAACCGCCGGCCAAGCCGACCCTCAAAAGCGAGAAACCCTCAATCTTCGCTCCAACTCGAGCACCTGAGCAAGCTGCTCATTTTCCGCCCTCAGGTTCTCATTCTGGGTCCTGAAGGCCTCACTCTGCTGCGTGTGGATATCGAGGTTCTCACGCAACCTCCCGTAACGCCGCTCAAGATCGTTGTTTTTCCGCTTCTCCGACTCAAACTGCAACCTCCAGTTCGCAACCTCCTGCTTGAGCGCATTAATCTGGTCAACCATAGGCCTAATCTTGGCATCCATTTCATGACGGAGCTCGCGGGCTCTAGCGTTGAGATCGTCCTTGTCCTTCCGGAGCTTGGAGTTCTTGCGCTTCAGGTTATGGATCTCGTCCTCCTGAAGTCCGTCAAGGTTGGACAAGCTGTCGAGCGAGCGCCGGAGGTTCGTGTTGTCGAATTTGAGCTCCTCTATGCGGGCGTCCTTCTGCTGGAGCTCGAGGTCCTTTGCCCGGAGCTCGTTGCGCAGGTTCTGGTTCTGCCGGTAGGCTTCGTCGTAGGCCTCCCGGAGGACTCGGTCGTGGTCGGTCATGGTGTTGTTGTTGTTGCTGTTGTCTGCCAGTAGCTCGTCCCGGTAGACGTAGATGCGCTCTTCGCTTCGGGTTCTGGGTTGATAGCGCGGGCTTCTTGGACTTCTTGGACTTCGTGGGCTCCTGTCAACCGCTCGGGTTTCGATAAAGACTCGATGAGCAGGCATAGGGCCGGCGTGGGATGATGATGATGATGGTGTGCTAGGAAGAAGGTGTCTTATAGATAGGGGACTATCGATGGCTCGTGGGAAGACGGTGACTAATAGTTGATGGCAGGGCAAGTGATTGGTAGGGCTGAGCTAGGAATATGCAGGTTATCTGCTGCAGGTGTTCGTTGCTATTCACCACTAGGAGTTGAGAGAAGTAAAAAGGTGGCCGGGAAGGGGGAACGAAGCAGGTGGGATAGGTGGGTGCGGCTTGTTTAAGAATGACGATAGTTGAGCATGATGTTGTGATAGGACTGGATGGATGGAGAGGTGTGTGTGGCACAAAGGTCACCAAACACTACAACACTGGCACGTCTGAAGGCCCGGTTCCGGAGCGAGGCGTCTAGCAATGCCACGGTAGGTTGACTTGATCATGACATACCCGGGAAGGGCGAAAGGTCCAGACTAACACGGATGTAAGGTTCTGCATGAATGTGTCCTTGACAAGCAATGACCAAGATACAGCCGCAACTCCAAGGGCAATCACAGGTCGGAAAGGCTACCATGAGGGCGGCCGCCGACATGATTGGGACAACAACGTTTGTTGCCCCCCCTGGCCTTTTGCCCTTGGTGTTGTCCATACCCCATGGGGAGAGAGGGGCCGGGGGAGGGCTGCCTTGGTGCCCTGGTGCCTGGAGCTGTTGGCCAGGAAGGTGTTCTTGGTCAGTGGTGTGTGTGTATGCCAGGAGGGTGATGGGTGTCGTCTCGAAGAACTTGGTTGAGGTGTACCTGGTATGACTGGATCTCGTGTAGTTCAGATAAGGTGTAGGCAGTGTCTCAGGTCAAGGTCAACAGTCATTCCTATTCCACTTGGACGGTGCATGACGACGGAAGGCCGCACAAACGAGTGTGTCGGTGTCAGTCATGAACGAAAACCCAGGACAGACGAAGGACAAGATTGTGATATGGCCCAAAGGAAACGGACGATATCGGCGGCACCCAACACCAGAAAGGCAGATGACGTATGTACCTAGCTTCGACTCGGTGAGGTGCCCCTCCAAACTGAGTGTCAGCCAAGGTGAGAGGCCGACGATGGTTACTTCAGTTAGTAACGAACCAAGAGGTTTAGACTGGCGATGCCCAGAGAAGGCGCTTGTTGTTGTTGTGGCCTGGCACCAATTCCTGAAAGCGGAGGTGCCTGATAGGGAAACTGCAATCGAAGGAAGAGAATACTAGGTAATAAACGCGGCAGTCACGTTCGGGACACACCGACTGGCTCATCAGTCGCTGTGCGTCAACGGTTTAGCGGGGATGGCGGGGCCTCAATCAAACACTGTGGCTCTGTGGCTTAGCTCCACTACACGTGTAATTCAGTTGTGCCTCACAGGGGCTGTCCCGGAGTCCTCCCTCTCCCCCGCAAAACTCCAGTCCCCTCCTCCTTGATTCAGTTCCTTCTCCTCCATGACAACTTGGACGTCACATCGATCTCTCCTCAGCCTCTTGTTCCCCAATATCATCGTCATCTTATATTTCTCCAATTGACCCAGCAGAAACCTCTCCATTGTCCCATCATCTCGAATACCTTATAGTCAAAGGCAAAGGCTGTCAGTGTCCACGCAAAGTCCCCTGCTGGCTGCTGCCTTGTCATCTAGAATGGAAGTCGTCCAACAAGTTTGGCGATTGTGTAGTCACCACCCCACAACAGGATGTCATTCGGATACAGCCAACTACACCACAACCCACATGGCTTAGGAACATGACTACACCAGCCTCTCAGCCTCACTTCGATAGTCATACGGCAACCCTCTTCCTCGAAGCCCTTTGGCCGGTCAATCGTCACACGTTCCTTGCATACCCCTCAACATTGGCTCTGGAATGAGGTTTACGCAATCATCGCAGTCCAGATCTTCAGCCTTTTCATGCGGCTGAACACCATGACTCAAGGACGGCAAGGCTCTGTGGCCCAGCAAGCCCATCCATTCTTCTCGTTGGACTAATTGTCCTCTGTGACCGTGGCAAGAAGTCGTGCCTCGTTGTCACAGCAAAAGCTCCGTCCGTGCCGCTTCTCCCAGCTGGTCAAGGGCCAGATGTAGTGGTATTAAGAGGCCGCCCTATCTCTTTTCCCGTCGTTGGCAACAACTCTCTGCTTGTATATGCCCGCCTGGGAAACAACTCATAGCTGATTTATCTTCACAGTTACATAGCATCAGCCCTTGATCGGTGCAAGGATTGACGGGTTTGATTTATCAAATCACGACCACGACAAAAACCAGTATTCGTTATGATGCAAGACAACCCGCGTCGGTGATTAATCACTATTCGTCTTTGCCTGTCAAACATTCCCGGGTCTTTTACATGGCAAGCCGTATACCGTGGCTACCGAGAAGTCAACGGCATTGTTCAGTACGCCGACGCACCAGCTCGACTCCGAGCCTTCAAAACAGTCTAGACGCCTCAAGTGATGCTGTATGGGCCTGGTTTGTTGGATAAGCACGGCCAATATCGACCAACGAATAGACGAGAGGTCTTCATTGACCACTACGGGCTGGAATGTCATACGTGTACATGATCTGTCGTCTGCCCGTGCGCCCATCATCTTGGACCCACTGAGCGAAAGTTGTTGCTGCCTGCCCTAGTGTGCGGGATGCGGTCGTGAGATCCCGAGCAGTGGCTGTCATGAGCGCCTACGATCAAGTTCCCTTGTTGCAGCTCGCTGGTCAGTACAGGCGCTTTGCACCCTTCACTTGCAGAGATTCGTTTCATTATCGAGCGGTTCACGCCACGGGTTCCTTTCTTTTTCTTTTCCCCATTGCAACCTATTGATGGCTGGGAGCGGATTGGTCGACAGAGCTTCCTAGATCCAGGCAGATATCCTGTTGGAAAATCGAGACTCCTCGGTGGCCAGGCCGAGAACGACCGATTGGACATCTACGTGCCTCAACTATGTTCAGTCAACCTCAGACACTTCTGCTCATCTACTTACTGTCACTCGTCCCGTCCTCATCATCCCCGTCCCTGAGATCGCCATCACCTCCCGAACCGGGTGCCACCAACCCTCCCCAGCTCGCCCTTTAGCTAGTTACGCTCTCCAGTTGTATCGAAAACACTTCCCCCTCCTGCGAGTTTGGCCCCAATGGCACCCACGGGGTACTCATCATTTTCAGAGATTCCTGTGCTCGTAATCTCGAGGTGCCCTGACTCGGGCTTTCTGTGCATTATTCCCGCAGGCCTTCACAACAATAACATAGTTTGGGCGTGTGGCTCAGTTGGTAGAGCGTTCGCTTAGCATACTCACCTGTATGCGAAAGGTCCTGGGTTCGATTCCCAGCTCGTCCATTTCTCATCTCCGTTTCTCCTTAGGGCGTGTGGCTCAGTTGGTAGAGCGTTCGCTTAGCATGTTTCCGAGCATGCGAAAGGTCCTGGGTTCGATTCCCAGCTCGTCCAATACGCTTGATGTGATCTTCTTCTTTTTTCTTTTTTCTTTTCTATCACCTTTCGCTCTATTTCTCGGTCTTATCCACTGCGTTTGGGCTGATCAATGTATATTTCATGTTTTCGTCCTTTCTCTTTGGCTGCCCAACAACGCAGTGTACTATAGTCCGTTTTTGAAGTTGGCTTTGGCATTTGATCTTTGCCTTCTTGTCTCATTTTGCTCTTCGTGGCGCAATTCAAGGGGTCTACAACCGACTGATCTTTACGAACCCAAAATCTCGACAAAGGGCGATGATTGCTCTCTTACCACCGCTTATTCTCATTTGAAGCAGATCTATGTAACACGGGAACTAGGCTCAACATAGTTAGTATATGCGGTGTCGCTCGATTGGCTGCCCGTCATTTGCGTGTCAGACTTGCCAGTCGTTCTAAATTGGTTTGCTCAGCTTACCGGCCCCGCTGGCTGCCCTGCATGCAGCCGATGCAGGTGCTTCCCAGATCTGCTAGATCGTATGGGAAATAAGGCAGATCTGATTTGAATCAGAATTGACGGTAGTTGAAGTGCTCGGGCAGAATCTCTTTATCAAATTGATGAGTGAGTGCCCACTCGGTTTGAGGGTTGACACCTCGTTGTATTGCCCGAGATACAAACTATGCACAAATGAGCCACCAACAAGTATAACATCAACAACAATATCAACGACAGAAATAACAAAGACGATGACGGCCGTGATACAACCAAGATTTTGTGGTGGTGGTGAACGTGGTGGTTCTGGACTGGGCGGGCGGCTCGTTGCAAGCGAGGTGACTTATCGGTAATGTTTTCCCCATCGCACATCTCTTCCCAAACAAAAGCCGGGAGATCCACGTTAACAGACGAACTAGTATCGAGCTATACAGCCTTTGACAGTCGATCAAAGTGATCTGTCTTCCTTGGCGATCAGGGTCATCTGCAAGCTGGCCATAAGGGTCCTTTGGGGCGGTTGGCGGCCTGGTCGCCACCACGGATGAATGACAGCCGAGCTCTTGATCAACGCTAAAGCATGCAACTGAAGCTCTGGTAGAACTTATTGGCATTTATCGAACCAACACATCAAGGCCCCGTGCTGGATCCAGCATAAACTCCCCGGACGTTCCTCGACTCAGCACGCACGAAGCCAACGATAACATGGCCTCTTGCTGTTTGAAAAGCAATGAGTTACTACTTTGACGTCTTGGTTTCCCTTTTCAGCTCATCAACATCGAGCCAAACTATGCTGGCAGTATCTTGTTGATGAGGACGCAAGAGACTCGAATACCGATGATCGACACGATAGCTTCATGCTGTACTCGACCTATCACTTCAAGACTTTCCGTAGCACCTGAGCTGGCTACACATCTAGCAGTGATCGACTGGTGGATTCAGAGCTGGTTTCTTGACGGCCCTCGAGCGATTTCACCTTTCGGAGATGCCTGGTCCGCGGCTCTCAGCCAGAGTTTCGTGATGGGTGCTACTAGGAAGAAGCATGTCGACTCTGTAAAACCAAGATATATAAACCTTGCCGCCAGTCAATCTCTGTTGCCTGGTCTTCTGCACCTCATCTGGTCTCTTCTTGCAGCACGTCATCTCATCCTTCCAATTATTCTTCTCCCCAACCTAACATATCGCTAACTTTGTCACCAACATGGCTTTCTACAACAGCTGTCGAAACGTCAAACTCACTGGACCAGTACTTTCTGCCGATTGCAAGGACCACAATGGTAACTGGATACCCTCGGATATCAATCTCAACCGTTACATTGGCAACAACGATGGATGCTTTAGCACCAAAACAGAAGAATTCTTTGATAGTGCTACAAATGTCCGCCTGGAAGGCTCAGTCCTCCATGCGCAGATGCTAATGACTTCGGGACATTGGCGTGACGAGCAAACGATTGATCTCAACCTGATCATCTACAACAATGATGGAGATCTCAAGTTCAAGCAGCACATGTCAGTCGCTCCCTCTTTACCCTTACACACATGCAAAGGCACCTCTTACACTTGAGCTTGTTGTTTACCAATATTCTTGCTCACCTATCTACTGCACAGGCACGAGTCCATTCTGAAGACTGGCTCCTTCTTCTACCTTGACGGCAGCGTTCTGCGCGGTCTCGTCCTTGGCTACAACGGCAAGTACAACGTGGCCGAGATCGATCTCAACGATCACTACGCCAACAAGAATGGCTCCTTCCAATCCGAAGACAACCACTTTTGGTACTCGTCTAGAAACCTCACGCTCGATCCGTCGCCCGGCGCTCTTACTCTTAAGGGCGAGCTGACGAACTGGGACAAGAATTGGCAGCATGCAGAAATGAACCTGGCTATCTGCATCATGAACGACGATGGCAAGTTTCGTTTTGTCAGGCAGTAAGTTGAATTTTTCTTTTCCCCTGAGCATTCTCTCTCTTTATATCTTGCGAACTAACATAAACAAACAGCGACGGCTTCTGGGACCGCGACGGCTGGTTCGCCAAGACCTTTGAAGGCGTGCCCCTCATCGGCTTCGTCATCGCCGGCGTGCACGAAGCCGCCGGCAACCACGAACACGCCGCTCGGGCGCTCGCCAAGTGCGCCAACAGCTCCATCGTCTGTGTTGGCGTCGTCGTTGGTTTTATGCTCGGCGAGTCGGTCGGGGCCGTCATCGGCGCCGGCATCGCCACGCCCATTGGCATCTGGGTCGAGACGGAGATCAAGGAACACCTGATCGAGGACCCGATGCTGCTGGCCGAGTTCGAGGACGCCACGCTCGGTCGCTACATTGGCGAGACCTTGCTGAACATGGGCATGGCTGCCATTCCTGGTGATCCGATTGCCAACATGACGGGTGCCGCTGGCAACGAGGCGCTGAAGGTGACTTTCCGGAAGGCCTTGACCAATTATACGCGGCAGGTAGTGGCGGGCATGAGGTCCACTGTGGCGCCGACGGAGATTGAGGAGAAGACCAAGATTCTGTTGTCCGGGTATGTTTGTTTTTCTTCCAGTTTCTGCAGATGGTTTTATGGTTGGCTAACGATTTGTCTGTCTGGCAAAATAGCATCGGTGACCTGCTCAAGGGCCAGCCGCCTTCCAACTGGGCGGAAGCGGAGGAGAAGGTCAAGAACGTTTTGCGGGACAGGGGCGCGGAGGTGTTGAACGTGCCGCCTATGGTGAACTTCAAGATTTAGACGGATTATGGAACGTAGAGGTTGTGTGTCCCTCGAGAAGTGATGGTTGGATGGATACATATAGACGACGGCTTTCGTGGATGAAGTTATAGGCCAAGTTTAGACACGAATATGATGATGAAAGTTCCTGAGCATAACCTTTGCAAGACCTCTTGGCTCCACAAGAAAGAGACGAGACTCGCCCGCGCGTCACTCGCTCTTTTTGAAACCAACCCCCCCCCCCCAATTTATCAAGCCTCTGGTAAACCAGTCGGGTAAATCCATCACTTGCGATTCTCTAAAGGAAAGTCACATGTTTTCACTGACATGATGGGGCCAACTAAGCGCTAGTGTCCTTGAGGTAGTGTACATAGGTATCCTGGCACAAGCCGAGAAACTATGTAAGTTGAAAAATGGCGGGCGGGCCGTCCCGTTACATACTACAGTACGCCCCAGTGTCGACAAGCACACTGTACCATCTGCACCACGATGATGTGCCTTAGTTAGTTCAGTTCTGTAGGTCCAGCATTTGAGGATGTTGGAAGGTGCATTAGTGGCTTGGGTTTTGGTCGAATACCTATTGTAGGGTGGTCTTTTCTTGGGTATTTTGTTAGACATCTTCTTCCAATCAGTCATGGAGGAACTTCGCTCCATCGAACTCTCCACCTGTTAGCACCATACTCTGATTGTAATGTCATGACTAACAACTAGGCCCGAATTATTAGCTGCCTGCGTGGGATAAGTGAATTTACCAAGGTTCTGTATTGATCACACAGCCAGTTTACGAGTTTACGATAGTGCTTACCTGCAAGTCTAAACATTAGTTGGAAACAACGTCTTGTTCTTCTTCGTCCTCGTTATGCATTTCGAACGAGGTTAAGAAAGAGGACCCCATCATTCCTACGGTTCGGTCTGACTTCCAACCTACACTAGCTACACTGACTGGTTTCTATTTCACCAAAAAAAAGCTCGAGAGAAATTCATCACGAAATCGAAAATTCTACGTCCTTTGAGGTTTGAGGGGGAAGCAACAGCATTACCTTACCTTAGCCTGGACCAAAGAACCAAAAACAACAAAAAAACGAGGGAGATGCCGAAGGAAGGTTCATTCATTCATTCAACACGCAAAAATCGCATCAAACCCTGCCTTCCTCTAACTTCACCTGATTTACCATGATTTTCGACTGGACCTGCCTCAGCAAGCGCCAACCAGCTAGTCCTAGGTCTACCTATCTAACCTACCTACCTACTCACCCTCAATACAGTGCTTCTTCCCGAATTGCTTGTGACGACACGTCTCGAGTATCTTGAATTTAAACCAAAACAGGGTCCGATGGCAGCTGTTTTTTCTTTCTTTCTTTCTTTCTTTCTTTCTTTCTTTCTTTCTTTCTTTCTTTCTTTTTATTTTTCCTTTATTTTTTCTTTTTTTCCAACGACGACGTCCTGACTAACCGCATTGAAGTATAATCTTCACCCAGTGGCTCCACGGTGCTGTACATGTTATGATTCCGAGGTCTCGAAGAAGAAGAAGGAAGGAAAGATCTACTCGATCCCCTTCAAATAAGTCAGCTTTCTACCTCTGAATACCAAACACGGCAATACGGCAGAAGGACGTCCGTCCGTCTCTGGTCCCGTCACACTACAGACAGACGCTTGCTGGCCGCTGGGGAGTCGAGAAAGAATAGAACCCATAGAAAAAATAATAAAAATTATCATTTAGTGATGGTTGAAGAGTAATTATGCACTTAGCATCATCAGACAGATTAATGAATGTGTTTCCAGCGGGGTTTTCACAGGTAGTTATTCCCAGCCACGTCCATGAGCAAGAACGATCGATTGACAGAGTCGGGTATCTTGCACCGGCATCCATGCTGCGCTTTGTCTGGGGAACTAAAGGAAGTGTGATGTATTTACTTGATGATAAGCTGGAGGGTTCCCAGAACACGGTAAATCATCCGCCGTGGAAACCATGTGGCACCAAGAGGAAGAAGAGCTTTGTACTATATCTAGTGAAATCTTGGGAGGGGATATCAATATTGTGGTGATGTTGTTAGATAGGGGGCGCCATAAAGTTGGTCAGGGTGACGACGGAATGACACCGCTCTTGGTTGCAAAGAGAATGACGATAATCATGGTTGTGGGGAAACCGAAAGAGACGGAAGGACGCAAGGAGAAAGTATGAGTTGATGGAAATTAGTATTGAAGGAGAGGAGATTACCTCAGGAATATTTTGACGAACCTGATGAGTACACTATTTAAGCGAAGTTAGGCCGTCCAAGAAAAAGAAAACAACATGTAACAGGTAGTTACGCTTGTCCTGAGCCAACTGGAGCACCTCTTGGATGGAATATGTGCGTCGTGGTCACGATGGTTCAAAAAAAGCGAGAAAGCGTTTGAGTCTCGGAGAAAAACACCAAAATGTTCATTTTGGTAAAACCCGCTTTCGTCTCACACTTTCTCTCTCGGGATCCTCCGTCTTCTTCTCCGCTACCTTCCTTTACTCGTCATGGTACCCTCCCGAAATGGAAGCTTTTACACTTATCCAGGCCTCAGGGTCTTGCAGCGGCCCGGGGGCTTGGCACTACGCTACGCCGGCCCATCTTGACGCTTAGAGATGTCTCAACGCTCAACATAACTCAACGCTTGAGAGACTTGATAAGTCCCGCGCAGCAATGACAAACATGAAGCGAATTCACAACCCACCGCAGCAGTGAGCAGAAATAAACAAGATAGACAAGCACGAGTAAAAGCAAGTAATATTGTGTGTAGGGTATCAAAAACATCTCTTCTGTTGAGTCACAGGGGAAGGGCCAAAAGCTAGACAGAGACTTCTCCGGTTCTGGCAAGGCTTTTGGTGATCAGACAAGATCGACGGGTGTTTAGGCCCGACGCCATCTTGCAAGCCTCCCCCATTCGACACTCATTCCAATCCCATTCTTCTCCTTTCGTTTCATCGCATCTTTTCGACGGGGTATGCACACATCCTTTGAAGTATCCAATCCATGCCCTTCAAGCCAAAATGTGTATCCTGATCACTCGGGCCAATGTTTTCCTTCCAGCCGCGGGAACCATGTGATCAAAAATGAAGTCCAAGAAGGTGAAGGTGAAGAAGAATAGAAAACATAATACAGGGACAAGGTAAAAGAAAAAGAAAAAAAGAAGAAGAGAAAGAAGAAGAAGAAGAAAGCTAGCAGCGACGAATAAATGTGGCTGATGAAATGGACAGCAAAATCCTAAATCTGCGACAAGGAAGAATGAAAGCGAACTGATACTAGTCGAGGACGGGTCAGTCAAGCACAACCTTCAAATGGGCCAGGTACCTTCCGGGCTTTCCATCCCGCTTATTGAACAAAAGGCACGTGTCCTGAGCCAGCCACACCTTTTGCAGGTTGCCTGTCCTTGAAGATTGAAGCATCAATGCCGGCGAACATGTCTGCACGTTGTCTCACGTTCGGAGACATTTTCGTTCCTCCGCTGAAGAACCCAGGCAACCTGCCATATGCATCTGCTGGATCGCAATACTGTCGGTAGTGTAACCGAGGCTTGGTAAAGCGACTGCTGAGAACACACCTCGCAACAGTGAACTGCCCTGGATGAAAAGCGTCCTTCAACATCTCCCGTACGGCCACGGCTAAATCGAGCGTCATACCACGCTCTATCTCGAGTATGGCTTATTCATCAAGGCAACCTCCCTCGCAATTTCCCCCCACTCGAGCTCCCGCATGATGCCTTGGCCTTCGGAAGACGACTCGTTATCCTCCTGGCCATCGGCCGTCAGGGTGTAGTTGCCGTGATCCTTGGTCTCTTGGTTTGAGCGAAGGAACTCCTCCCACTTGAGCAGCTCGTAGGCAAACCTGAGGTGAGGCTGGATGATGACATTGAGCCGCCGAGCGCGGACAAAGCAGTATGCGCGCGGGAAGGACATTCCCATGGAACGCATCACCTCGGCGATGCAGATGGTGGCGGAGCGGGACACACCAACACGACAGTGGACTAGGGTTGCAGTTCCGAGGCGGCGGCCACGGTCTACGAAAAGTTTTGTCAGTAATTCTGTGATGCGGGGGAAGGAATGTGGGAAATCATGGGGTGGGAGAACATGAAGAAAGTTGAATCCAAAATCAACGCACCAATGAACTCCAAGCAACGCTCAAACTCATCTGTCAACGGATCAATCCCGTTATCCTGCACTCCTCGCACAATACACGTGTTCTCCTCCCCCCATTCCTGCAACTCCCCGTCTCGCCACATGGCCATCTCACCCACACTCAGAATTTGGCCGATGCCCATGGCCCTAAGCAGATCTGGATTGTTTGCGTGGGTAAGGTTGCCGAGGTACATGTAATCAAGGATCCTGCTGGGTAGTGACCCGTCGAAACCTGTCCACCACTTCGGTTCGTTTCTGACGAGCTCCGTAACTTGTGCGAGGCTTCGGTCGGTTCCAATGGGTGATTCTTGTAGGAGTCGTGGAGCGATTGTCGCTAGGAAGTTCACGTCGGAGGGGTATGCGAAGAAGTTGCGTTTCATAATTGTGTGCAGCTTCAACCAGGCTTCGGGGATAGGTAGGCCTGTGCTATAGCTGTAGTATGCAATGGCCAAGACTGTGGATTCTGTATAACCATCTGCGCAGTGAATGAGAATCTTTCGGGGGCTTAATGGTGGCCAAGATCTGTCTTTACCAGCATCAGAAGATTTCTCTGGCCTAGTCCCATGTGAAAGATGCCAAAGCCATTTGCAAGTGTCCAGAAGAGCGTCTGCATCCGCATGGGAATAGTTGGGAACTAGGAAGCTTCCTGAAGAAGGAAAGTCAAAGTGGACGGGTTCTGGTACGTCGCCCAGCCCGTCCTCAGCAAGAGCTTGCAGAAAAGCTGCGCAGGTGTTGGCCCTTCCCATGTCGCTGCACTCGAGCTGAATATGATAGCCATTGTCCTCTTCGATGATTGGATCGGGCGTAGGACCCATCCACACGTTGGGTGCAATTTCCGAAGCCTGGGTCATGAGATACATTTCAAGTCTCTCTTGATTGACAAAGTCCAGTACATTTCCCGTCAGATTACCTGTCGAATCGACTGCCACAATCTCACGATGGTTCTGTTCAAACTCGTCGAATGGACTGAGGCAGATAAAGGTGTTGTACTCGGGAACCCAATGACACTGTAGTTCATGCTTGTAGCGCCACTTTTGCTGGGCCGAAGCTATGTCCCAACCCAACTTGCAAACGGCCGCTTCGTTATCGCCGTAGACTATGATATCGCTCGTCATGGCGGCCTTGGCGGCTTGAATTTGGAAGTTGCGGACGGAAAAGCCGTCAACGGGGTCAACATCGATGAACTCGGCGCTGCTTGAGTGAAGGAACTCGTAAGGTGCAATTGCACCCTTGAGGCGAGAGAAGTTGAGATCGCCATCGGCCTTGACAAGGGTGATTCCACGAAGGCAAGAAGGGGTCTTTCTCAGCGCACGCGTGCGGGCGCTGAGAAAGAAGTGCTGCTGCACTTGGTTCCGGGGGTGGAGGCCATGATACCATGGGAAGACGTGCGCGGGGTCTGGCAAGGGTTGCCTCGAAAGATGGTCCAAGGCAGCAGCTACGTCGGCGGCGTCGATCTTGTAGAGCGAGAGATGGCCGGAGTCGACATGGTGGAAGCGATGAGGCGGGTAGAGAAACGAGCGGGGGGACGAGTGCTCATCGGCGCCATTCGTCAAAGGCCAGGGCGAAGGCGGCGGCGTATCAGCGTCGTCCTGCGGAGCTGGACCTGGAGGGCAAACGGGAATGTGTTTGTTGGGGACGGGCGTCGGGTGACTGGTCGGCTGCTCTATGGTGATGGTGGTGGTAATGGAGCCAATGGTGGAGGTGGACCGATAGTTGGCGAATGGTGGTGGAAGGGCAATCGTCGCCATTGTTCCTGCGTTATGGTGGATATGATATATGCGAGACTGGAGCTAGTGGAGGTAGGTAGGGTCATTCGATTGCAATTGCAACGGATCGAGGTGGTCGGATGGTGAAGAGGGAATCATAGGAACATGTCGACAGCAAAGAGAAGGAAGGGAGGCGCCAAAAGGTGAAGTGGTCGAGTTTCGTGTAGCACAGGAGGAGGTTGTCAATGGAATGGCCAGGCGAATTGGAGATGAGGAAGAAGCAAGAAAGTGAGGGGAGCGGGTAGGGGTAGTGTTGTAAGGTGGTGTTGGGGGAGATGAAGAGAGACGGGGCTGGGCTGGCAGAGCAGGGAGGAGGGATGGTCGAGGCCGCGGAGTGACAGGCTTATCGCAGATCCCTGCTTGTTATATAACAGCCTTGGTGTGGGAGGGCAGCTCGCGCTGAGACAGGGCAGATAAGATCAGGGCAATGGCGTGGATGTTCACTCCGAGACGTCGAGACAAAGAAAGGGGAATGGTGTAAATACCAGGCTCAAGATTGGAGAGATGAGGGGAAGGAGGAATAAGACGTCGCTTTGCTGAGCTCGAGACGGCACTATGAATGGAGAAATGTGGTGTGCTATTAATGAGGCTAACTGCTTCGAGACCGGTGTCTTCCGAGGGGTGGGACGAGAGCGTTAAAAGTCACCACCTCGTCCTGTCGTGTATCCGTGTTGCTCACACCCGAACTGAGGTGCTGGCTGAGTGTGTGGTGAGGTGATTGTGGGGTGTCAGGATGGAGGATGGTTTGGTGTCAACAACACATTCCCGCCCTTGGGCTCTCTCATGGAAATGGATGATGACGATGGTGATGATGATGGCGATGATGTTGGAGATGATCAAGTTTACTCCAAAAAAAAAAAAAAAAAAAGATGCTGAAAGTGGAAGCTTTCCCCGGAGCCCACTTCGCCCACACTGCCCTGTTCCGCACCCAACAGTCTGGAAGGGTCCTCGTCACGAAGGGGCAGACATTGGGGAAAGGTTGCTTTATTGAGCATTGGCGCTCAGCGGAATGGGGCGTCGCCAGGGTATCCCAGGGAGCGTGGTAGCGAGCAGGGACTAGATCGGCAAGGCGTGAATTGCCTTGGTCCCCACGTGATATTGTTGTTGATTTGATTTGTTTCGCTCATGACTTGCATGTTGTGCAGTGTGTGCAATTGGAATCAATTCCTCGAGACGGAATGTCTTTTTTCTCATGCTGGTGGGCTGATTGATGGTGCAGAGTGCAAGTGCGGGCAAGCAATTGGGGGAGAGGGTCCAATCACTTGCAATGTGAAACAAAAGGCATCATATTCCAGCCCGTGTCAGTGTTAACAATGCGATCGATACATGACGGTACTAATTACCTATGATTGACGGCGGGCGAGCAGCGGGTGGGCAAGGAACTTAAGCCATGATGAAATGCAAAAGCTCATGTTGGAATGGCACTCACTTCCAGTGGTTGGCCAGGTGCAGAACCCCGCGCCGCGCCGTCCAATGGCATGCTCGGGCGGCTCCTTTGTATCTTGTTGTTGCAGGCATGCGCCTTGGTGACCATGTCACAGGCACAACGTCGAGATGGACCAGTAGGAATCCAACGTCGCTGAAGGATTAGACGACCACCTGCATGTCGAGGGAGCCAGTGGGGAGTCATTGCAGACCATCATGTCGTCCAATGCTGAGGTGATCGCGATCGCCTCCATGGTTGACAGGAGAGAAATTTGAACATGCTCCAAAGATTCGAATCGAAAGGAGCTTCGGCAAGACAGCAGCATGCTGCCAAGAGGTACAGCATTTGGACAGGCCCGAGTCGCTCATGGAGACGACTGGAGCGACTGCGAGACGGGATGCTCTACGGTAGTAGGTAGAGTATTTCGAAAAAGTTCAATGCCCAAAAAAGGCCCGCATACCCAGACAAAGTTGGCGCTAGGTGTCACTCTTTTGGACTGAATGCTCCGGGTGCCTGCCCACAGTGTGACTCTTGATAAGATAAGGCCCGGGACGGAACCTAGGTAGGTCAGTCAAGGGAACATCATCCCGCGCCAAGTTTTCCCAACTCTTCACCATGCTCGTGATCCAAGACGAAGACTCCCAAGCAATTGCGCCATATCTCTTCAATCCGTCTTCACCAAGGTCCTGGGGCTATGTTTTTATTTTCCCCATCCTTCTGAACACAAAGCCACAGAAACAGTCACGGGTCCACCCTGTGTCACACGGCAGCACGCGTCCAATGCTACGGAAAGTTCCACGTTCCCCGCTTTGGCCCACGACGGGGGGTCCGGACCCTTTATGGGTGCCCGATCCCACGTGTCGATCGATGAGTTTTAGTTGTCGATAAGCTACACTAAAACATCCCAATCGTCAACAATATTTTGGACATTGACTAGCCATGGCATTCTCCATAGTCTTGTCGCTCCCATCACCTCAACTATGTAGTCTAGTACACTATAGACATCTTCAAGTGACATGGCAGGGTTCAGTATTCTACGGTACAAGGTCAACATCGACGCAATATCCCCAGCCGATAAACATTACCTTGTTCTCGCCTCCTGTGTGGATATGAGAATGAGGATCTCGGGCTCATGACTCGCAACCTATAGCCGTTGTTATAGTCTCAAAACACGACAACCGTTGTTGATTTTGACGGATACCAACCTACTACAGGTAAACATCTGCTGGTCGGGCTAGTCGGGCACTTCAACTCAACAAGATGCGGCGGCATATGCAGACCAGCCGCACACGTCACATTCACATTTCCGCCGGGACACCACCGGGACATGGAAATGAAGCCTGGTGCTGATCATTTTAAACTCGTCCGGGATGCCTGGCTCCTCACCAAGCCCAAACAAGATATCTATCCGCCAACCGAGCGTCCAGTCCCAATTGGTACCAATGCAGACGAGGCGGACATCACGCGCCGCAAACATGGCCTTCTCTGGTGGAACTATTTGGTGATCATGTCCAATGGCCTGTAAAACAAATAAAGTAGCAAAGACTAAGTTTTTGTGTATTGCTGCGTCATTCCCGTCTTGGATCTTTCAATGATGGAGCTAACGATGGGATTTTCGGACGTTGGAATTATCACTACCTAGTCTTCTTTCTTTATCTCAGTAGGCAAGCGCCCTTTGATAGGTACCTAATTCAAACTCCCATCTACGGACACTAAATGCATTTTGCATGGTCCATGTTCATGTTCACATTCGGCATGATGCTGTCTCTCATTCGGCTGCCCCGCCCCGCCGTGACGCCGACCTACTACACTAGCGGCTGAGGTGCCCTCTGAGCACTATACTTACAGTACTACCATAGAATGGGCTCAACAGGGGGCTCAGGGGCGGCGGGCAGTTGCAAATTCGTCTCATGACAGCCGGGATGGGATGGCTTCCTAGGGATGAGCCAAGGAACCGATACGGATGCGGGGCAAAATTTTCAGCGGCCCCGCCTCCATCCAGTCCGTGCTTAGGTTGCTTGCCCACGCATTTGCTAGGTGTTTACAATGAATGGGCTGACAGGCAATTGCCCGCCAATTGCTGCCATATTGCCATACGCCACGCCTTAAAGGGCGGGCCCGGCGGCCGATGCTCGGCGGGAGTCATTCATTTCTTGACTGCCCAGCCGATCGACGAGACTGCCACTCAAAAGAAGACTCTGAAACTGGGGCCGCCGTCAACAATTTCAGCTTCCACTTCCACTTCCCCCATTCCTCCATTTCCTCGACAAACTAGTTCCCAAACCCAAACCTAAACCCAGCAATCAGAACCCGAGCGAGGTCCGACTGCGAAACCACCCTCCCAACACCGCCAGCAAATTGCCCACCATGTCCAACGGCGTCGCGACCAACGGCACTGAGTCTCTGGATCAGACTCACACCCCTTGCCAACGCTATCTGAGCACCCGCGGTGAGGACGGCGGTGTATGTTTCCTTCTCTGGATCGCCTCACATGTGGTCGCCAGCTGCTGACTTGACCTTAGCACTCTTTCGAATACGTCGTTCTCAAGGGTCTCGCCGCCGACGGCGGTCTCTACATCCCCCAAGAGGTGCCTGTCGTGCCCGAGTCCGTATGGCAGAGCTGGAAGGACCTCTCCTATACCGACCTCGCCTACAACATCATCTCCCTCTTCGTTTCCCCCTCAGAGATCCCCGCCGAAGACCTTAAAGACATCATCAACCGCTCCTACGCTTCCTTCCGCACCCCCGAGGTTACTCCCCTTGTCCATCTCCAGGACAGCATACATCTTCTCGAGCTCTTCCACGGCCCGACCTTTGCCTTCAAGGATGTCGCCCTTCAGTTCCTCGGCAACCTCTTCGAGTACTTCCTCGTGCGCAAGAACCAGGGCAAGGAGGGAAGGGACAGGTACCACCTGACTGTTGTTGGCGCGACGAGCGGTGACACTGGCTCCGCCGCCATCTACGGTCTGCGCGGCAAGAAGGATGTCTCCGTTTTCATGCTTCACCCCAAGGGCCGTGTAAGCCCCATCCAGGAGCTTCAGATGACCACTGTGCTCGATGCCAACGTTCACAACCTCGCCATCACCGGCAACTTCGACCACTGCCAGGTAAGTCCGCCTCACCACGCCCTTCGTTACATTCTCTGACCCCTTGTAGGACATCCTCAAGTCCCTCTTTGCCGACCCCGAGATCAACGCTACCCACAAGCTTGGCGCCGTTAACTCCATCAACTGGGCCCGTATCCTTGCCCAGACCGTGTACTACTTCTACTCCTACTTCTCCCTGGCCCGCCAGTCCGAGTCATTCAACATTGGCGACAAGGTCCGCTTCGTCGTTCCCTCGGGCAACTTTGGCGACATCCTCGCCGGCTACTTCGCTTTCCGCATGGGTCTCCCCGTCGACAAGCTCGTCATCGCCACCAACGAGAACGACAGTCTTGACCGCTTCTGGAAGACTGGCTGCTACACCAAGAAGCCCGTCAGCGGCCCCAAGGCTGAGGGCGGTCTTCCCGAAGACGGCGCCAAGGCGCACGAGGATGGAGTCAAGGAGACCATGAGCCCTGCCATGGACGTCCTGGTATCGAGCAACTTTGAGCGCCTGTTGTGGTATCTCGCCTACGAGTTCGCCTCCAGCGCCGGTATGGATGACGAGTGGAACAAGAAGCAGGCCGGTCAGGAGGTCAGCTCCTGGCTTAAGGATCTCAAGGTGAAGGACGGCTTCGGCCCCGTCTACAAGGACGTCCTTGAGAGCGCGCGCCGCAACTTTGAGAGCGAGCGTGTCACCGACCAGGAGACCCTCGACACCATCAAGAGCCTGTACCAGGAGGTCGGCTACGTACTGGACCCCCACACCGCTGTCGGTGTCGAGGCCGCCAGGAGATCGGTCAAGCGCGCCGGTGCCGACATCCCCCATATTTCCCTATCGACAGCCCACCCCGCCAAGTTCTCTGGCGCCGTCAACCTTGCGCTTCAGGACCAGCCCGAGTTCGACTTTGAGGCCAAGGTGCTACCGCAGGAGTTTGTCGGTCTGGACCAAAAGGAGAAGCGCGTCCAGGATGTTGCCAACGACTGGACGGCAGTGAGGGAGGTGATCAGGGAACAAGTAGAGGAGGAGTTGAAGGCGCTGGATTCTGCTTAGGCTGTCTTTGAGCGGTGGAACGTTTGCGGATAGGAGCGGGGGGCAGCAAAAATCAAGAGGTCATTTATTACGTTTACCGCGTGTGCACGCGTGTGGTTTTTCTTTTGGGATAAGTTATCTTTTTGGCTTGGGTCTACACATTCCATTTTATAGAGAGAGGTTGCAAAAGACAGTTTATCATTGTAAAGATGTAAAGTATGCGGACATGGTTGATGTGCCTTTGCATTTGGGTATGCCACGATGATTCTTGGATGAACCATGATCGCCACTAGATAAATGGGGAGTGAGAAAGACGGCGTACCGGGTTAGACGGGTAGGTTAAAATACCAGTGTTATTCAGGCGTGCTTTGGTCATGTATGATACATACAGAGGTGAAGATATCAAGTAAGAGAAGTACCATGAACTGAACCACATTACCAAGGCCTCTTATTTCCGTCGGGATGTCTTCATTCCTTTAAACTTTTAATTTTCATTTCTTCATGTCCACTTCCGCCACCTTCCCCCCTATCTGGGTGGTGCTCAACCGTCTTTCCTCGCTGACTTTGGCTGCGCCCTAGCGGGCCTTCAAACACTAATATCCCCCCCCCCCTTCCCTGTATTGGCTTGTAATTGCATCACTCAAAGCAGGTGGTTCAATCATTCAGTCGTTCACATAAAAAAAAGAACAACAGACCTACTAAACAAAGAGAAGATATAAACAACCACGGCGGACAAAACGAAATGATGATGACGGAATGAAGAAGCGGGAAGGAGGTGTGACAAAAAAAAAAGGAAAAAAGACAGACATGATACCGTGTACCCGCCGCTGGTTCATCGCCGACTCAACAACCACAAACAAACTAACTAACTCTAGTCTAACTAACTCTAGTCTAACTAACCCTCACCTCACCTGCTTCATATATGGGATGAGCGGACTTCCCGCTGGGTATGTATGTATGATCGTACGCGGTTGTATGCAGCCATTCCGGGGTGGGGGGTGGGGGGCGGCGTATACGTAATGGTGATCGTTGTGGATATGACGAGGTAGGTGTGTTGTTCGTGGGTGGTGGTGGTGGTGGTGGTGGAAGTGGAATGGATGGTTTTCGATGGCTGTCGATGGATGGACAGGGATGGGTTGAGGCTGTAAGGGGTATGGTCGTACGGTAGGTCAGAACGTAGGGTATCGCTGGGTTAGGGGAGTTGTAAAGGGATGAATGAATGGATGGGGAGGAGTTGCGAGTAAGGGGAGTGCGAGGGCTCGAGGGGAGATGGGGTAGGTGGTCTTCGGGTGTTATTTATGCTGTATTTGAATTGGGGCTGGTCACGGCTGTTGTTCATCTTAGGTATTGACCCTGGATGATTCTGTATTTCACCGATCAAATTCAGGTGGGCGCGATGCGTGGTGGCATTGAGAAGATGCGTTTTTCGAATACACCAATCATGACGATGTCGCATACTCGAATGCGCACGCTTGTGTTCGGTTCTGGGAGCTATTGCTCATCGGTATTCTGACTGCGCGACGAAGATGACAGTTTTTGTGTTGCGCTAGAACAGTCACGGCCTTTCTCCTCCTTGCCTACCTGATCTCACCTGTTATATCAGTTTGGCTGCTCAACGTAATCGATGGACTTGAAGTTTGGCTTGACGGATGACTCTTAGTCTCTCACCATGATGACTGATAAAGTCAAACATGGTTATTTCAATCAATTCGCCAGTGTTCCTACATCCAGAGGTATAAAGGTGTTCCTGATGAGCCGAGCCTTTCGATCGCCATCTCAAAACCTCCAGCACCACCCTCACTTTTCAGTACCCTTCTGTTGTTACCATATTTTTTTCTTTTTTCTTCTTTTCCTCCCGTCACTAAGAATGTCTTCCCCAGGCCGCCCCGACTCCCCCCCAACTCTTAATCCTCCACCATCCTCCCCTCTTCCCCTCCTGCCTCCCTTCCGCGCTGCCTCAGGGACATCCAGACCGACAGCAACCGACACAGCGCGGCAGCAAGGCGTCCTGCTTGGTCTTTTGTCAAGCGTTTGTCGAGTGATTGAAAGCTTGTACCAAGATCTCCGGTTTCTGGAGAGAAGATTCGGTGGGGATTCTGTGCGCGCGTCGAAGCAGCAGCTGGAAGAACGCAGGAAGAGGGTGAGGATTGTGTGGAAAACGGTGGAAAAACACCCCGGGTTGGCGTGGGAGGGAGAGGTGGTGAGGTTGTGCGAGAGGATGTTGGGGGATATCTTGAAAGGTGAGTTTTTGGTTCCCAGAACGAAGGGGAGTAGTGATGATTTGGTGCGTGTGTGCTAGTGGAATGTTGTGAAGATGTGAAGATGTGAATGAAGGTTGCTTTCAACCTTTGAAGGGGAAGGGGCTACAGGGGGCGGATGGGTCTTGGCGCGCGCAAGCTGGTGGGCGTGGGGGTAGATGGTGGGTAGAAGGGTTGGGGACACTCAACCCCAATTTAAAAATCGTCATTTTGAATCTCCATTACACCATTGTTATCAAGACATTTGATGTGTAGACTTCGTCTTAAGTTTTGCTTATAGTATCTTTAAATAAAAACAACTAGTATCTGGCCGAGTGTCTTCCTCCCCTGTACCTTCCCTCTACCCTGGCTCCCACCCCTACCAAGGAGCCAACCCAATCTACCTCTCTGGCTTGGCATCGCATCAACACTCCCCCCATACCAAATGCAACAAAAAGTACAGCACCCCAGTACTGACAGGCATCTGTTTCCCCTAGTATACCACCCATTCATCAATAACGGAGAGAGCACCACCACCTTCATGGTGCCATGGGGAGAATACCTTGGAACCTTCACAGGAACTATTACGGACGTTGAAGAGGAAGTAGACAAGGCGGTAAAGAAGCTGAACGCCAATGACCGGAAAACTTCCGGCACATATGGTGGTGCCGGCCCGGGAGGAGGAGTGAGGATAGAATCGTTGATGCGGCCACTAGGGTGATTTCGGTAGGTAGGGTCTACCACATAGACGACGGAGCAGGTGATGGTGGGGTTCGGCGGATGCGAACCAGTGAAGACGACAGGCCAGGCAGATGGATGTATAAGGAGGAGTGAAAGAGGGTCTTCTAGTCAAATATTAGCAAGCCCTCCAAGTTCCTCACAAATCTGTCCAAGTTGTCAAGTGAATTGGTGTACGTGATCACATGCATCGCTCGTGCGCTCGTGGCTGACCCAACATGTTGACCGGTAGAGCGCCGGTGCGCTCATGTTCTTTGACACAGGGGACCTCGACGACCCAACAAGCCCCGACAACTGACCCGTTTCGTACCGATCATGCTAACTGCCATCAAATCCTCAAAGAACGATATCGTCATGACGGAGTGAGGAGAAGGAGTGTATGTCCGATTGCACGAAATACATACAGCAAGAATCGGGATGTGGGTCCAGAAGGTTGAAAGCGACTTGAAGAGGCAGCTTTGTTGCCTCCTACATGCAAGTTTTTGTAGGGCAAATTGATAAACTATCAACACTCAACAGATGGCTCAACCGCTGTGTATGGTCGGGATGGGATGGGCCGTCGCTCACGGGGAAACAAGAGTTTACCGAGGAACTCACAAGAGTATTCACTCCGTAGTATTGGTTCGAAATGCTCATCGTGGAATGACATGGACTGCAGGATCACGAACATGATATCGCGAACTTGACAAGGTGAAATTGTAGATAATTTGAGTAGATGAGGTGCATAAAGGCCGATCGCTCATCGCCCTTGGAAAATCTCAGACAACCTAACCGAACAGACGGTTTATGTCGGTGATTTGAGTAAACGGGGTGCATAAAAGCTGATTGCTCATCATCGGTTGGAACGAAGGCAGCCATGAACAGCATGGTGGCTACCCTCCGCGCCAAACTTTGCCCACTCGCAGTTGCGTGTCATCGTTGTCGTGATCGGTGCTGTAGACTACATCCGCTCATCCACGCCAAGGCCAACGATCTTGTCTTGTCCGAAGGTTCGTACTATCGGCAGGCCTGTGATTGGATCTGTGATTGAGAAAGAGGCTGGCGCAGCCGGGAGCCATGGATATCTCAGTGCCCAGGCGGTTGCCAGGTCTATCGTCCGAATCTTGAAATTGGAAAGAATGGTGTAATTTGGCGTGGTGGGACGTCATCCTTGATCGGCAGGTATCTGGTGTGGTGGTTGCCGATTGGTAACTGTGCAAGGGGTCGTCGGGGGAGGTGTCGCGAGATTGTCTTCCATCGTGCTCGGTCTGTTGGTTTGTTGGATGTTTTTGTTGCTTGTCATCTCTTTCCCTTTTGGTGTCGTTGCTCGTACTTGCCCTAGATGCATTGTTAGAAATGTCTTTGCCAGACGATCAACTTCGGACCTCGAACGTACCTGTTTCCTGTGTCGAGGAAAGTGCGAATCGCCGGTGACTCGTTTCCGGCATTTGATCGTCTCAGCTTGGAAGCTTCCGTTTCGCCAATTAAAAGTGTTGTCAGTGCCTGCACCAAAAGTTAGCATATTCCTTACCAGTGGCCTTTTGTGCCATCAGTGATGACCCAAGACATCCCAACATCTTCCACTTCGCCTTCCACCACAAGTCAAAACCTTACCATCGCCTTGATAAGCATCCTCTGCCTTCATGTTTCGTAATCATCTGCTCTCCCGCTTTCCCTCCATCACCTCGTCCGTTGCCCTTTCCGACATCACCACCAGAACTGCTCCATCGCTTCAGTTCAACCGTCATCCCGCCCACCTTCTCGCATTGGATCACTCCTCGCCATCAACATCACACCTTCCAACTGAACCAACCCACTCTCTCCTCAGCCCACTCCAACACACCGACTTTCACTCGTGCACAGGCCACCTCGTCTGCCTATATAACCTCCAGTTCCCCTCAATTTTGCAAACATTCTCCTCTTCTTTTCTTCATAGCATTTAGTCCGACCGCGAGAAGCTCATGAATCTCTCGCGGTAGGCAGCCTGCTTCAAGTTGCCTGAACTGCTCATGACCACCCCAGTGCCAATTCGCTGGGGGAATAGGTCCGGACACAATTTTTGGAGACACCCTTTCGGGACTTTTCCTGATTACTGCTTTTTTTTTCGTTATGCTTCTCTGCCTGAGGGTGGGGACATGAGGAAGAAAATGGTTTGTACTTAGCTGTGATGTCTTTGTAGGCCTGGCTGGACTCGAAACCTGATCATGATTACCAGGTGTCTTCGCAAAGTCCGTGTGAGAGATGGGCGCTGTAAGTTGTTTTCGGAACCGCTGAGGGGTGTTGGACGGAAGGTGATGAGGCTTGGCAGTGTGCCGGAATGAAGAACTGCCATTGGGAGGAAAGAAGGGCTTGAATGTGATGGGGGAAGTCTCATCAAACTTGCCTTTGGGTTTTGGTAGTCAACTCGTTCCTTCGCATTCAGACGCGGACCTGGCTCGAGGTAGTCGACGCATGACGCCCCATACGTAAGCTTGTAGGATCGCGACATCCGCTCGCCGACCGTGACTCCCCTCTCCAAACCCAAAAACCACCGTCAATGCCAATATCCTCGTCAACACCTTTCGCGTCGGTCCAACTGTCAGTTCGACCTGCTCAAGTTTTCCAAACTTGCACTCGTGCACAGACAGGCTCTTCAGCCTATTTAATCTCTCGATCCCCCATCATATTTCCCATCCTTTCTTCTTCTTTTCTTCAACACCAACCGCCCGACTGTGGGAAGCTCAAGAATCTCTCACAGTAGGCAGCCATAAGGTTGCTTGCACTTCCCGTAGACCCCCAGGGCCAACTCCCTGGGTAAAGAAGTCCGGGCACAATTTTTGGAAACAAACCTTCAGGTTTTACCTGACTATTTTTTATTTTTTTTTCGTTGTGCTTCTCTGCCTTTGGGTGGGGACATGAGGAAGAAAAATCAATGCACGGGGTGGATGAGGGATGGAGATGGATGTGATAGGGTGGGATAAAAGAGAATGGGGAGGGGTGGGAAGGAAGGGAAGATTTTGCTTGGGCTTGTGGTGGATGTGGATGGACAAAGACAGAAGGAAAAAGAAACACTGAATTTGGGATGGGGCTTTGGGGGTTTAAGTACTGTGGTAGGTGTGGACGTGTCCTTCAGGTTTTTAACACCATATGCATACCGTATAGATTCGGGGCGTTCAAGTTGATTTTCAATTTCCTGGGAAATCAAGCCTAAGCAGTAAGCATACTGCAACATTCATGCCCACCAGAAATTCTATGCAAGACGGTGATTTTGCATATCTCCACCCTCCAGCGCCCTTGAAAAGATAGTGTGAATAGAAGGACATTGAAGACTCGAATTTACAGTGCTCCGGGGTGGCAACATGTCTCCTCCAATTAACTTGGTGGGCATAAAATGCACATAATCGGGCGGCGTGCTTACAGATTATGCCTGATTTCCCAGGAAGTTGAAAATCAACGCCACGAGTTTATACGGTAGGGCATGTCTCTTTCAAGATTAACTGATGCATGGCAGCGGGTATCACTTTGTTGCGCCGCTGGGCTCGGTCGCCTGTCGGTCTTCCGAGGGCTGAGATCCCTCAAGACGGGACTCTTCTACATCTTCATAAGTGGTCCAATGACCCAATGACCGTTTGATACCTTTTTCTCCGCTGCGAACCAAAGGCCGCTGTTTGGCTTGAAAAAGATGGGGCATTGTTTGGCTTTAACCATCAAGTCGGGAATTAGATGTGATACTATCAACAGCACAGCTTTTATAGGCACAACTTTGTTAGTATGGTATCAGTAGTCTGGACATGATGCACACATCCACATCAAGTTGCGGACTTGGGAATGATGCTGCTGATCTAGCACATTGAAAAGGAGTTCGCAATGATGGTATTGCAATCCAGGCCGCGAAGCTAATGGCCATACTCTTAACATGATTCTCGACCCGGTTCTCGGCATCAACGAGATTGAGGTTCGTTCCCATCTTCCATAGGGTTAGGGTCAAGGCGGGGTGTTCGACTTTTCATCCGCACGCCAACATCCCCGCCGCCGATCTTCCGTTGTACCTGCATCACCGGCGGGCCGAACCCCAACTCGCCAAACTACCCGGACCCCGGACATTGACATTTTCAGCCCGGTCCCATGACCAAAACTTCATTTGCACGCCGCGTCACTTCACAGACTGTCACCGGTCCACCTGATCCCGACCAATCACCAAGCATATCCAATAAGTGCAGCAACATGTCAGAACAAATCCCACCCGCCGTGTCGAAAGACGAACATCAGAGGAAACCGAGAGGACCCAAACCACCTAAACAAAAGAAGGAAAACCCCATCACGGCCGCTGTCAATTCATGGCTCCAAGATCACATTCATTCCATTTCCCTTCCCACACTACTTTCAACACTTGACAACATCCAGGATGAAGGCCAACTGAAAGCCCTCCTCCTCGACAAAGCGCCCAAGCGGTGGGTGATCTACGAGCCCATGGTCCTTCTCCCCAGCGGTAGTTTCACCACCACTCCCTGGCCTCAACTTCTTGACTGCCTTTCTTCCAACGTCAAATCCAGTTTGTGGACCCGCATCTTGTCAAACATCACCAGAGATGGAGCGTCAAAGGTGGAATTGAGCAGGTTGGCTGTTAATGAAGGGATCCCTTTACATATTGCCGACGGCGCTGAGAAGAATGCAAGAGAAGAGGAAGAAGAGAACTTGTTACGATCTCCCAGCGGCCTCAAGTTACTCCACGGCGACTTTGGTCCCGCCTTATCACCATCCACCGCACCAACGCCGCAAGATTTCGACCAAGCATTCTGGGTGTCGACCAAGCAGAATGGGATCACGCAAATTTGGGCGCCGCGGTATACCATGTTTTCGCGGGGGAATGTGAAGGAGAAGGCTAGATTGTTGGATTTCCACCGGTCTCAAACTCCCACTGGCGCAGCGCCCACCAGCAACGGAGCACCAACGTCACCACAACAACAAAGCCTGAGCCATCGACGAAAAGCACCAGGGGACTTGAAGGGCAAATACGCCCTAGATTTATACGCAGGCATAGGCTACTTTGTCTTCTCGTACGCCAAGCTAGGGATGCGCGTGCTCTGCTGGGAGATCAACCCGTGGAGCGTGGAGGGGCTGCGGAGGGGCGCGGTGGCGAATAAGTGGAGTGTTAAAGTGTTTCAGGGGGAAGAAGACCTGACAAAGAAGACCACGGCGGAGCTGCTACAGGAGGCAGATGCAGAGGGGGTACAGATTGTGGTGTTTTTGGAGGGGAATGAGAGTGCAGGCCGGAGAGTAAGGGAGTTGAGGGAGAAGGGAGGAAGGGAGTTGAATGTGGTGCATGTTAATGGAGGGTTTTTGCCTACCAGTGCGAAGAGCTGGAGGGATTCGTGGCAGGCGGTGGTGGGGAAAGGGGTAGGGGATGGATGGTTGCATTTACATGAGAATGTTCATGTGAAAGATATCGAGTCGCGGAGGGGGGAGATTCAGGAATTGATGACCCGCTGGAACGAAGAGCTGGATAGCAGTGATGGGACAACAACAGAGACAAAGGCGGTGGTGGAGCATGTAGAGCTCGTCAAGACGTTTGCGCCAGATGTGTGGCATTGTGTCTTTGATGTATACATTAAAAGGTGTTCTGGTACAGGTAGTAGTAGTGGTGGTAGTGGTAGTCGTCGTCCAACATGACGGTCTGGTCTCGTCGTAACCCTTTCGCCAAATGCGCGGGTTGGCATTCATCAGTTTATACATAGGTGTGGAACAACAAAAGATCCGTTTCCAAACAAGCATCCATCCGTGTCTAGATATCCAGCCCTGGACCTCTCCATATGCGCCGGGGAAAAAAAGAAACAAAAAATCAAATCATGTACGCAAATCGAGCAGCTAGGGAGGAGCGCTCTCTTTACCCACTCCTCCGGAACTTGGCGGGGATGTTTTCCTCGATGATGGCGATCTTGTCCATCTGGGCTAACCGCTCTTCTTCGAGTTCCATTTCCTCGTGCTTCTTGAAATGTTCAATGTCTTCGGGATGGGTGAGGTCCTCGAGCTTGGTGTTGTCGTCGTGGTACCTGCAGCAAGCGGATCGTTAGTCTCTGCCATCATGTCTTGGCAAAAGGGTGGCGGGCTTTTGCGCCGCCCCCTTTGGGGTACAGGGAAAGGACAAACTCACTTTTCCCAGTGATGAATCTCGTACTCGTACTCAGCATCGCCGTGGTGACCCGGTCCCGTACCCATATCTGGAAGCGTCTTGCCCTCGACCTCGATGAAGCGCACGAACTCGTCCTTGGTGACGACGCCGTTGCGGTCGTAGTCGATCAAGCCAAGGATGTCGCGGACTATCTCGTCTCTCCTGGGCTGAGAAACGCCCTTGTTGGAGTCGTCCATCAAGCCATATGTGCGGAGAATCTCGAGTCCTTCCCATGTGCCGTCGGCATCGAAGTCGTGCAGAGCGAAGAAGGAGGCGGCGTCGAAGTTCTCGACGTGGTGTTCCTCTGGAAGGAAGCAAGGGCGATGTTAGTGGCGGTCGCGCTGTGAGACATGGGCTGCGGGAAACATACCAGCCATGTGCTTGACCATCCATGAGGCGTTCTCGCCGACAATGGGCTTTTGCGACCCGCTGCCGTGGTCGCCGTGGGCGAGGGCGGACCCTGCCAGGCCGAAGGCGGCGAGGATAATGGTGGACGAGCGCATGGTTTCTGGACGGACGGACGGATTTTGGGTCGGAGGGTTTGGGATGGAATGACGATTGGAAGAATGCGCCGACTCGGACTGAAAGACAAATGTGTTTATAAAGAAGAAAAAGATGCGACTACCAGCCCCCTTTTCGATCAATCGGTTTTGCGATTCGCGATTGCTCTTTTTTGGTTTGGCAAGCTGGAAACGACCCCTGATCTTATCGCAACTTGATTGATCAATTGGACGTTTGCTCGTGGAGACGGTGACAAACTGGGTCTGGCCTTGTTCGCTGCCCTGACTTGGTGACGTGCTTGTTCTTCCAGAAGGTTTAGCGTGCCAAGAAGATTCTTCAAGCCCATCGCCGACTCCATCCTTGGCGTTGGTTTTCCATGTCTTACAAAATAGTAGCGTTGAGGCGCTAGGTTTTGGCGTAATAAGCCTGGTTTTATGTGTGAAACCGTCCGCACTTCGGGCGCCAAACTCCAAACTGGATGCCCATGCTTCCACCCAACAACATCTCAGATACAGATGGATCTCCGACTTTCATGGTAATCTGATTTCTCATCCGTCACTCTTCCCATGGCTTCCACTCAAGTCAATTTGAAATCACCTGGATGCCAGGTTTCATGAACATCTACGACTGATCTGGTTGCTTTCTAGTGGACGACCAGATCGGTACTCTATCAGTCGCTATCAGATATGTGTGTGTGTCCCTCCTGCATCCGTTACTAGGCTGCTAGTGCACATTCAGGCAACCTTCTTCCTGCTTTCTTCAGAACCGACGATTTGTCCTCCATCCAGATCCGTACCTTCAGAAACATTCAAAGTCTCAGCTGGGATTATTTCCACCTCGAAGAGATAGACGCCTTATTCTAACGACAGGCGCTCGGTCTTGTTCCAGGTGCCGCGCTGGCCCTTTCAAGCCTTAATGAGCCGTGGTATTGACTCTCTCTTATTCGCTTGCTTTGTCCTCAAAACCATCTGTCTGGTTCGCTTACAATTCCTCTTTCAGGCCGGTACGCAGCGATAACAACTCAGCATGAGGCCCCTCCCTTTCATTCCCCTTCACCTCGCCGAGATATCACGTACAGCATATCCCGCCTTGGTTCTTTCTCGCCAATGAGTGCATGTCCACCTCCATGTCCAGCAGCTCAAAAAGGCAGGGTGATGAAACCTAGCTGTTTACAAATCTTTTTGATTTTCTTGGAGTGCTGGGGAGATGGACACTTTGGTCCTGTTCAGCATGATATCTCGGTCCCGAGCTTCCCACTTTTGCTCCCGGATGCGACACTGATATCAATACTTAAACTTCTCTCCACACCACTCCTTTTTCAACTCACCTCTTCGTCAACTCCAGCCAACTTCAAGTGAGTGTGAGCAACTTCTGACCGGGGTGCTGCCGTCCATGATACGCCGGTTTACCCCCCAGAGCATGTTCATCAGCGGACGCTCAGGAGGAGACATTGAAACTTCGCAACCATCGGGAAACTGGAACGGACATTAATGCGCCAAAGTCATCTGCAACTGCGAAATCACATGGAAGCAAGTGTGTCATCCATCTTCATGCAGCTAACCATGCACCTCGCTGCAAAGGGCACCACGCTCCGCGGCACCTCAAGATCGGCGGAGGCAGCCAACATGTGAAGCATGTGATGATATGTACTAAAGGTAGGTCTACCATCGCCTCCCACCCCCTTCTCAGTTATTCAGTACTAATACTTGATTCAGGAGCTCCAGGGTAAGACTTGCTCGCTATTGCAAATGTCAAGGTTTTCTCTCTCACAACACCCCAAACATCTACTTTCCTTTCGGAGCAGTTTATCGTTTTGTCCGTCTCTCCTATATCCACGGTATACCCGTTATTCATCCGGACTAGGAAGGGAAAGAAACAGCCAAGGCTCTACAGCCCGGACCTTAGCCTCTCTAAGATTTCCCAGGGGGTCATATGATTAATACCGCCCTCTCTCGTCGTTAGGAGGTGCCTGGGAAGAAGTTGGAATCAGCGACAAAACTACTTGGCGAGCGAGACGATCAGATGACAAAGCGTACCCTTCTCCGTTATGTCAGCATGTTATCTCGAGTACCGATGATGATAGATAAAGGAAAGGGAGTCAGGGGCAAGGTGATCGACTTTGCAAGGATACGCGCACCTGGGACTACGACAACGACAACAACAACGACGCCCGCATACCACCCGAATGACATTCTCTATATCTCAGCCCTCAATCACTGCCAATTAACCAGACAGCCACGCAGTTCGAATCAGCACGTCCGATCCGGAAGCTTATTGATCTCCTCTCTACCATTGTTCGGGTTCACCAGATAACACGACTCTACTGAATACAAGCACCACCTCCTCTCATAGTTGAAGCACGCTTCAACAAAGCTTGATCTCACCTCTTTCCTAGATTCTTCCCTTTACATGAATCACAGGCTCACACAAGACCAATCAGCCATCCCGACGGTACGACTCCAAGAAAATCTACACGATGGCGTCCCAATACATTCAAGTAGCCAAGCCGCCCTCGAAAAACGCCATCCTCGAATCCCTCGTCGAAAATGTCCGCGCCTGCAATGCGCGCTTACCGCCCGGACGCGACGAGATGGTCTTTGGTGCGTGCGAACTCAAGGTGGAAATGCCGCTGCTTCTCAACCGGCCTGGCGCGTGTAGGGAGTCGCCCGCCGAGTTCGAGACCGTCAACGCCCACTTTTCAGCCCAAATACACGCTTTCATCAACGCACTGCACGCCCTCGAGGACATGGCAGACAAAGCGTCCTCGGACGACCTGGACCTCTACCGCCCAGACGAATGCCTTCGGCCCGTCATATGCGTTTCCAATCAGTCCTTCGAACCCCACCTAGACTGCTTGCACCGCGCCTTCCACACTCGCCGCCTTACCGTCCAGAATCCGGACAGCCTGCCCCTTCTCAACCGCGTCACTCAACTGCGCATTCTTCCTGACCGGCATTCCACCTTTGACCCAATCAACATGCGGCCCGTCTCCTTGCGCACGCCCATCGAACTCATCACCCGCCTCCCTCAACTTTGCGAGCTGGACTGCCCCTGGCTGTGGGAGCGCCTTCCCGTTGCCTTCACATCCAAAGCACTGCGCATCATTTCCCGCGTCTGGGCAGGTCCTTGGCGTGATGACCGCACCGAGTTCGCGCGGGCTGTGCGTCATACCATGCCCTTGTTGCCGTCCTCCCTCACCAAGGTCCGTCTCTGGTTCTGGAGGCCCAGCTCCCATGGGGACGAGGTGGACCAAGCGGCGCAGATGCCCGACCTTGTTGGCGCGTCGTCGTCATCGTCCTCGACCAACGAGTTTGGAGGCATGGACCCTGTGTCTCTTGGCTTGCGGGACCTGGGAAGTCGCCTGGAGGAACTAGACATCCGCGCGCTCATCACCCCCGATCTTTTCCCTTCCGGTGGCGACGGTCCGTCATGGTCACACATGCGGCACCTCAAGGTGGAATTCCACCCGTGCGCGCCTGACGGCAGCTGGTACTTTTCCGGCCCGCGAGGGGGAGATCCCCACGCGACAGGGTTCGCCATCACGAGAGAGGAGCACTACCCGCCCGGCCAGGAAGATGACGACGAGACGCACCAGTTGATGTCCGACGAGGAGGAAGAGTACTGGGGCGACGCACCGGACATATACGACCTCCGCAACCCCGACATGTTCCGTCTTCGCCCCATCGCGGAACGCATCAACCCTTTGCTCTTGGCGTTTGCCTCGTCTCTGCAACGACAAAAGATGCCCGCCCTCCGGGACGCCGAGCTGTTTACGTGGCTTACGTGGCGGCCCTCCAAGGAGAGGGCGAGGGAGTATGAAGGGAGTGATGACGTGCCTCCAACTTCGTATGAGGACGAGACGGTTATGTTCCGCTGGGGGGTGAGGTACGAGGCACCTGCCGTTGGAAGAGATGGGAAAGGAAAAGCGACGTGGCAGGTCGGTGAGGACTGGAGGCCAGAGGACCGAGTCATCAAGGCGTTTGAGGATCTTGTGTGCGGAGACGGGGAGAAGATGGAGTGGAAAGCGTTCGAGTTTGTGGAAGAGAGGGAGCAGGATTTTGAGGACTATATCTGATTCCCATCAGATGTGACCACACTCGAATCTCAAATTCAATCAACGAAGGGCCGACAATCGCGCTCACCGCTACCGACAAGCAGAAAAGAAGAAGACACAGCCAACTTCTTCAATCGATTCTAATTCATATACTCCCCCCTGCACGGTCAAACTTGTTACTACCTCGCTAGCTAGTAACCAGCACCATTAGTCACCCTTCCCGTACGAAGCACTGACACCAACACAGTACGCCTCACCTAGCCAGTTGTACTTGATCTTGCAGTCGGAGCCAACAGTCGGCATTCACGCTAGGAATTGCGCAAAGGAGATGCCGGGCTGGGTGACCAGGTCCGCGTAAAAGATGCCGTCAGTCACAAGGGACCACCTTACTTCCTTGTTCGTCTTTTCTTCAACGCCTCTTTGATTCTTTTGGTTCCCCCCCCCCCCCCCCCCCTTTTTTTTTTTTTTTTTTTCCCCTTGTGTATGTTTCATCCATCCTTTCCCTTATCAAAACCCACCCCGAGAAAACGTTGCCCCCATTTTCACAAAGCGAGTCCCACCAAGCGAGAGACATCAATGAATTACTTGGTTGGCATCACACTCGACGAAGTCACACTCAGCGTCACACAGCAGCACACATAAGATCCACCACCACTCCATGTCTTCAAATCAATC